CTGCTTGTCCACTGCAAAGCTGTTCAGCTCGGAGTCGAGACAACCCATGTCCTCCTCAGGCACAACATTTGGTAACTGCCTTGCCAAGTTTCTGAATGCCTTTGAGCACTGGCTATGGCTGTGAAAAGCTGGATCAAGTACAGACATGTACCTTAATGTTAAGTTGTTTAGTGGCAATTTCAAGATTTTTTTGCAGCTTGGATGTATCCTGTTCGAAAATCTTTATACAATTGCTGAATCCAGTGAGCTTTGTCCATTTGAGCTTCGCCTAACTGAGTTGTAGCAAACTGTCCAACTGAAAGATCTTTGTCTGACTTCTGAATGGACGCATCCTCTACATCAAGTTTCATCAGATGGGAGACCCTTTCTGGTATTTTTTCTGGCTTGATAAAGAGAGACAGGAATTTTTTGGTGACATCCACCATATTCTCGTGTAGCAAATGGATCTATGGAACTTCTTTACATACTCCTAAGAATTAGATGTAAATTAAAACAATAAACAATATAATAACAATAACACAGAACATAAAATTGGACTTTATTGCATTCTCAACTGCTGAGGGCATATATTTCCTAGGCTGTAGCAAGATTTGATTTTGAAATTTTGATTTCAAAAATATAAACTGTATTAAAAGATAACTTACAAAACAATTGTGCTTCCTCTACTTACTTTCAAAATCTAGGATATGACATCAAAATTTTAAAAATAATTTACCTGGAAGACACCTAGCAGCCCACGACATAAGTTCAATTTAACTACAGTCTCTGTCCTATTGGTAAACAATGCATCAAGTATCAGATCTTTCCTGTCATGGTTGATATTAGATTTCGGTTGTGCATTCTGGTTCATCTGAATCACAGTGATTGCTACTTGAGCTTCAGCAGATACATCATTGGACTTGAAAATCTGCTCCAGCATAGGTCTGAAAACATAATAGAGCAATATATAATTACTATAATGTATGACATAATGTTATAATTTAATGACAGAAACATGATAAAAGCAAATCCTGTAAAATTATTAGACCATTGATATAAGAAGAACTTAATGTGCATATGGATATATGATAAATAAAAAGATAAAAGGGCAGTTTTAAAGTACATGTATTTATAAAATATCTAACATTAACAAGCCTTAATCAATGCAGCATTGTATAATAATTCTTTTGTCTTTTTTATAAAAATTGAAATACATAAGCATAGCTAGCATAAAAAATGTTTAGTAGGGTAACATTGTACAATAGTGTAGAAATTAACAAAGAAAAGATATATATCAATAGGTATACATGTATATGAAACAATATACCACAACAGGCCCAAAGACAATTATGATAAATTAGTACAATCACCACTTCTATTCTACAGTTACATTAGTGTGAAAAGTGATATAATATGTTTAAAGCACAACAGACCCAAAGACAATTATGATAAATTAGTACAATCACCACTTCTATTCTACAGTTACATTAGTGTGAAAAGTGATATAATATGTTTAAAGCACAACAGACCCAAAGACAATTATGATAAATTAGTACAATCACCACTTCTATTCTACAGTTACATTAGTGTGAAAAGTGATATAATATGTTTTAAGCACAGCAGACACAACAAAGACAATTATGATAAATTAGTACAATCACCACTTTTATTCTACAGTTACATTAGTGTGAAAAGTGATATAATATGTTTAAAGCACAGCAGACACAACAAAGACAACTATGATAAATTAGTACAATCACCACTTCTATTCTACAGTTACATTAGTGTGAAAAGTGATATAATATGTTTAAAGCACAGCAGACACAACAAAGACAACTATGATAAATTAGTACAATCACCACTTCTATTCTACAGTTACATTAGTGTGAAAAGTGATATAATATGTTTAAAGCACAGCAGACACAACAAAGACAACTATGATAAATTAGTACAATCACCACTTCTATTCTACAGTTACATTAGTGTGAAAAGTGATATAATATGTTTTAAGCACAGCAGACACAACAAAGACAACTATGATAAATAAATACAGTCACCACTAAAAGCACAACAGACACAAAGACAACTATGATAAATAAATACAGTCACCACTAAAAGCACAACAGACACAAAGACAACTATGATAAATAAATACAGTCACCACTAAAAGCACAACAGACACAAAGACAACTGTGATAAATATATACAGTCACCACTTTTATTCTACTGTTATACAAGTGTGAATAGTGATATATGTTTAAAGCACAGCACTAAAACAATTACACCTTTATACTCACTGAAAATTTAAATATTTTTTTTATTTATTTTCCAACTTCTTTTTGTATTAAAATATGCTCACCTTTTGTTGACATAATTCAACAATGCATAAAACACAGATTCAGTTACAGATGGTACTTGAAACTATTGTTACTTCAATGCAAAATGGTGTTAAATCTAATGGCAGCCACACAGTGCACCATGTTTTCATTATAAACTCAAATTACTGGGATAAATTATAAAAAAAAAAATTGTAAATCATTTAAATGCACCTTCCTTTATTACAAAAACTTCAAAACATGCAATTTAACACAATATACACAGCTGACACTTCACTATTTTGATGTATATACCGGAAATGTTTACACATGAATGACTGTCACACAGTTCAACACGGATCAATAGGATTCCTACGTCATCACCAAAAATGGCGATGGAAATTACAGATGGTGTTGCGGAAAAAAAACGACTTACTAAATCATTTTTTTAACAAAACACTTTTCAAAATAATTTTTGAAATCCATGTTTAAAATTTATAAAAAAGTGTAAAATATATGCAATTTTGACCATATACCTTTAAAGTATCATTATTGGTAAGGTTGGTTCTTCCTTCCGGGTAGTTATAGCCTCTATTATCAACTGTCTCAGAAACCAAAGCTCTCAGTTGTTATAATTTGTTGCATTCGGGCAGAGATAATGTCGTGCTAGAACTACCTCTCACAGCTTGATGACTGCTAGCTATCCTCATCTGTTACCCAGCTACAAACACATTAATTTTGCCAATTGAACTGCAAATAAACATTTCCCAACATTTCTTGAATAATCACTTGACTATACACTACAAAAATTTCCTTATAAGGAAATACAGTTAATATATAGGGAACAATAACAAATATTCATATATATATATATGTAGTAGATATTTCTATAAATTTTCTCCTTCATATCTTTAATGCCCAGAGGTAAGGTTGTTATGTTGCATCCACTTATGGTATTATACATTATTTGTATAAAACATGACCCTGGGTTAAAAATTGGCCAAGCCCTGCAAGTCATTTTGATTATGGTGTATAGACTTATGTAGAAAAACACTTTAATATCTTGTTTTGTAAATTTACATTTCCCAGAGCTTAGATATTTGGCATGATGCATCTCTTAGTGTACCTTTATGTCAGTTATATAAATCATGCTGCTTGGGTAAAACACGGTATGCCCAAATGTGACCCAATTAATATATTTTTCTACACTGAAGAGAAAATTTTCTAGCAATGAATCTCGGGTGAGTGATCTTAGGACTATGATGGCTCTACTATTTTATGCTTTCACCTAAAATATGGGGTGCATACTGTGATAGGGTGGTGTGTCTATTTTTTGGCTTGGGCCAACATCAAGTGGGTTTGAAGTTTCATCTTGTCCATAAACTCATCTTGTCCATAATCTTCTGGTAGTTAACAAGAGGGGGAAAACAACATAAACTGTCAAGTAGAGTGTCGATTATTACTTTCTTTTGTTATTTTTTAATAATAATTTGTTCGGTAAGTGTTTTATGTAGATTCATGTGAATAGAAGGGAAATAATCATATACACTGTATATAGAAAAGTAAGGATTACTAAAATGAAAAAAGGTATATTATCTGAATTGAATATCATATGACAATCTGACTTCCTTACAGGAAATTTCCTGCTAGTATAGTAGCAAACAACTGTGTGACCTTGTATCTACTAATATCTATATAATGTAATGGGATGTAAGCAGATGTTTCCTGCACCTGTAAAGCTGTGTAACTTGAAACTGAACATTTACAATCACAATAATATTATTCGTGTTGGTTATTCGAATTAGCTTGTTTGATTATGTTATTATATTTGTTTATAATTAAATATGTTGTTTTTTATTTTCAAAAAATTTGAAATAAATGTGTCCCATTTATCACTGTTGTTGTTCTCGATATGTTGCTTACAATGTTTTGTTCCAAAGTTGACAAGGCTTTTAAAGTGACTCCACTGAGGTTTAAAAGCCTAAGAACATAAAATTTGAATTTTCGTACATAAATGAGCTTGGGCACTTTAAACTGAAATTTATGCAAAGATAGTCAAGAAATATACTTCGAAATAAATTGAAAATCGTATTTTTATGCTTTTCTTAGCTCGATTTGTGTGAAAAAATGTTATTTTTGGTCATATTTTTACAATTTGAATTATTATTCTGGAAAAACGAAGTGCGTGGATGATCTGAAATTTTGCACAAAGATTAGTGGTCTTGGTACATTTATCTGGAAAAATATTTTCAGTTCCATCATTTCAAAAAACCTCAGTGGAGTCCCTTTAATGCTTTTATTTTATGTTATCCGCTTGAATGTTCATAACTTCGATCATTTCAATAAAAGATGACCTTAATGTTGAAAATTTAATGGCTATGTAATTTATTATAAATTAGTTTGATTGGTTGGGTTTTATGTCGCATCAACACAGTATAGGTCATATGGTGACTTTCCAGTTTTACTGATGGAGGAAGACCTCAGGTGACCTTCAATGTTTTTTTTCAAGCACAAACGGACAACTGAGTAGAACCACTGACGTTCCCTAAGCTAGCTGGATAGTTTCCTCACATGAAAGAATCAAAAGTTCCCTGTCTGGAATCGAACCAACAGCAGTGAGGGGCAAGTGGTATGAAGTCAACAACCTTTTAACCACTCGGGCCACGGACGCCAACAGATACATGCAAGAAAGGAATAACAATTGAAAAGTATGTCAAATATTTATTTCAACTTTTGAAACATTTGTTAATGTATAAATTCTTTTCAGTTGCCAATTGTTTAATCTCATTCTTACTTCAGAATACAATAAAACGTAAATTATAGGTAGACTATTCAGTACTGTAAATGGAAATGACTTCAGAAAATGGAAAAAAAGTAATGAAACTTAAAAAAAAAATTCTTTCTTGCCTACAATCCTTTTTCAATAAACAACACAAAACAAAACAGTCTTGGTCCCAACAATTATTTTTATTTGTGGACTGCTGTTGCAATGGATTATACCAATATGACCAGTGACGATCAAGATCAGCCGGCACATCAGGGGAATCTAATCATGATCTGCACTGTTCACTATTCAGGCAGTACAGTTTTTGAAATTTTCCCTGAATAAACATGAATGGTTTGGCCTAGATTGAAAGATCGTCCAGTCAATTCAAAATATAAAATATAGTAAGAGTTAAGCTATAAAACCAGTGAATTCTATAAAAGAACTTGCAACCTATAGATTTTTCTATAGATAGCAAGGGATGAACAACCACCCTTAATCACTCGTAGAAAAACTTGTATATCATATCAAAGGTAAAAGATTTTGGCAACATTATGATAGAATGTAACAGCAATCAATACATAACATATGTCAAAAGTTTCATTGTTACAACCTAGAAAGTAAAAATATGTGATGTGATAGATAACATGTATCAAAATAAAACATAACTTCAATAAGATAATATACCTAATGTAGCAATCTGAGAGGAGTTGAAATATTGACCATACCTACTAAAGTGTATATAAAAATCTCTAACAAGCACACTAAGTCTGCAGACCTCAAACCTAAATCCTAATATAGAACATAAACCGTGCACAATATTTTTAACTATCAATTGCTTTTCTTAATATTAAAAAAAAATATTACAGATGCAGGAAAACAGACAGATCGAAGCGCAGACCTAAAATAAAATCTAATTGTTCATGCAGAAGACATTGTTAAAAGAATAGATATTATTTACATAGAAGCACAGCTTCAAAAGTGAAAAATTTAAAAACAAAACTCAAATATCAAAAGTGAAACATGTTAAAAATAAGTATGTACAAAATGCATTAGTTGTTAAATCAAGATCACATGAAATAATTACTACAAATGTCTACAAAAACCGACCATTCATTTCCAACCATTACTCTACAAACCTTGCAATGGACTTTACCTGCTTTAAACTAGGACCTGTCCATTAACAAATTAGGGGACTTTAATGATTAAAATTAAGAACTTTGGTAACAAAACATAGAAGTCTAAACTTGTTTACCATGTCTTCCTGTACTTGTTGCTTAAAGGACTAACAGTAACACTCCCTGTCGAGTGGTTAATGCTGCAGTCCTTTAATCTAACTGGCAACATGGGTTCAAACCCTGTCAGATGCAAGCCAGAGACTTTACATTAATTGTTTAGTAGTGGTGGGTTCAAGAGTATTTCCACAAGCTTATATAGATTCTAACACAATCATTCTCACATAAATTCTGTACAAACACTGCCTTGGTAATAAATGTAAACTACAAAACCTAAACCTTTACAACTATTATAGCTAATCATTGCAAAATCTAAGGGGAAATTATACAATCAGCTGCCAGGAAAAACAAGTACATATATAAAACTCTCATCAGTATAATTTCATCTTACAGCAAATATAAGCTTGTTTTGTTCAATTGTTCAATTAAAGAATGAAATATATTACATAATCAACAGTCACAGAAAAAACATTTTATCAAATGACACAGTTTCAAATCTAAAACAAGTATATGTTTTTTTAGTTTGACTGTAAACACAAACAAAAATAATGCCATCATAAATTCAGTAAAATAATAATGAAACAAAAAGAAAATTGCATATAATGATATTTTTATAGAGGTACATGGAACTTGGTTTATAAAATATGTCATGTAAATCATCTAATAGCAAAAGTGTTGCTTAAAACATGCTGCACACCTTTGACATATATACATGTATAGTCAAATGGTCCCTCACAATTTATTGTAAAAAAAATCAGAAAGTCAAATGTTTGTATATGCCTAAAATATACTGATAACTTGTTTACACCATTTATATCTGACATGAATACAATATGTAACCGGTCATCCATTTGCTCTTTAACAGTTAAACAAAAGGTGCCCTTCCCTGCATTATTTCAGGCAACAATGTCACCCAAGTAAAACCTCCAATGTTCTGTAAGCTACATGTAGCTAGATAGCTTCTTCACATGAAAGACTAAAGTTTGTTTGTATGTGAACCCACAGCAGTGAGGCGCCAAGTGATTTAAAGTTAACGACCATAACCACTTCGCCACCCCTAGGTTACTGTTTTGACGTTATATATCTTTGTATATTTATGATATTAAATAAATTGATAATAGCTGACTATATTGTTCACTGATCTGTGAATTTTCACACCGTATTTACAATGTGAATGCAGTAGAACAATTTGAGGACTTGACTAATTAAAAAACTGCATCTTTGGTTCACAAAAGACACAATCACTTTGTACCAAGTCGACACACTTTTATGTAACAATATTTAACTTAAACACTTGAAATGATGAGATGATCCCTATCATATAACACAGTAACTAGAACAAAATCATCTACTTTCTGTAATTCTGTAGACAATATAATAACAATAACAACAAGTTCTGACAGAATACCAGTCTTACAGCACAAAGTAAGACCTAAAACAGTTAATATCAGCTCCAGCTGTGAACGTTCACTGATTGTTATAATAGTCACTCCATCTTTATACCAAACCATATACCCTTATACCATCTTCATACTCTGCCCTATTTATACTGTAGGAGTGGTGGGTGGTGACACAGTGTCTTGTGATCCTTTTCGCTTTGGTGACGGACCATCTCCTGTACTTCCCTCCAAAGACCTTTTCTTTGGCTGTAAAAAAATATGAAAACATCAATGAAATGTTCTTTTCAAGGATTTCAGAGAATACTTTTACTGACATCCATTACTTTACCATGAAATGGTTTAAACCTTAAAATATCTCAATTTAATTGCCCAATGAAAAATAAATGTTTGATTGCAAAGATTATTTTTCCTAGACTGAAGACAGCATTCAATAAATAGTACCATTACAATGTTTATAAAATAGCCTACCACTGCAGCAGGTGGTCCCATACTAAATCCCTTTTCAGGGTACATCAAGGCCTGGGCTTTCTCTTTCATTTCTTCATCCTAAAATACAAACATTTATATATAGTAAAGGTAAAACAAAGAAATTCAATGACCTCAAGACAGAACTGTATCCATAGGTGCCTCCACATTCCACTGTTCTGTCAGTCTATAGACGGACAGCTTGACAATGGTGTGGATGGACAATGGCATTATACCTCTCTTCTAAGTAGTGGGTGCATAAAATCTTACTTTAAATAGATAAAAAGGTATAGAAAACAATGGAATATTTAGGTAAGGTACACAACGATTTTCTATTTTGCAACATTCTTTATTTTCAGTCTATCTTTTTGCTGTTCAACCAACTTTAAATTGTACTGATATTGTTACAACAATTTTGTGTTTTTCTTCTAATTTACTAAAACAGTGAATTTTGTATCCTGACCCTATATTAGTAAATATCTAAATTACATTTTAGTTCAGCCATTCCTATAAAATTGCATTTCTATTACAAAACTTAAATGAGTCTAATGGCACTTGAGTATTTTAAATGAAAATGAAAGATCCATTTTTTTAGTTAAATCATAAGAAAAGACCTCTGAAAAGACAAATTGGCTTGGGAACGGACACTGGAGTCAAACCATCAATCTTCCATACACTAACTGGATTTCTTATTCATCTGCAAGGTTTCAAAGTCTTTATCAGAATTTGAACCTAAAGCTGTTAGGGAAAAAGGATTTGGAATAAGGGCATTTATAGAACCCTATATAATATTTATTATTGTATTATTAAAAGATCATTATATATTCACAGCAAATTTGTCACATAAAAAAATCACAATTTAACTCTATATTCAGAGAATTAACACATTTTCTGAATACATCTCGACTATGTTATATATAAAAGCAACATACATCAAACCATGGATGGTTAAGAGCATCAGCTAGTGTTATTCTCTTGTTGGCATCTACTGTCATCAACTTCTTTATCAGATCTATTGCTGTGGATGTTAATTACATCATAATATGAATAAGAATGGATGTACAATGTTACACATTTATAGTAACAGATACAAAGTTATACAAAACCACTTAATGCTAGAACACAGAAAATTGATATCCTGCTCTATAGAAACATGGACAGAAAATGGATACATAACATAAAACTTTCCTTGTCTCCTGTGTTATATAACAGTTACATATGTTTTATACAACTCGCATGTAATAAGATAGTGCTACAAGTTAAATAGTATGGTTTTATCTTAAAAAATTATTTTTCATTCCAGATAGTGAAACACACTGATAATAATATTAGGTTTTTTCAGACACTTTAAAATTTTATCACTTAATGAACATTGAACAGAACATCTGAACTGTTTGTTTTTACATAGATTTAAACATGTTTTGCTCAAAGCGAAAAAAAAAAATGTACAAACTAAATAAATAAATTGTAAAAGAATTTTAGAAATAGACTAGGTGACAGTTTGTCGACAACACAATGATCAAGTAAATTTACTGGACACATCAACTGACTGGTTGTGGCAATAATACAGAAACGACTATGTGAGTCTACTAAATTATAAAAAATTTTAATACTAAAGTATCTTGATTTGAAAATAAATAAAGTATAAACTAACCATCTTCTGAAATTTCTTTCCAATACTGTTTAGGAAATGTATAATGACCGCCCATTATCTGTTTGGGTAAGTCCATATCCTTACGTTCATCTGAGAATGGTGGATAACCAGCCAAACTATAGAATCAAAATATACAATAACTAATAAAATGTAAACAAAGCAATGTGAACTGTGTAATTAAAATACAATTAATTTTCCTTCAATACTCACAGATGTGACAGCTAATCTGGTCTGCACTCGTCACATACATATATTTAGTTGGCATCTGCAGGCTAAGAGTACATTATAAAACAATTCTGCTTACGGGAATTTAAAACAAACAACAGAGACCAAGAAACTTATTTATATAGGTGTGATACATACCAGATAAAGAGTATAACACCTAAACTCCAGCAATCAATGGCCTTCGTGTAGGCTCCTGTTCCAGCTGTTATAAGGATCTCTGGTGCGAGGTAGGTTGGTGTGCCACAGAAAGTTTTCATTAATGAACCAGCATCAACAAATTTGGACAGACCAAAATCTGTTATCTTTATCAAAGTTTCTTTATCATCAGTAGATAATAAAATATTTTCAGGCTGTAAATGAAACAACATTGTCATTATCTGATGAATTAACCTTTACAATAGAATTTGTTAACTTGCAATTCTTTTGAGTGGAAAAAAAATACCAGGCTTAGATATTTTTGCCAATAAAAAAGTAAAATTTAAACATAATTTTAACAATACAATAGAAATGTATTCTAATGGATGAAATGTTGTTTTTTTTCTGTTATCATTTCTGAATAGGGTGAGTGGTTAAGGTTGTTGCGACTTGAAGCCACTGGCTTCTTAATGCTGTAAGCTACAGCTGCGCATCTTCAGATTCTTCCATGTGAGGAAGATATCCAGCTTGCCTATGAAATATGGGTGGTTCCACTCAGGTGCCTGTTTGCGCTTGAAATAATGTGCAGAGGGTTTGAGGTCTTCCTCCAGCAGTAAAGCTGGTAAGTCACCTTATGACCTAGACTGTGTTGATGCCAAGTAAAACCCATATAAAATTCATTTTAAATTAACTTACTGAAAAACACTTTTTACAAGTTAACAATCCTCTGTTAACAATTAAATGAATATATAAGATATAGTTTACCTTTAAATCCCTGTGTGTAATACCCTGATCATGTAAATACTGAAATCATAAAGTTTACATCTATATAATAGTGATTTCTCTACTTAACAATCATCATAACATGTTATTTTCCCAATTTTGTCATGCCTAAATTCTTATATTTATTATTGAAATACAGATGTAAAAAAATACACACATCACATTATTTATAACATAATAATGTCAAATTAGCTTAGAATATTATATGTAATGTTTATACCCAACGCATTACACATTTATTTGTGTTTATTTAGTTACATATGTCTAACACTTATTCTCTATAGTTCATTCATGGCAAATGAAGAAGTAGGTTATCAGTTATAAAATAAGTAATGCATTAACTTAAGATCACTTTGAAACAAACATGTATGTTAATTTCATGAACAGTGGTCTCTGTGTGCAGGCTTATAAGCAGTACTTACTTTACAAGATAGAACCATCTGGTAGAAGAGAAGTTTGGCTGTTGGTTCATCGTACTGACTTAAACTGACGACTTTATCAAACAATTCACCACCTTCCACTCTATAATGATATACATCTTTATTATTTATACCAAGCAGAAACAAGAGCGATCAGTAATCACATGTGTCGCCTCATGATGGCCAATTTTATGTTGGGACAAGTTTTGTGACAGACGGACAGACAGAAGGACAGTGCACAACAAGACTTGGTCCTGATCATTCCTGTAAAGTTTGGATAAAATTGCACCAGTAGTTAATGAGGAGTAGTCCGGACAAGCTTTTGTGTATCTGGCAACACACAGAAAACAAGAAGCGCCGCAATGCGACGAAAACCAGGTTTTCAACGACCAAGTTTTGATGTGACAGAAATCAATAGGTCAAAGTGCACTGAAGTTATTGAGTAGATATTGAATATTCTATTGTAAGCAAATTACCTTGACCTTGCTCCCAGATATCTAAGTGGCAATCCAAAGCTGCCACTCAGCAAGCTTGGTGACAAAAGGTCAAAGCAAACTCAAGTTATAACATGAAAACTAAACCTTGATCACAGACACCTGGGTAGCAATCCCAAGCTGCCTCTTGATTTAAGCTACCCATTCATCAAGTTTGGCGTCAATAGGCCAAAGCAAACTCAAGTTATTGAGGAGAAACTGAATTTCTATTTTTAGTAACAGTGACCTTGACCTAGATCACAGACACCTGGGTAGCAATCCCAAGCTGCCTAAATATAAGCTATCCATACACCAAGTTTGGAGACAATACACCAAAGCAAACTCAAGTTATTGAGCGGAAACTGAATTTCTATTTTAAGTAACAGTGACCTTGACCTTGATCACAGACACCTGGGTAGCAATACCAAGCTGCTTCTTGATATAAGCTACCTACACACCAAGTTTGGTGTCAATAGGCCAAAGCAAACTCAAGTTATTGAGTGGAAACTGAATTTCTATTTTTAGTAACAGTGACCTTGACCTAGATCACAGACACCTGGGTAGCAATCCCAAGCTGCCTCTTGATATAAGCTATCCATACACCAAGTTTGGTGTCAATAGGCCAAAGCAAACTCAAGTTATTGAGCAGAAACTAAATTTCTATTTTTAGTAACAGTGACCTTGACCTTGATCACAGACACCTCGGTAGCAATCCCAAGCTGCCTCTTCATATTACCTATCCATACACCAAGTTTGGTGTCAATAGGCCAAAGCAAACTCAAGTTATTGAGCGGAAACTAAATTTCTATTTTTAGCAACAGTGACCTTGACCTTGATCAAAGACACCTGGGTAGCAATTCCAAGCTGCCTCTTGATATAAGCTATCCATACACCAAGTTTGGTGTGAATAGGCCAAAGCAAACTAAAGTTATTGAGCGGAAACTGAACTTCTATTTTTAGTAACAGTGACCTTGACCTTGATCACACACCTGGGTAGCAATCCCAAGCTGCCTCTTGATATAAGCTATCCATACACCAAGTTTGGTGTCAATAGGCCAAAGCAAACTCAAGTTATTGAGCTGAAACTGAATTTCTATTTTTAGTAACAGTGACCTTGACCGTGATCACAGACACCTGGGTAACAATCCCAAGCTGCCTCTTGATATATGGTGTCAATAGGCCAAAGCAAACTAAAGTTATTGAGCGGAAACCAAAAGTTGACGCCCGCCCGCCCGCCGACTTCGGCATTACAATAACCCGGTTTTCGTTGAAAACCTTGTTAAAAACACCTTTTTATCAAAGGGCCATAACTCGGCCAAAAATCATTCAACCGGAAAACCCGTGCAATATGCGCAAGGACTTGAGCTACAGATCAATCCTGTAAAGTTTCATTGAAATTGCATTAGTGGTATAAGAGAAGTAGTCCGGACAAACTTTAAAAATAAAAATTATTAAAGGGCCATAACTCTGACAAAAATCATTGAACCGGAAAATACTGACAATATGCACAACTAGACTTGGTACTGATAATTCCTGTAAAGTTTGGATGAAATTGCAGCAGTAGTTTTTGAGGAGTAGTCCGGACAAGCTTTTGTGTATCTGGCAACACACAGAAAAAAACACCTTTTTATCAAAGGGCCATAACTTGGCCAAAAATCATTCAACCGGAAAACCCGTGCAATATGCGCAAGGACTTGAGCTACAGATCAATCCTGTAAAGTTTCATTGAAATTGCATTAGTGGTATTAGAGAAGTAGTCCGGACAAACTTTAAAAATAAAAATTATTAAAGGGCCATAACTCTGTCAAAAATCATTGAACCGGAAAATGCTGACAATATGCACAACTAGACTTGGTACTGATCATTCCTGTAAAGTTTGGATGAAATTGCACCAGTAGTTTATGAGGAGTAGTCCGGACAAGTTTTGTGACGGACAGACAGACTCCGTAGAGGCGACACAAAAATATGAATGTGTCCAAAACAGAAGGTACTGCTGACAAAATCTAGTCAAAAGAATTTATCCATTTCAATTTTGGACTATTTTAAAACATTTTTTTATCAGAATTATGATTTTTTTTTTGTAAAGCAACTTTACAAATTAATATCAATGAAGTGGAACAATCAACACAGGTTTAATTTTAAGGTTTATTTCTTGATGTCTTTAAAATCTTTTTCTAGCCCCTAGGTTCAAATTACTTGACAGAATAAAAGACAAGCTGGTTACTCAACGGTAAAAAAATTAAATTTGGGAGCATTAAAAAGGAAAAGGTACTTACAATTCTAACACAATATATAGAACCTCTGGTGTGTCTATTACATCATCTATGCCTATTATACATGGCTGAAGAACACAATAAAATACCAGTTCTAAAATAAAACACACTTCTAAATATTCATTGCTGACAATTTCAGAATTATTCAATAGATCAACTGAGGTATTAAATGACATATGTCTATAAATAGATAAGTAATCGCAGCTACTTTGTACTAAAAGCATTTACAATTTCAAATTTACTATCTGTTTTGACATTACGTTTTTTTATTGGACAGAACCTAGTTCAAACAACTACGTTGAATTACTATAATAGAAAAGTTTTTTATATATTTTAACTTCAAATGAAATACAGAAATTGTTTCCCCTGTACACACATTCATTCAGTCTGGGTGGTTAGAAGTTTACAATATCCACATGGATCAGGTGGTTTATAAAGATGGGTTATCCCAATAAAATAATAAATTGCTTTTTAAACCTACATGTATGAATTGCAATTATTTAATATACCAGCAGTTAGGAGCCACTCTGACCAGATCCTAAATTAATGATTGCTCTATTTAAATGCATGTTGTACAAAGTTGATACTTTAATTTCTAAAACATTTGACAGACTGTTCCAAATTTAAAGCAGGTTATGCCATTTATAAAAGTGCATTTTGCTATTTCAATTTCCTCTATTTACAGGAGAGTTTGGATGAATCATGGAACTGTCAGTTTATTACTTACATGTTTTAATGCTTTTAATATCTTCACCTCACTCATAACCTGTTTACTCAAATTCTGAAATATCAATACACAAAGTAATAACGTTAATAACCAAAATCATCATATATTATATAAATAATGTACCAAATTAATTATTAATAGAATCTATCATTGGGTTAGATAGAGGATAGGGAAATCCCAACCCGAGGGTGATCGGTTCCATCGGGAACGAGCCTTGGCGAGTTCCCGATGGAACCGATTGCCCGAGGGTTGGGATTTCCCTATCCTCTATCTAACCCAATGGTTGATTATTTTTCTCACTCACCTGAACACACAAATATCAGTGAATCTACTTGCTACGCCCATTACAACGTACCTAGTTTTGAAAAGGGGGCGGGGCTTAGGCGCCTGACTTTCTATGATTAAAAAGCATTATGTACGTCCGCAAAAAAATCTTCTGACCAAGTTTATGTGTGAAAAATTTAATGAAAATAAATTCATATGAGACCCCTCATGAAAAAGCAAGGTTATCATGATGAAACACATCTATATTAAAAACGGAAAGTGCCATAATATAAGTGTTTATAAGGAATTCAGTCCATACTTCAATGGTTGACAAAAAAGCGTTTACCGTTTGCAAAGATTTTTCTACTTTTTCGGTTATTTTGGCCGAATATTCAATTAAAATATATCAAAATGAGATTCGTCATCAAAAAGCATCGTTATCATAACAAAAAACATGAATGTTTTTCAGGCAAAGTGTCATAATATCCGATTTTACGAAGAACATTTCGATATTTTAAAGTGTGCTATTTTTAGTAACAGATCGTTATTGGAAAGGACGGATCTAGGTAGAGTAGGACTCATTGCAGTGTGAAAGTTAATATCAATCTATTTTGATTCCGTAGACAATTTAATAGATTATTAGCTTACACATTTTTAATACATTTTGACCTTTTGACGTTTAATTTTTGTTAAAATAGGAGTGAATCGCGTATTATTTAGAACTGCTGCACGTTGAGTGTGAGATAAGCCCATGTGAGATAAGATTTTCCAACACCGCTATTTTTAGTAACATTTAAGGATTTTTCTATCTGGTTAGTGAGAAAACTTTGTCTCTAATATCATTACAGCTTTTTCATTCACTATAAAGATTGTTGTAATTTATCAGCTTTACTGGTATTTAATGTCCAAAGAGGAAATTATGTAAAGTTTAAAAAGTTTTGCCCAAAAGTCGGCCTACTCCACTTTTTCAAAGCTTTGCTGATGGGATAAATTGGCCCAAAAACTAAACTTTAAGTCTTACTATATTTCATTTTGATATTGGTTCACCTTTTGATGGTTAACTTCTTTTCAAAGAGGAAGTAATAATCTTTCCTTTTTTTATAAGAAATGGATCTAAATATAACTTTTAGCCAAATATTGAAAAAAATCATATATTTGTTAAAGTAAAATAAGGTGCAAAGTCAATGGCAAACAAAATATTTTGACAAAAAAAACTTTTCTTAAATTTTTCTTAAATGTTGGTTTTTCTTCATCTTAGCAAAATAAAAGCAAAGGGGTTACTTAGAAAAGATAAAGTATAATTACCACAGCATGTCGCCCACCAGTAGAAAACTTCTTTTTTACAATAATTTTGACAGCAAATTTTTCACATGAGCCCTTAGAAAATGCCAGTCTCACCTCACCACATGCCCCTCTGTACATAAAATATCACTTATTACTTAATTAGTACAACTGTCTATAAAATTCAACAACCATAATTAGATTCACACCAATCTGTCAATTACATGTAAAAGGTTAGGTCTACTTAACAAATAGTTTCATTTTTTCTCGAAAAAAAACCCCTCATATATATGTTATATGATCTTTATTTCAATCACAATTTGTTATTCGTTCACTTACAATTCTTCTCTCCTTTTGAATCTTTAAACTGGAGTGGTAAAAATATGATCTAAATAAAAGCTTTTCCAACAAAACAAGTTCTAAATACAATATTTTAAAATGTTATTCATATATCAATCCTATAACTGAACACATCCTGGCATTGATTCGATATCACTTTAGGTAAAGTTTTTTATATCTAGATATTGCAATATGAAAGTTACCTTCCTAAAGTTTTAGTGAGTGTATATTTCTCTTTTATTTCTGGTGGAAGGTCTGAATCATTAGTGCTTGTTAGATCCATGTACATAAATGCTGAAATAATAACGTGACTAATGTACATAAATGCTGAAATAATAATGTAAATAAATGCTGAATTAATAATGTGACTAATGTACATAAATGCTGCAATAATAATGTACATAAATGCTGAAATAATAATGTACATAAAAGTGAAATAATAATGTAAATAAATGCTGAATTAATAATGTGACTAATGTACATAAATGCTGCAATAATAATGTACATAAATGCTGAAATAATAATGTACATAAATGCTGAAATAATAATGTGACTAATGTACATAAATGCTGCAATAATAATGTACATAAATGCTGAAATTATAATGTACATAAATGTTGAAATAATAATGTGACTAATGTACATAAATGCTGAAATAATAATGTACATAAATGCTGAAATAATAATGTAAATAAATGCTGAATTAATAATGTGACTAATGTACATAAATGCTGAAATAATAATGTACATAAATGCTGAAATAATAATGTACATAAATGATGAAATAATAATGTACATAAATGCTGAAATAATAATGTGACTAATGTACATAAATGCTAAAATAATAATGTACATAAATGCTGAAATAATAATGTACATAAATGCTGAAATAATAATGTGACTAATGTACATAAATGCTGAAATAATTATGTACATAAATGCTGAAATAATAATGTACATAAATGCTGAAATAATAATGTATATAAATGCTAACACTATAATATGACTAAATGTACATAAATTTTTTCCCAAAAATTTAAGGTAAAAGAAATCCTGACATTTTTGGGGTTTTTTGTTTGTTTCTTTTTAAACCCCTTTTTCCCAAACAGTATTTTATTTCATATGGGCCCAAACATTATAGGAAATTTTTTTTTTTGGACTAAATGTTAAAATTTTATAATAAATGTGCGTAAATATAATTTAAAAAAGGAAGACATTTTTTTTAATTAATTTTTCCCTAAGTTTTTTTTAATATCAAATATTTGATTTCAAAGGTACTCATTTTTATAAAATTTAATTTTTTTAAATGTTTTTTTTTTTTAAAATTTTAACAAAGCTAAAAAAAATTTGGAAATTTGCCAAAAAAAAATTTTACTCCTTATTCTGGCTTTTAAAAATTAAAAATTTTTTAAACTTTTTTTTGGATTTTCTTTTTTTAAAGTTTTGTTGCTAAAAAATTTTAGAATGCTTTTTGTTTTAAAAGTTTTTAGTAAAGGGCATCAAATTTATGCTGAAATTTTTTAAAATTCATTGACTCGTTTAAAACCCGGAATTAATTATATTTTATCCTTTTTAAAGCTCAAAATTTTTTTGGGCCAAATTTTGGAACTTTAAAATTTAAACCATGTATTATTTAAATTTTTAAAAGATCTAACAAAATGTTTTTGAAATCATTTTACCAAAAATCCAAAAATTCTTAACATCCCATTAAATATATATGTAGTTTTTACTTTTACAAAATTTTTTTAAAAATGAAATTTAATCTTCAAAAATTTAAAATAAAACTTATTTTGGGCGGGCTTTTTAAAATTTTTGGGCTGTTTTAGTGTACTTTTTGGGAATCCTTTTCCTCCCTTTGTGATTTTTGGTTTTTTTAAATGGCCAGGGGTAAATTTAAAAAACAAATGGTGGTTATTTTACACAAGTAATTATTTTATGAAATGAAAACCATTTGTAATTATGTATAAAATATTATTTAATATACAAAATTCTCTGTTTGAACAGAAGAATTTATTATAGTTATAAAGTAGGATGAGCATCTTGTACAAATGGAATTCCAATAATACATAAGTATACTATAAATCAGATATTTTCAACATTTTGGAATAATTGGCGAGATTAAATATTCAGGAATTCCTACTTTTAGTTCTGTTAATTTATATGACGCAAACATTCATTTTGGCAAAAAATTATCTCCAGTAAATTAGTAACAATTTAATCCCTTGTTAAAATTTCAGATTTTACAGTAAATGAATGCCTAAAAAAACTGAAAAACATCAAACCTTTGTTTTTCTTTAGCGCTAATGCAATCTCATCATTATTGTTTATCACTTGCTTACACCCTTTACCTGAAAATAATAACAACAAAATTCATAGTCAAGTGACTTGTAGACAGAAACAATATCCTGAAAAACTTGTAAATATCAACATTTAGTGATGTAACAATTTCAATATCCAATCATAATAATTAATGCTTAAAATAAAATCATGTTACTAATTTTTAAATTTTTGAAAACTTCAGCCCAGTGTATTTACTTTATACATTTTTTTATTACTAATTTATAGGAATGTTTCAAAAACTGATATACAAAATAAAGCTGTTATGATACATGTAGATATATTTTTGAAATAGACGCATTGCAATACTGCAAAATGTTATACATACCAACTTTTTCTCCATTAACGAATGTACCATTGCTGGACATATCCTCAAGAAAAACATGAACACCAGTAGTTGTCAATTGCTGAAATTATCAAAAGTTTTCACTCATTTTTATCAAAGATTTTGCTCTATCAAACTTAAAATTTTAAAAGAGGAAAACTGTTCTGGTATTTGCTTTCCAAAGACGCAACCAACTTTTGAATGGAATTCACCATTTCATTTTGCAATATAAAACAATTCTTTAACTGCATTTAAACAAAAGTTGCCAGTTAAATTATCTCAGAGCTTGATAATAAAAGAAGAACCATGATAATATAGCAATTTTTTTTATTTCAAATAAAGTGATAACTCATTAAAAATCTATGCACGTTATTAGTCTAGGCTAGGCATGAAGTTTTGATCTGATACCTACAGTAGTTGATCCTGCATGCTATAAATTTACAAAGGGGAATAATTCTGTCAATATCCCACTCAAGTGCATATATACATAACAAATGTTTGTGGAAAAGTAAAAACTCAACCAAATGTTATGCCGAAACACAGCTGTTTCAGCGGGTAGGATATTTTACTCAACATTTCTTAAAAATCAATTACAGAATATGAGAAAGCTCAACAAAATAACTTAACAAAGAGTTGTTAACACAACTGATTCACTACAAAACAAAAACTATTCATCAATACAATAAAAATACAATTTCAACTGCATAATTGTCTACTTACTCGTGAAATTTTAAAGTGAACTTTACTATAGGCTTGAAAACATTGATGCTTCTTAGCTCCATTGTTGTTAAATGGAACATCACAATTTTCACCTCTTCCAAATGTATACTCTTCTTTTGACATGTCTGAAATCAGAAAATTGAAAGTAAAAAATCAAACTAATGGATAGACTTTGAAATAAATTTGTTAGGTATACATTTAGTTTTATATTGGTATCTTCAAGTATAAAAGCTAGCCAAACAAACAATTTGTTTTCTGTTGCACAGAAATGCTTTAGAAATACATTTTACTTTATTTAAAGCAATACAGAAATACCCGGTACAAAATATCTATGAAAAAAAGGTTTATCTTTCTGTTATTCCATGCTCCTCTCACAGGACGAGAAAAATGCACAGTCAGACTTAACCTAGGAATACAAATCAGCAGCTCTACCAACTGAAAATCGAGTGAAAAAGGGTGGTTAAAAGGGTTGTGTCCCGAAACCAAGTGCCTATGGTCCATGCTGTATTTCCTGAATGTCATATCTATTTACCTCTGGAAAAATGGTTTCTTAGTCAACAATTATAAATGAAAAACAGCACTGATATATAACATTTTTGTATGGGAACTACTCCCTTGCAAGTAATATATATATTGTATAATTATATCTATAGGCATGTTACATGAAAAAAAAAATGCAGTTTAGATTGTTTGGGAAGATAGGTTTGGAGTTATAGAGAGTTTTGGGGATAGTGACTGATGAACACGTCAAACTGTTAACACCTGTGGCCTTACCAGGAATTTCATTATTAGTCAAAATATATTGACATGCCAAAGCTAGATTCAGAGATATTTTGTTATTGGTCAGAATCAAGCTTCTATAGGCGAGATATTGCCCAGATACAAAATAGCACAATATCTTGTTGCGCAGTACAATTAGTTGGACTAGACCAGGAATATCAAAGCAAGTAGGGCTGTTACAATACGGTAAAAAAAGAGTATTGCAATATCTTGCAATATGCCGCATCCGTATTGCAATATTTTGTAAATATTGATTCATAGAACCTTTTGATATATAGGAATTTGAGTATAAAATTTAAAGATATTTATCTGATTTTTTTTTTTGGAAATTTAATTTTTTCACTGAGGTCAGGGATAATATTTTTTTAATTTTTTGTTTTTTTTTTCCAAAGGCTTGAATGCCCAAATGGGCGAGAAAATCAAAAAGGGCGATTAACGTCTAAAACTTGGGGGAAATTTTCCCCCAAATTTGGCAATGAAGCTTTCCCCAAAAGGGGAAAAAACCCCTTCCCCCGGCAAAAACTTTTTTGGGGGACGATTCCTTTTTCCTCGCAAAAACTCTCCGCCAGACATCCTGCTTTGGGAAATTTGTTCCTTTGTCTAAAGGAATCTCCAAAATAGTGCACCCTTTAAAATTTTTGGAAGTTTGCAACCGTTTAAAGGGTAAAAACCGTTAATTTTGAAACAATTCTTTAAACATGGCAATTAAAAAACCCCCTTTGGAAAAAGACAAAGAAATCAATTTAGGGAAAATGATTTAACGCCTTTGCAAATTCCCGTAACCCAAATATTTTTTAAGGGGGTTAAATGAACCAGTTTTTTTATAAGCTATTTTAATTTTTAAAATTTTTAGCAAAATGTGGGGAAAATTAAATGGTAAAAAAGTTCTTTTTAAAATTGGAAAAAAATTAAAGGGTAATAAAATTTTAAACTTTTTTTTTAAAAAATGTTAAAATTTCAAAAATTTTTTCGGGTTGGGGCAATCCCGGAATAACATATTTATTCCCCGGGTTTTTTTTTGGGGGTTCCCTTGGCTTTTTTTATGAACTTGATATTAAGGAATTATAAATTTGAAGAACCAGCAAGTTTTGACACGAAACCCAGCACTTGTTATTGTTTTGACATATGTGTTTGGAGATGGTAAATACATGTTAATTCTTGTCATATATTTGTGTAAATAACAAGTAACCGTCATTTTTATTAACTTTACTTACTGAGATAATTTAAAGAAACAAGGTAATTCTTTTTCTAGTTGCAACACATCATATTTTTTGGGAATCCCAACCTGCACCAGTTATCATGATATCTTATGGACATTAATGTAGCATCTTATAATACTTATAATTTTATGTCATTTTTCTCTATGATTTGGTTTACGCATTGGTTAAGTAGAGCAGCATGCCTCAAGATATTGGCAATATCCTGGTTTAGGCCCCGGAGGGGTTTGTGTTTGAGACAGTCCGGAACATCTGTGGTTCTACTCAGGTGCTCATCATTCCGAAGCCCTGACCATAGAGGATTGCGAAGCATGTCATTCTTGACATATTTATCTAAATGGAGATTGGCATTGGTAAGAATCTGCTCTAACCAAAGGCTATATTCAGCGACGGACTTGTTAGGTAATAGGTTCCTGTCTGGCACAATAAAATTGTTCTTTCAGGTGTTCAGAAGTGGACACATTACCATAAATAGCTTCCAATTCAGCTATAACATCTGAAATAGTAGCCCATTCGCCCAAATGCAAGAGAACAGTTCGTGCTTTCCCTTTCAAACTAGTACAAATAGCTTCTACTCAGGTGCCAATTTATGCCTGAAATAATGCACGAAAGGCCACCTGAGGTCTTCCTTCACTTGCAATAACACGTAAAAAGTTTTAATCAAGTAAAATGGTTTTGCGCATGATAACCGTGTTAAAGTTCAGACTTGAAGCAGATTTTACACAGGTCAGAAATCAAGCGTTCACAGCAAATCGTTTCCGGCTTCAATTGTCGCAAAATGCCAAATAATATTTTTCTCTTTTTTTTTCATAATTTTATGACATATCGCGAGATTTTTCACAAAATGAACAGGCCCAGGCCCCTTCACAATTTTGACAAAAAATGCCCTGTTAAGATATAGAGGTTATTGAGTGTAGATTTAATACTAGATTTATTGAACCAGTTGAATAAAATCATATTATGCGAGCCTCTGGCGAGCATAATATTCTTTTATTCAATGAGTTCAATAAATTTAGTATTGAATCTACACAAATATAATATTCTATTTATCACATAATTATATAAAATAAGAACGGTAAACTGTTAACAAGAGTCATTTTTCTTTGACGGGCCTATAGTGTAACGCTAACATTTGCATGCTTTAACGCTATGTTTATAGCGCAAACAACATCACGTCAAAGTGTTATTACACTAGTGTAATATCGTCTAGTGTAATATCGTTTTGATTAAATGCCTTTATTACACTTCTTCGCGATTTATGTGATAAATACATTAACTGTTTCCCATGTAAAAAACTGCTAGTCATAATGATAAATATTGTTGAATTATGTGAAGGTTGTATACATTATGTTAATTTTTGTTATACATATGATTATAATATATGTTGTAGGTGTCGGATATTGTGTCAAGCTTGCCATACTGTAAATGGAGCCATATAATCTAACTAAACTTCAACAGCTCACCTTCAATGAAGACCAACTTCAGGTAAGATTCAATGAATATATATGATCATTATTTTATATATGAGTTTTAGTAATAAATACCCAAGATGTTAATGTAACATATCATTAGGAAAAGTAATGTATGGGTAGACAACTTAACTCCAAATTGGAGGTTTTGAGTTTGAAATCCAAGGGTGTTGAAAAAGTTTCTTTCTTTATCCTTGATATATACTGGGGAGTGTATATGACACCCAAGGAACATTTATCTTGCAATTTCAAAGCACTATATAAACATGTATATGTCAGGTCCAAAGGTATGGTTTTACATTTTCTAAAATAAAGCAAAAGTCAGTAAACCATGTTAGTTTTTTTACAGAGTCAAATTTGATACTAGGAATGTTTTCATCTGTAAGCAATTGGCAAATATTAAGTGATGTAAGCAAGTATGCACAGTAAAAAGTGTTTTTTCTTCTAATTCTTTGAGGACTACATTACTGAATTACTGAGAAGAATGGGTGAAAGGTCAAAGAAGGGATTTAGATGTACATGTATATTGTTCATTTAATGTACATGTACGTGTGAAAAATATTTTTGATAAAAATAAATTTTATTTAATCATTGTAACAGGATGGTAGCCTTGATTCATTTAGCAATGTGATTCATTACGACTCAGCACTGTTAGACCAAACCACAGGCAAGAAACAAAATACATCAGAGGTTGAAAACTCAGTTCAGTTTGCATGTAAGTAAATAGAATTAAGTGAGAGGCATGTAGCTAGTAAATTCACAGCAAGCATGTGGAGACAGGGTACACCGCAAGTCAGTTTATTGTTGATTTACAGTCAATAGAGAGATATACATGTATGTGTATTATTGTTCTGAGAGATGCCTTACATTAGAATACTTTGAGGGAAAAAAAAACACAAGCTTAATATAACATTTTGATTCTTTAAGTTGATTTAAGTTGATATTCCAATTTATTGATTTAAAATTAAGACAATCAATTTTGTTGAGAAATACAGTTGTTTTGTAAATCATTTTCAATTCCTTTGACCAAAACTGGTCAATCCAATACAAGAAGTAAAAATTCAACCTGTTGTTGACATGTAGTTTTTCTTTTTCAATCAGTTGTTGTATTTTATTATAAGTTCTTTGACTGTGTTTTTTTTTCAAAGTATTTTACTGTAGCATGTTAAATGATATTCTTTCTCAATATTAAGTTTATTGCGTTATATGAAAAAATACTAATTTCATTATATTATGTTTTTGATACTTTATTAAAGTAAGTTTAATTACCAGTTGGTGTTTAACTTCATAAGGATTGTGAGGAATTAGTATAAATAAAAGCAGTTTTTTACTTTTTATCATGACTGTACAAAAATATCTGTTTTGTTATAACTCAAAAGGACTTACTTAATTTAGTGTGCGGCAAGCTTCTAGTTTTGTATGAAGCATTTTTTCTACATGTGTGAGGTGGTTTTAGTACTCCTTGATACAAATGTTCACCACCGTAAGAAAAAGTGTAATCTAGTGTGAAGCAAATCTCTAGGTCAAAAGTCAAAGTCAAGAAAAGACTTAAGAGATCAAAAAGAAATGCTTTTTCATTAGCAAAACTTCATTTTATATTGAAAGATTTTACTATAACTTGGTACAAATGTTCACTACATTGAGTCAGAGTGTCTCACACAAAATTCAGGTCCCAATGGTATGGTCAAGGTCACACATTATTATTATAATTATTTTTAATTAAGTTGATAAATAACTTTATATAGGAAACTCTAAAACAGATTTCAATGCCCTCACAACCCTAGAAGTTTTTATGTTCTGCCTTGCTTACTCTATATCACGCTTGTATATTTTATTTGCATGTTTTGTTTTGGGTGCAGGGTTAAATCCAAAGCAAGCTCACAAATCCCAGACGCTTTTTCTTCCTACACCATTCCAAGAAGTACAGACAACTCTTCCTTCCCAAGCTAGAGTACTTCCCTCCCCTTTCCAGAACAGGGCTCCACACCAAGAACAGCAAACCAGTCTTAGTAGCGGTGCCATTGCTGATAAATCAGCCAATAATAAAGCTGACAATAAATCTGATGATTTTGCTACAGAGATTCATCAGTTGATTAAAGACGTATATTCAGAAGTACAAGTACCATTTCATCCTCTACAGGAGCAGAATTATATTCCAGACTACATATTTCTCCAACAAAATATACAGCAAGGTGAAGGCTATGTTTTGTTTTGCATGTTTGTTTGAGCAATGCATTTTGTTTATTGTTTTGTTTATATTTATTTACATAATATCTAAATAACTGGTTATTTCATTGTGTGGCAATGTCTGATTGACTTTATATATCATTTGGAAAACCTTCATGAAGTTTCTGTACTCATATCCAGAAAAGACCACTGATGACTTTAAATGCCACAATGCACAATTTTAGATTACATTTTAAACCAACTTTTCCATCTAGAAATGGTTGTTATTAGGTTGACAAAGGTTGTTGTGTCATGTATTATAAAATACTCTTCTGTTTGAACTTTCTTCCAATTTCTATCAAGATTACAACACCTAAACTTTTCAATGAACAATCATTATGAAATGTATGGCATATATTGTGTGGGGTTTGTGACATAATATTTTCATGTGGAATTAAATTCTTAACAAACATTTCTATCAAATGCCCTATGGTGCATTGTTTTGTAATTTCATCATTATATTGTTATTATTATTTTGGGCATATGGTTCGGGCTTCGTGATTCAATTATTTATTTGGAAAAACATGGTTAAGTGATACTTAATTTTAGTAAATTGAAAAACATATCATGAATAGAACCATTTGACAATGACAGGTAGTCTTATTATAGAAAATAAAGTATTGCTCAGAATTATTAGAAGTGATTCTAATCAGTAAATTTATTCCTTTGTCTTTGCAGATTACAAAATGTATTATAGAAAATATATGTATTATTTCTACTTTACTATAAGAATTTTAAATTTAACAGGAACGGAAAGCTGTATTTGTATACGGCTTGCATTGAAGGCAGTCAGATGTATTGTTTCTGAAAGCAGAACAAAGTTTATAAAGACCTTTTGCTCTAAATTACTTCCATCAGTTAATATCCTTGTGATCTTTGTTCATGGTCTCTCTAATTATTCCTTTCATTAGTCCCCGAACCAATAAAAAACAAAAACTTTCTCAAAAATATATTTCTATTGCTTCTTTGAATAAAAATTATATCAGAGACAGATGACCCACTAATGACAGATGCTTGTAAGCTACATCTTATGATATATCATGAAATTCATGAGAAAAGTTTTGACATTATAGTGATAGATGGCATCAAAATGTTTATGTTTAAACAGACCACAACAGTAGCAAAGAAGGTGAACGTTTTTTAGCACAGCCAAGCCGGGTCAAAGTAACACACGTTTACAATCAGACAGTGTGGTCCCAGGTACCAGCCACAGCATCCTCTCATACACCATATATCAATAAAGCACAGGTGAAATTATCAGCTGGTGATATTGTTGTAAAAGGAACAGATATAAGCACTCTGCAGCAGGTTTGTAAAAACGGTTTTACTTCTTTTGTAATATCTTTATTTTAAATCTTTTTATGCCATTATTTTAATATTAACACACTGTTAAGAAGTGTAATTATTTTTTTGTATAAATTTTCTTTGAATAAATGGAAATGATAAATAGTTGTATAAATTTTACAATACTTTCAAATATATAAAGTCCTAGATATAGAGCATGTTTTTGCATACTTCTTCTACTGTTCCTTGATTGCATATTTGAGAGATTGGAGTAAAGAAGATTTTATTTACTGTAGATAAGTATTTATTTAGTTATAAATAATGAAAACATTCATATATGTATTTCATATATCTATAATTATCCCTCTTTTTCACAGTCATGGCAAATTTGAAGTTTTATATGAATAACTATTTATCTTTAACATTCACAACATTTTTCATTTTATTGAGAAGTGAAGCCTACAGGTGGGGCCATTTCCTTCTATTGCAGGGAGCATTTAAGAGTGGATTCCTCTCAGTGGAAATTCTTTAATATCATGCAGTTTGCCCCTAAAATTCAATTTACCTGAATTTTTTCCTACCCACTTTTGCTTAAGTACCATGTATTTATAAATCTGTCCCTTCTGTTTGGTTTTCATGTTTATGTTATATAGTTCTTTTTAGTTTGGCATTAAACTGTCCATTAAGCTTACTTTGTTATACTCTCTTGTAACAGTTAAACTATTTTATTACAGATATCATCAAATACAACTGCTGTAAGAAATAGCAAATTATTAAAAATGGCCGAGAAAGAAGCGGGAAATTCAAATCCTACAGAACCATTTGAGTCAGTGGCTGAAGCTTTACATTTACAGCAATCAGTTATAGGTATACATTGTACTTATTTGTACCGTATAATCAGAAGTATTCATAAGAGATTAGATTTTGCAAGATGAAGGTTTTTGCAAAAAATAAATGTTTGCTTAGTTTGTATGAATCATATAAATTTAATAGAACTGGAAGTAGAAATTCATTAATATTTAACCTCATCAATTCATATGAAATGTGATTTTACAAAACTTTTGCCTTTTGAAAATGTTTGAATTTTCAATAGATTAACAAAAGAAGCCACCTGTAATTTTATTAAAATATAAATGTAGAAACTGAAATATCCCATTATTTTTATATTGAAAAGGCAAGGGAGTTTTAAAGTTATTTTGATATGTTATTTGTTTACATGATAATGCCTCATTTTATTGTCAAATAAAATTTTACTTAAGGTAAAAGTGGCAGTGTAACACCAGTGTCAGCTGAAGTTGTAGCTCAGATTGTGGCCGAGGCAGAACGGAAAATAAAGTTAGGTCAGGCAGTAACACCAACACCAATAGATTCTCATCTACAGGTATTTATAGAAATTAAAATGTTGAAGACTTTCAAGAGGTTGATGCATTGCCTTTTTCTGTTTAGTAAAAAAAAAAAATATTATTTTTAATTTCCACAGAAATGATTTTCTTAATGATAGTACCTTTTTCTTTGTCACAACTACATTCATTTCCTCATTATTCATATACACCTAACCAGAATGTTTTTATTCACAGAAGTCCCAATTATCTGGAGTGGAATCTACAGCAGGAGCACATGTTGATCATCATTCATTTAGCCTCCCTCCTGCACCTAGACTCCCTGATGCTGCCACAACCAGGGAACTTATTCGTATACACTCCCTTGATATCACGCGGTCTTCAGGAGGCACAGCTAAAGTACAGGAACCTGTCCCACAGCGTCAACCAGGACTACAATTACCACAATCTAACTCTGCAAACACAAATCAATTATCTAATGGTGCATCATTGTCAAATAGTGGTTCCCTGGATCACACTTTAAATAAGGGAAGAACATACATACCTCAAACTACAGCAAGAACAGAACATACACAAAGCATAGATAATCTTCCAGATGATAATCAAAGTGTAGCAAGCACTAATAGTGAGCTGGAAGCATTTACAGAGAATGCTACTGACAGTTTCTTACAATCACTGCCACCATTTAGGCCTGTTATACTAAGTGATATAATGCCTGAGCCTAAACCACAAGAACTACGGCATTCACCTCCAGTAAAGGAAACATCCTTTAGACCTTTAAGTGTAAAAGTTGATTCAGCACAACAAAGTCCAGCATTTCAAACATTTGTGACAGACAGTGGTGTGTTTTCACCAGATTCTGAAGGGGCTGTTTCTCCAACTTCGAATACTATTCAACCAAGTAAATCTAAATTTGTTGTTCCAAAACCAGGTCCTTTATTCCAGAGCACGCCAAGAAAACCCATAAATATAAGAGAACAGTTTAAAATGCCAGCCCATTCAAGTAATACTGAAAGTAGTCCACAAGTTGAAGAAGTTAGAAGAGAAAAGGCAAAACTTGAAGGCCAGTTGGAGATGTTATCCATAGAAGCTCAAGCAACTTTACAAGAAAGAGCTGAATTACAAGCGCAAGTTGCATCGCTAAAACTAAAGTTGATGAGTCAGAAAACACAGAGAAATGATGCTGAGAAAGATGTTTTGAGAGCTGACCTTGAGAGTTTGAAGCAGTTAAGAATCTCCCTGGAACAATCTGTGTCTGACCTACAGAGACAGCTTGAGGAACGATCTGAAGAGGGACGTAATCTACAGGAAGATCTGAACCAGTCACAAGAGCAATGTGACAAACTGAATCTCAGAATGGCAGAAATCCGAGATGAATTGAGGACAAAGGAGGTCACTATTCAGGCTTTAAAGAATAAGGTAGCAGAACTTTATGTTGAAGTTCAAACATCTATGCACTCTAAACTGGAAGCTGATAATGATGCAAGGTCTGCTAAGAGTGAACTTGTCTCACTACAGAGTACAAAAGACTGGTACCAGCAACAATTAGAGATAGCTTCTAAGGCAAGATCAGAACTTCAGAAAGAGTTAACAGTGTTACAAGCCCAGGCTGTTTCCCAGTCCAGTATCATTGATAGGTTAAAGTCAGAGAATACAAAACTTAGACAGCAGTTCACAGATATTCAAAACAAAGCATTGAAGGAGAAGGAAATGCTTGCTAAACATTTAGAGACAATAGAAAGTGACATGATGGATAGAGAAGCAGCATTCCAAGAAATACAAAGAGAAAGATCATTTTTAGAAGATACATTTAACACTAAAATTCAGACAGCTGAGGATGAAAAAAGCAGAATAAATTTGCTTATGCAAATGACAAATGATCTGGAAAACCAATTAGACAAAGCACACAATGATCTGAAAAAGAAACAAAATCAAATTAATCAATTAGAAACCGAAAATATTGAGTTAATGAAAAAATTGAGTTTGTCACAAGAAACTGTTTCAGAGAAAGAAACCATAGTTGAAGATTTAAAACACAGTTTGATTGAATTAGATGCTAGGTTAAAAGCCTTTCAGAACAGTATGGTTGATAAAGACACAGAAATTCTGAGACTGAAAGAAGAAAAGGCTAAAACAGAAATAGCTCTAAATGCTGCATTGCAAGAAAAATCATCAGTAGATAAGGTTTTGAATGGACTGAAATCAGATATGGGAAAAGTTGAATCAAGTTTTAAACTTATGAGACAAGAACTAAATACAAAGTCATTGGAGATGAATAAGATTAGATCTGATGGTAAGAGTTCTGAAGAACAAATTGAAATTTTGAAAACTGAGCTTGAAAATGAACGTAGAACTTATGAAGTGGCTAAGTCTGAATTTGAAAATAAATCAGAACTTATTAATGAGTTACAAGATCAGAAAGTCAAGTTAGAAAGTGAGGTATTGTTGCTGACAGAAAAACTTAGTGTCATGGAAGTTTCACATGGAGAGGCAATGAGTGAGAAACAGGTTCTGGACACAGAATTAAGTGCTACTAGAGAAAAACTAGAAGAAGTGAAACAGAAAATAAAAAGTGATAATGAAAGAGAACAAGAGAGATTACAGACATCTAGAGTTGATGATAGTGAGATTATAAAGGTTCAGAATGAATGTGTTCAACTTAGAGAGAAGGTAGCTGAAATGAGCAAGGATGGTAAAAAAGACTTGATGAGGCAGAAAGCCAAATCTGCTAAACTAAGTCAAGATTTGAATGCTGTAAAAACAGAACTGATGGAACGACAGAAAACATTTGATGATAATATTGAATTACTTAGTGCTAAACTTAGGGAAATTGCAGGAGAGAAAGAAAAGTTAGAAACAGAGTTAACTATGGTACATAGGAAGTATGAACTAAGTATACTGGAACAGAAGGATCAAATTGGCTCAGAACTACAGGTAATGCTGTTGAAACTTTGTAAAAAATCAAGTCACAGTAAAAGTAGAGTTCATTCCTTAGAGTTCCTTTTTAATAGAATAACATTATCACATTCTGATTAAAGAATTATTTTCAGTACTTATAGCTGAAAGTTAGCGGTGTACATGTAAATCTGGATTAATTTTATTCAATTTAGTCTATGACATGAGTTTGCCAACAAATAAAAATTTATCATATTTCTTATTAAACATTTATCTTTGCTAACAGAATTTGGCATCAGAAATACAGCATGTACGGTTAGAAAAACAGTCCTTGGAGACTCAGTTTATAGAACTGCAGCATGCTCGGGACTCTGACCTCAACCAGTACAATCATCAGTTGTCTGCTCTTGAAGAGGATTTACGTTTAGCTCTGGAGTCACAAAGAGATACAGCAGTAACTGAAGAAACAAATACAGAACTGCTTCTGGAGCTGGAGAAAGAAAAGGGGAGATTAGCAGGTATGTAAAAAGGAGATAACTCTTTATGTTATAGAGCTTTCAATTTGATTGGGAATAGGTGTATTTTTGCCATTATTTAAGTTGACATTATCAAATTCATGATAAAATAAAACTGCTGATCAATCTTCAAATGGAAAAATGCAAAACTTTGTTAAAACAGGAAAAAAATTATATAGATGGTATTAAATAACATGGCATATTTTATTTTATAACAACAGGTTTGATGCAAAGCAACGCCACTTTAAAGCAACATGTGGCACAACTAGAGGAAGCTCTGGCATCAAGGGAGTCAACTCTTGTAAATATGCAGACACAGTGGACACAGGATATGAGAGAGAAAGAGATAGAATCTCACGAGAACATCAAGAGGGTACAGGCATTAGAGGAAAGTCTACAGAAAGAGAAAGAGGGACAGAGAGATATTCGAAAACAAGTAAAATATTTATACACAATTTTTACCTATTTATTAAAAGTGAAATAAGTGTCATTTATTATTTTATTTTTCTAATAATGATATTTGAACGTATTTTCTAATAATGATATTTGAACGATCATAGATAAAAATATATTGTGGTCATTTGAATGAAATATTTAAAACTAAATTTTCCTTTTTTGTCAAATAATAAACTTTTTATGCCCCACTACTTATGGGTCGACATATAGATTTGCCTTTGTCCATCCCTCTGCCTGGTACTCCAACTGTTCTGATAAAACAGTTGTATTAGGGAGTATCTGTAACCTTTGGACACATTTTTTTTACTTTGTATAATGTCTTGGATTCATTTTGTTTCAAAAATATGTTTAAGACAAATATCAGGACTTCCATGCCATCTTATCATGGTCTGTATTGTTAGCTATTCACTCAGTACTTATTTTGAAATTTTTCTTAAAATTAATGAATGTTATTGTCCAGATTGAACAGATGGAAGTTTGTGTAAAATATTTAAGATAAAACAAAATTTATTTTGTGAAATTTATTTTACAGATTGGCCTTAAGATAACAGAAAACAAGAAATTGAAGCGTCTAAATGATTCTCTCAAACAAGATCAGGAGCAGTTGAAGCAAGATTTATCCCTGCGTGAACAGGAAATAACCATGCTACAGACAGAGCTGGGTACCGGTAAAGAGGAATTAATAGCTAGACAGTCAGAGATTACCTCCCTTGAAACTGGGAACAAGTCTATACGGAGAGAATTAGAACATGTACAACAACAATTGTTTGATAATCTGGCCAGGGAACCAGTCATACAGGAACAGATAAAGGTAATTAAATCTACTGATGACAGGTAGTGAAAATCAAAAGTTTCTTTGGGTTTATGTATAAAATCCGCTCAGACACAGTCACATTTTATTTGTAAGATATGTAAGGAAAGTAATTCATGCAGTAATAATGTTGGTCTTTCTTATCCAATTAACATATTTATTTCAATGAATTATTTTTTGATAATCTTAGAATCATGCAGAATTTTACATTTTGTTCTTTAAAATTCTTTATGTTTTCTTAAATGTTAAATAATGCAGTATAATTTTCAGTGTATTCTGTCAGCTATCAATATAATCAGACACTATTATCAGTATTATGTTTTGTATTTCTGAAACTGAAAACAAAGATATTTTATAATGATTTTAATGAACTTTAAAATAATTGTTTTAGAGTTTGGAGTGGCAGTTAGAACTAAAGTCGAAGGAGCTAGAAGCAGTACAAACACAGATGAAACATTCCGAGGACAGACATGTGACTGAGACAGAGAATATCAGACAACTTCTACATGTATGTTTATATCTTATATTGTCAATTTAAATGTTTGTCACTGTAAGATTGTAAGAAATATATTTCACTGAGTGAACACCAGATGCAATATTTTCATAGCCACTCGTGAAAATAGAAAAGCTGGTGTTCACGAATGAAATATATTTCAATCTTATATGAAAAACAAGTAAATTTTCTTTTAATTTCATGCTAAGTATTTTTTACTAATTTTGCCGTGTAACATCGCGCATTCTCTTTAAAGACGTCATCACATCATGAGGTCACATCATCAAAATATATTTCTGTTAAATTTCTCTTATTTTGTTACATTTTTAACATGATGTATGATGATATCGACTTTCTCCCAAAGAATCAAAATTTATGTATGACAGCATTTATTTTTGCCTGTTATTCCATTTAGTTATCCTATTCTTTTCATTTGCATTCAGATATAGTCAGGCTACAGTGAAAATTATATTTTATAAATTTCACTAGTGGTTTATCAGAATATAATCATCTGATATATTACAGTAAAAAAAACTGGAAAGCATGAAATAAAAACAGATAGTTCAGTTCCTAGATTGTGAATTAACTTAAAACATAATGTTATCTTAAGTGGCAGAGTAGTTAACACATTTGGCTAGTAATCTAAGGATTGCTGGCCTTGTGGGCTCAAATTCCATCAGGGGCAATCTGTTGTTTCCTTGCACTTACTGCTTCATACTGGTTTGTTTAGGGTACAGATTTGAGAGTCTCTTTAACAGCTTCCTACACAATCAAACTCATCTAAAATCTGAATAAACTAAAACATGATCATGTTGTTGTTGTTGTTTACAGGAGAAGACCAGTGAGATAGAACACCTGAAATTAGACATGGCCACAATGAAACATGATAAACAAGTACAGCAGGCAAAACTTTCTGAACTCCGCAGTGCTCTCAAATCATCTATTCAATATCATAAGGTAGATCTATATAACTTGTGTATTAACATGCATGAAAATATCCTGAAAATCTGAAATGTTTATAATGTTGACCTGTATTAATTAGGTTTGTAATTCATTTACAGTAATCATAGTCAACAATACATAATCAGGAAATACTCATTTTGTGTATTCTTGTTGTAGAGTTACGAAGGCAGGCATTGCCCATTTTAGCCTATATAAATCTTGTGTTTTGAAATTGATTATACAGTAGCATAATATTATTAACAAGTCAGAATTATTTTAACAATATTGTATATTTCTATGACAACAGTTGATACAGAAGATGAGTAAGTTACAGTCTATGAGTGGATCAGGTGATGCTGGTACACAAGATTTACCTCCCTTACCATTTGATATAGCTGACATGGACAAACTACTGCAAGAGACAACAGTTAGAGCCCTAGAGAGCAAGTATGTTGTTCTCTTTCTATTTGAATTACTTATTACAGTGCTAAATGTGGTAAAATATATTTCTATAGCTCGAAAAAAATTGAATTTGCTGTTATTTTTTTTTAAACATTTTCTTTTAAATTTGTTATCCCCCGCTGATGGAATCGGGAGGGGGATATAGTTTTGGCGTTGTCCGTCCGTGTCCTTCCATCCGTCAGTCCGAATTTCGTTTCCGGAGTAGTTCTCTGCAACTAATGGCTGGAATTCAACGAAACTTTATGGGAATGTTGATCAGCATGTGAAGTTGTGCACCTGGGTATTTTCGTCTGGATATTTTTAGTATTTTTAGAGTTATTGCCCTTGACTTAGTAAAATTTTGTAATTTTCAACTTGTGTCGCATGTAACTCAAAAAGTATTTGACCTAGAGTCATGAAACTTTACAGGAATGTTGATCAGTATGTGTAGTTGTGCACCTGGGTATTTTCGTCTGGATATTTTTAGTATTTTTAGAGTTATTGCCCTTGACTTAGTAAAATTTTGCAATTTTCAACTTGTGTCGCATGTAACTCAAAAAGTATTTGACCTAGAGTCATGATACTTTACAGGAATGTTGATCAGCATGTGTAGTTGTGCACCTGGGTATTTTCGTCTGGATTTATTTAGTATTTTTAGAGTTATTGCCCTTGACTTAGAAAATGTTTGCAATTTTCAACATGTGTCTCATATAACTCAAAAAGGATTTGACATAGAGTCATTAAACCTTATTGGAAAGTTGCTCAGCATATTTAGTTGGTTCCTGGGGTTTCGCTTGTGGATTTATCCAGTATTTGTAGAGTTATTTCCCTTGACTTAGTAAAAACTGTTTCATTATGTTGTTATTTGATCCTTGAGTGCTTGAGTTAGAATCGACCAACTTTACAGGAATAATGATCAACATCACTAAATTACAGGAATAATGATTCACCTTACTGTGAAGCTATGAACCTGGGACTTTGCATGTGGATTTTTTTCAGTTTTGTTAGAGTTATTGCCCTTGAATTACAGTAGTATAAATTTGCAATTTTCAACTTGGGGTTTGCTTGGGGATTTATTCAGTATTTGTAAAGTTCTTGCCCTTTACTTAGTAAAAAGATTTTTAGTTTTCAAAAAAATTTTGACCTAGAGTCATAAGATTGACAGAACAGTGGCGCGGTGGGGGCACCCGTGTCCTATGGACACATTTCTAGTTTTTATTAAAGAAGAATTAAAATGATTTGTTACAATAACATTTAAAAATATTTGAAAATTTTGTCATGCGTCGTCAGCAATTTCTTTAAACAACATCTCCTCAGAAACAAATGACTGCACAGCAACCAAACTTTACAGGAATGATCCTAGGGTGGTCCCCTGCCAAAGTTGATCAAATGGTTCCGGTCTGTTGCATAAGTAGGTCACAGGGCCAGAAAAGGAGTTTCAAAAATGCAAAATTAAAAAATCTTGTCTGAAAGTACAAGGCCTAGAGCTTTGATATTTGGTATATGATATAACCTATAGGTCCTCTACCAAAATTGTTCAAATTTTAGCCCTGGGGTCAAAATTGGCCCCACTCCAGGGGGTCATAGATTTTCCTTATATGTATATAGTGAAAACTTAAAAATTCTTCTTGTTTGAAGGTACAAGGCTTCAAGTTCAAAGAATATTACAGTTTATGCCATGATTAATATATAAATAAAGCCTTATGTCTTCAGTTGTTGTGTTAATAATAACCAGTACTTGGCGGGGGATATAAATTCAACGAATTTGCTTGTTATATATACAATTGCGTTACAGTAATTTGTAGAGAGTTGATTTGTATAATTTTAAAGATAATCAAACAATTTGGATAACAGCTTATTTTAGACATATTTATCTGTTCATACATTTTTTTCCACAGACCTTTAGACAACTTGCAAAACTGTTTACTGAATTTACGATCGGAGATTTCTGGGCTACAAGCACAAATGGATGTACATAATACTACTATACAGACTTCTACAAATAACTGGAGGTTAGTTAACTTCTTTACCATAATTAATAGGTTTAATTAATTACACCGTAATTGGTTCTTTTGAGCTCCTGTTATTTAAACCAAATTTAATGAGATCCTATATCACTGATAGGTCTTGGTACATTTCTTGCAGTGACATTGGCAAAATATATATAAAAAAAATAAAAATAAAAAATCTTATTGTCTGAAACATTAAAGTATTGACTTAAGATATATGATATGTAAAATACCTCTACCATTAAGTTTGTTTAAATAACGACCCTTTTGGGCAATTTTAATAATCATCAGAAAATTCAATAATTGAAGAGTTTACGATAACTTTCATCATCATATATATATACACATTGCTGTATGAATATGCAAACTGTTTCTAGGGACTAGTCTGATTAGAACTGTGATTGTTGCACATGTAAGGATAAATTTGTTATATTAAATTTTTAACTTTTAAACTTACGCTTGTCAACACAGTTAAGATAGTACATAGTAAATTAACAATTCATTTTAGAATAAAATAAGACATTTCCAGATGTTTTTTGTCCTAGGGCCTACAATTGTTTGACTAACATAAGCCCCTATCTTCTATAGGTAATTCTGAAAAATCTTGACATGAATGATATTATACTTTCAGTACAATAGAGCAGCATGTAGCGGAGTTAACTCATGTGGTACAGACTATCAGTAATACAACAATGAATTCCTCTACAACAGCCTCCCTGGCTGCAGCAGCCGTAGATATGGTAGATAAATCTATGGGAATAATAAATGTCTAATTACACAGTGCATATATACATGTATATTTTTAAAAAATATATTTATAGCTTTTGTGAAAATGGTTATTATGTGTTCATCAAGCATTTTAGAGATTTGAGGGATAGCTGTAAATAGCTGTTAAGTTGCCATACACTTAACATTACTCAAAACTGAAGTAGTGGTCTCACTGGTTTGAGTCAGTTAAAAGTTAGGAAATATTAGATACTTAGCGATTTACCAGGTAGTGAAAAGTATCCTGTTACAGTTAAATTTTATAAGGTGTAATGAATGAAAGTTGGAACCAGTTTTTTTATGAAAGGAGGTAGAGACTGGCAGCATGACTCCTGCTGTCAAGACAGTTATAGAATACATGTATATACAAAACCAAAATATAACTCAGACTTAATTAAGGAACTTGTGATGTGTTGGTTGTTATGTTAAGAGTAGTCCCATATGTTTCACAAGTTAAATTATGTTTTACAAAATGTTTTACATGTTTTTCTGTTTAGTAATAGACATTTTCTATTACATCTAGCAAAATATTGTGTGCTATTTTTCTTACTGTGGCAGTTTGAAAAACAAACTGAAATTAATTATTTACATCTTGAAATATGTATAAGACTTTAGTATCAATCCTTTGCACAGTTTGTAGAAGCTTTCTCTTCTGTAAAGTCACTTCCTATAAACAACAGAAATTATGGTGCTATATAAGAAATAGCCAAAATTTAAAACTCTTTGTTTTCTGGATATTTCTGTACAAATTCTATGATTGTAATTGATTTGTCCATGTTTTTGGTAAGTTAAGAATTACATTGTATTACATGAAGTTGCTTGTTTTACTGTAATATAACCATTGTGTAATATAACCATTATGTATATTTTATATAACATACTTAATATAAATCATTTATGTAAAATATTATGATGTCATTAACTCTATCATGTATAGTATGTGGGGATGTCATTTTAAAACTTGTGCACCTCATAGTGATTTTTAAAACATTTTCTGGTATTATGATGTGACAAAAGTATCACACAGTTGTTGTCATTCCATGTAGGGTACATTAAACTTCATAGATATATTATATGAAGTTTGCCACCGGCTTATTTTGTAACAATTCTACATACATGTACTTGCTTAATTCTAAACGGCAACTAATGTACCAATGTGACCAGTACAGACCCAAGATAAAAAACTATGTGCAGTCTGACCATGGTCTGCACTGTTCATTATTCATTCAGTAAATATTTTAATATTTTCCCTAAACTGATGTATGATTTGGTTCAGATTTAGGGTGGTAAGGTTCAGTGTAAGTTAATATGAAAGGACAACTGATGTAAGATCCTTAATGTGTATGAACTTTTCTAAGATATACTAGTATGTGTGTACAAGAACTCTGTATTGTTTCTCCAATGTAATGTATTGTTCCTCCAATGTAATTATTGTAAGTTATGAATAGATAATGGATCTTTGTCAATGTTTATTTGTTGAATACTTTATAAATTTCATTGTTTTGCAATATTAATTTCTTTGTTATGCAAGAGATTATGATATTCAGTTTTTAATATTATCCTTTTATATCAAAATTATGTTAATGTAATACAGTTAATATTAATGTTAAGATAGAAATGTGTACAAATTAAGATACTCAAGGTCATTGGGGTTATTAATTGTAGATTTTAAAGCTTTGTATACACTGCTCTTTGTAAATATTAATAATTATATGGGGTTAAATGTGTATTGGTAGCTTCTTTCTAAGACATCAATTCATCACAACACCAGATTCTTAAAAACTGGCAGCCATTTTTGATAAAAACATGTAGGTCAAATTCTATTGGCATATAACTTGAATATATATTGCAGACTGATCGAATTGCATATGCTCATATGAGTTAGTCATTGTACTTATAAAACTTTTGTTTTTTTCTTGCATACTATTCCCATCATTTTATTACTAGTATTCTGGTTCTTTGATGCTTAGTTAGTTTATAGTACTTGCAGAGCTTTGATTTGTTTATATTACCAACGGCAAAAATGTAATGGTTTCATTTTTTTTCTCTTTCAAGGATTCTAAATTATATATTTTACACTTTACCCCATGTTGTGTTTACATATTGTTTTCATATCTTTTAAAACAATCCAGATATCTTTTATATCTTTTTTATTTAATCATAAAAGAAAATGAAATGTGCTTTCTTTAAGAAAACTGTTTTTCAAGTGTTAGATATCTTTCATATCTTTATTATTTAATCATTAAAGAAAATGAAATGTTCTTTAAGATAACTATTTTTAAGTGTCCAACTTATACATACAAAACTTTAAATTAACTTCTAAATAAAGGGTGACACTGGACAATTATTGTGCCATTTTATTATGTCTTCTTCAACTTACTTTTTGTTTTTTAACATGTGTAGATGTGTAGTTTATTTATCATTCTTTATGTTTGTTTGATTTTAACTTTATTACACTGAATCTCTGAATATGCACAAATTTAATATGCTTTGTCAATACATTTTTTTTTAATTTGGAATATGTATTGTGATATTAGAAGATTGTTTACTGATTATATAGGGCACTATAGACAGTCACTTTATATGATTTTATAGTTAGTAGATATTTATAAAAACACTTCTTAGAATAGTAATTTGTATTAAGTAGTTATATCATATACTGCATGTAGTTTGTACCACAGGAACTTGAAATTCTATCAATATTAATGATAATATCCAAAATATACCCCCTATATAGTATAAATAATCACATTGATAGAATTTCAAGTTCCTGTGTTTGTACACATATTTCTGAAATGTATAGATATATATAAGCCTTGTCTAGCTATGATGGGTCATGTTCGACCATTCAGCTCACAAGTGCTGCAGTAATTTGCTATTAGCCGAAAGTAATGAGAAATGTTTAAGTAATAATCACTGTAAACTAATTATGATACAAGATCTTTTTTTACTGAAATGGATCGGTTATCTTGACCAAGTCATTATAACAAAATGAGTTGGTTTCTATTTGTATATCTTACATGTGTAAAAGATTTCCTGTATGAAATACCGTGAATGCACTTAATTATGTGGGCATGAAATTACAAGATTTTGTCAAAAAAGGATATTTGTGTGAGTTCTTGAATTAGTGGATTGTCTTGCATTAGTAGAATGTAAGATTTTGCAAAAAATGTAAAATGCAAAAAACTACACTAATTAATCTCACAGCTAATGAAATAAAATTTTGTTGGATCTTAAATTTATGGATTGAACAAACCATGATAACTACAAAAATTAGTGCCCCATAAATAATTATGATTTTGCAGTATGCAAGTATGACACAAATGATCAATCTTGCCATTTAGTCTTTATATTTTGCATTTCTGTTAATTTATTTTACCTTAGTTTTTTTTCTAGTCTCTAACATGTATTTATTCATAAGGCTTTTACTTTTAATCATTTTACACTATAGAACACTATATATTGAATGCTGTTTTTAAAACAGACTACTTTTCCTGGTAAATGTGCCAGCATTTATACAATATAGGCATCATGGGTTCATTATTGAACATGTTTTAGTCACATGTTTCTCATTAAACACAAAATTAGAGCAAAAAGTATGTTTCTATAGTTTACCAGAGATAGCTTCCATAATAATCTAGCTAGAATAATGTTTAACACAAGATATTGAAAGACAAAATGAGTGATTCTCTTTAATTAATCATGTTAGAATGTTTACATTATCATAAATTACATGTTTTGTGTGAGAATGTTCAGTTAGCGGTTGTATAACATCCACATAGAAATCCAGAAAGTTTTTGCAATTAACTGTGCAATTATTTTGCCTAGTCTATATTGTATTACTATATAAAGCATACACATCTGTAAATACTGTCTAAAATATGCCTTCCTAGGCCAAGTGGTTAAGCTTGCAAAATTTTTAAAGCTACATTAAATAAATATGTAAAAATATTTTTGCCGTCGGCCTAAAAACCAAGCATTCTACAGTTTCATTAACCTTTTTAACAGTATCGTTATAAATCTCATCAAATACTGTTCATAAATTAGGATTTTAAATGGAAAACCCCACGGTAACACTAAAGTTCGTATACGAATTTTAACATGCAAATGAAGACTATAATCAGCTCGTGTATGCGCTACGTCACAGTGTTATAGTTGCTGTCCAGAACACAGCAAATAAACGATTTTCTTGTGCAATCACAATTTAACCGTTTAAGCTTCACGGTGCACTAGCCCTGGGGTTCAGAAAAAATAATCATCTCATAAAAAAGATTAAATTTGTATGAAAATATCCGTTACAATGCGGAAATATACCGTTAAATTAGGACTGCTACTTATAGTCATGTTTGTTGATTTTACATTGATGTACGGATGATCTGAAGGCGGAGTTTATCATGCAAACAAAAATTGTACTCCCGAATTCGTTGCACATTTGTATGCTCATAAAACTCATTTTCGTTGTCTGGACACCAAAATAAGACCTGGAGTCGATATGAAACCCAATTTATTATTGACATGTCGCTATTTCTGTTTTTATGAAATTTATTAAATGTAACTTTAATTGCTTACCTGTCACTGATGTATATTCAACAGGTACATTGAAATATTTAATGAGAGGTAGCTGAAAAAGTTGGTTGTTCTAATCAAGAGTCAAACAGTATTCAAGGTCTTCCTCCACTTGTGACCATTAGATCTGAACAATATTAGTGCAGATTCAAAACCAGAAGAAGAATACCTACTCTGGTGTTAAACATGGTGTTACACTAATGACAATGACCACTTATTTAGACAGTATTTATACAGTATACAGTAATACAATATACTACAATATCGGTCCATTTGAATTGTCTCAAGTATTTATTTTACTTAGTGTGTATTACTTTTTTATCTGTAACCCATAATTCTGTTGTATTGTAAATGTTTTTTCTTAGTCTTACACATCTCTAATGAGCATGGTTTTACTGTTAACTCTAGTAAATATAATTTACTGTTAAATGTGTTTTTGTTTGGAGCCTTATATTTGCATCTCAATGTTAGCTATTATTACTGTGTTGTGGAGAAAAAAAAGATGAACTTCATGGCTAAGTGGTAAAAGGTCAATGACTTCAAAACACTTCCCTTAACTGCTGTGAGTTCAATTCCTGCCAGGGACTCTTTCATGTTAGGAAGCTAACAAGCTAGCTTACAGAATGTCAGTGGTTCTACTCTCGTGCCCACACATTCCTGAAATTATGAAAGGTGAATAGGAGGTTTCTCCACCAATAATGCCAGTGGTTCTACTCTGGTGCCAATTAATGCCTAAAATAATGCAAGGTCAACCTGAAGTCTTCCTCCACCAGTAAAGCTTGAAAGTCACCATATGATCTTTACCATATTGGTGCAAAAAGTAAAGAAAGGCTTAAAATATGTTAGCCAGTTTTGCTTTTTGAAAGGTAAAATATCTGACAGGTATCTGTCATAGACACCATCATATGGTAGTGTAATTTAATTGAAGTCATACATAATTCATGTGATAGTATATTGTTACCATAAGGCATTACATCTTGGTCTTCATAGTCCCAATTGTTAGTCTTGCACCTTAAAATGTTAAATATTCTATTTACCATCTTTTATTTCATTGTATTTGTATCTCAATGAGATTTTGCAGTACTAGTTTTTAGAGATGCACAAGATATTTTAAATGATTTTATAATACATTTACATGTAAAGAAGGGTTTATTCATTATTTGGTGACTTAATTTGTAGGCTAAGGCCTTCAAAAAGTCCTCTACAAAACTATCGAGTCACAAAATTATTATATTTATAATGATATTGATTTACCAGTACAGCGCTTTTTTAGTAATTTGTATATATATTCACTTGTATGTTATTTACTGGAAATTTTACCCTTATATAAACACAAAACTTTTTGTTTATTATAGAACAGGATGTTCTGGTAAGGCTTTAATTACTACAAAGCCATAGTACTGGTACATACTTGATTTTAGACAGGGCACTGCATATTTTTAACCAAACATAAGGCTCTGCATAAATAAACTTAAATTTTTGAGTTATAATATAAATGGGTCTATCTGATTTTTGTGAAGAACTTGTATCAGCTGTAATTTTTCCTTTTGTGGGATACTTGATGTACAATAAAGAAAAAGATGACAATAATTAAGTAAAATGAAATTGAACATTTATGTGTAACAATGATCATTTTATATCTTTTTCTTCATCATTAAAATGTAATTTATGTTAAGTTGGGTGTTTTTTGTTATTTTACATGTACTAGTTTATAAAATTTGTATCAAAAAATGTTACTAGTTAATTTCTCATTAATCATAAGTTGATACAGTTGTTAATGTGATATGATTCTGTCTTTTCTTGTTAATATTGGTTGTATAATTCTTGAGGGAATAGAGAGTATTCTAACCTGATTATTGTGTCCTTTTTTTATTTTCCATTACATGGTATATGATATAATACAAACTGATATAAAAACAAAAGTAGCACTTCTGATGATAATTCCGGTGAGAATGTTATGTACATGTGTATATTGACAAGTTTTGCAGTATGTATATAATGAACACAATCCGGACTTGTAAACACATCATCAATTCATAACTATCCAGTATTTGCACTCTCCTCCTGAAATAGAAACTTTAATGTCTCAGAATGGTATGAATTATAAATGTGAATGCAACAAGAACCACTGCTGTGCGGGGGCAACGCTCGACTTTTTACTTTCTCTAAAAGCAAACAAAGAAATGTTTGAACAAAATCTTTAAATATACTAATTTATATATATAAACGCCGCCGCAACTATATCAATACCTCTACTTTTTTTTTTCAAAACAAAAAATGTCGAGCTAAAAACTTAATAACTCTTGGAAAAGATTACCTTGCTATATAATAACAGGTTTTAAACAATTACCCAAATGGTAGTATTCTTGTTTATTGGTTAAATACATGTATCTCAAGTAGTCTTTGTTAAATAGCCTTCAAAGAGTTAAAAGCCTAAAGAAATTCCTAAACAAAATAAAATCTGTCTCGTACTAAAGCCAAACTGTAAGTCAAAAGCTGGTTACCTCCCTAAATCCCACAATGTCCTTTATCAAAGAGGTATTGAGCAAGGGGCAAGTCATTGTTTCAATGAGCAAGAAACATTACACTTTGTGCTAAGTATTTTAAATGGTTGGTTCCAGGAACGGATTTGAGAGTATGTAATCTTATAACTTCCTACACAATCAGACTAAAACAAATTCTGTATAAACTAATGAGGTATTGAAAATACTTACATGTTCTTTATCAGTGAGGAAGTATGTATCGAGCAGTTCATGAGCTTTAGTAGAGATAGTCGTATTACTGTGATACTCTAGCCCCTCAAGACGTGCCACACCCTCATACTTCTCAAATATGTTATAACCCTGAAATACATAACCAATCATAGGATCATGTAAATTTCTCATCAACATGAAAGCATATGCAAAGAATTTCTGTAAACTGTCGTATAAAAAACAAATTTATTGTGGAAAATGGGAAGGCAAGATATCTTACAATGGAATTAACATACTAGTTACAAAGACTAAAGTGCTTATGAATTCTAAAGAAAATTTGGGAGAAATATTAAGAATAATAATCTGGAAGATATTAATAGAACTGAATTTTGCTGTTGTCAAGAAATAAAATTGTTTCACATTATAAGCCATTTTGTAAACAATAGGAAAGACAAATACAAAATCAAGAAATCTGGTTTAAGTGGTTTACTCCTATGATAAAAACTTACAGCTTCTGTTATCTTGAGGATCATTTCACAGAATCCAAGACTAAGGTTTAACAGTTCAACATCATGTGATTTTAATATAGGTATAACACTCTGTAATACATGTTGTTCTAACAGGTAATCACATGCCTCCTGTCCATGACATGCCAGGTTGTTCAACACATACAATGCCTGAAATATACCAGTAAAATAGAAAATATACGAATATTGATCATAAACATTGACAATGTTCATTGGCAAATACAGAACTTATATATGAGACCATGTAACACAAAAGAATAATTAAAACAAGTTATATACTTAGATAGTATCTTAGGCATTCTAAAGTCAAATAATTAGTAACAATCTACTGCAAAAATAAAACAAACTAATGTTACTAAGACATAAAGCAAAATTGTTCAATGGATAGCCTTAACTGAATAAAAGTTATCAACTATTGCAACCAGTAAGGATTGGTATTACAGTGTAACTTCCGAAAACCGAACACCCATGGGACTTGTCAAAAAAAAGTTCGGATTTCAGAGGTTTCCGGAATTCAGAGGATTATGATTATGTGGCCAAGACTAAGCCACTTAATATCACTAAATGTCAAGGAAGATGTGGCCATTACTGTAATATCATATATAATAGTCTTTAAATCAAGAAAAACATGTGAATGAAAAGAATACATTTTTACCTTACCTGCAAATGCTTTTGAATTTCTATCAGTTTGTAGAAATGTTTTTAATTGCATAAACTTACATATTGTCCGATGCTAGTTAATTAATTATTATATCAAATGCAATAAAATCCCTAAAGACGTTTGCTGCATACATTGTCCATTTAATTGTCATTTAATCCGCTAATAAACACTTCAAATTGACTGACCGCTGTAAATTACTTTGATTAACCGCATCACTTCAAAATACAATTTCACAGTTTGTGATTTTAACGCGTGTCAAATTACACGATCACCGCTAATTAGTAAACAATCGATAGGGAGATTAAATCTTCCTGCAGGGTAAACATTCTCGATTTACAATGTATTTCACACCTTTCCGGTTTTTGGAGGTAAAATTGCATTGATTTGACTCTAATTTTACGAAAATATCGTCCGGAATTCAGAATTTAGAAGTTCCGGAATTCAGAAGTAATATATTAATAGAAAAAAGAAGGGAAAAAATCGGTACCGAAAAAATTGTTCGGTTTTTAGAAGTTTCCGGATTTCAGAAGTTCCAGAATTCGGAAGTTACACTGTACACAATTTCAGCAAGTTTAGTTATGGGTTTAAGTATTATCAACCTTTTACTTTAATATTGGAATCTGTCTGGCAGCTTCACATTATTGTCATTAATGAAACAATTACAGTATACTTATAATTCAATAATTGTTACAGTCTACTTATAAGCCTTTATGGTGTACATGTAATTGAACAACAATGTCATGATGTAAAGTTATGAGATGATAGTTGTACCTCTAGTTTGATGTCATGTCCATCTGTGAGCTTATCTTTTAACTTCTCTAGAAGTGGACTATAAGCAATAGAGGTAGCAATTGTAGGCTCACCTGTTAACATAAATAAATCAGATATCATACAAGTATATCTGCAAACATAGCTCAATAGGGACATATCACACAGTTCTTAATTTTATTAATGAAGTGATAGTTTTGTTTAAGATAATCCACAAGTGTTTAACTAAGGATTATGATGAATCACTTAAACATGCAGTTGGAAGACATTGAGCATAATTCAAAGAGGTACTGGAATATCCCAACTCATTTTTCACCTAGTTATCAAAATTCAAATTGTTACATTACAGATACATAATAACTTAATAACAAACCTGACAAATTTGCGAATACCCAAAGAGTTTCCTTCACAATATGGTTAATACTGGAATCTAGATAAACTCCTAGTGTATGTAGCAGACGCGGGTTATCTACTGCTGCCAGAGAATGTTCTTCTGGTCCACTACAAATGTTACCAAGACAACGAAGAAGGGGGGTGACTGTCTACAATTTGTAAGAAATATTCCATTGTTAGCAAACGAATTGTACATTTTATCTGATAAAACAAACAGCTCATTTTTCACAAGCTTATGATACAAATATTCTTAGATGTAAGAAGTATTACTAAATCTACAGAAATATTGCAGAAAGTTTGACAATCATGCACAGCATAGTTTAAAGCACACCAATTACTTGTTAAATAAATTAATTATTCAGTATTATATCATATCAATGAATTGTATTATACATGATGTCATAATTGATGATAATAAGTAAAACTCAAGTAAATAGGTGAATTATTTACCTGTACATCTATTGGATTCTCTGTTACTAGTTTCACTAGAAGACCGACAACAAATGCCAAAATACTTTTCTCTATTAGTGCTGGCACATGTTCCCCTCTGTAACAATTAAAATTCTTCATCTAAATACATGCTTCGTAAGGACATTTGTCAAATACATTACAACTAAGACAATGAATTGTTTAAGCTTGCAAGATTATAATTCAACACAGAAAGTATTTGAGCGGGCAATGACAAAACCAACATAATGGGTTTGCGACCAGCATGGATCCAGACCAGCCTGCGCATACGCGCAGACTGATCAGGATCCATGCTGTTCGCTTACAAACCCTATAACAAGTAGAAACAGTGATAGGTAACAGCATGGATCCTGATCAGACTGCGCGGATGCGCAGGCTGTTCTGGATCCATGCTGGTCGCAAACCCATTATGTTGGTTTTGTCGTGACGCGGCTCATTTGTAAAAATTTGAGATAGTAGATATCTGGCGGTAAAAATAGTAGATTCAGGCATATTTTGCACAAAACATTCACTTGGCTCTTAAATACTCAGATAATTCGAGTTTTAACAGTAATATTTTGAATTAAAATTGTTTTTGTGTAGGTCGCCTGTATTATTTGGAATTTATACCGACACTAATTAAGTAATTTCCTCTAACATTGAATTATTTTGACCATATTCTGTTACAGATGATCTTTTTTTTAAATCTAAGTTTTTGAAATATTGTCAACTCATTTAAAGACATACAGCTTTTAAGTTTACTTCAATAATATGCCTAAATAAGTAAATGACGAAAGTTATGTTTATTTATGTTCAAGACGATTTAAAAACTAAACTACATGTACTCACGTAGTTGTGAGGTAAGTAAGTATCCAAGCTACTTCAGACAAGGTGGCTCTATTCTCCTCTTTTGTATTTAGAAATACTGGCAGCATGTCTATAATACCTGCCTCTACCAGTTCTCTGAAATATAAACAGCATGATGGTCATTTACCAAATAAGTTTCATTCAATTGCTTGGCTTTATCACCCCAGCCAGTTGCCTTACATGTACTCTTAGTCTCTGTTGTTTTATGTCATTGCCCTTGTCAGTATAACAAGAAAATCATTGGATAACAAGATGTCAGAAAAATGTTCCTTGATGACATTTGACTATATCTTACTCAAATCCTATTCAACAGTAGAGTTCTATGCCAGGTATATACATATTAAATATCAAAAAACCTGCCATGACATGAAGCAGCTAAGAAAATAAGAAGAAAACAAGCATTTGATAGTATTGCGGGCAATACAGTAGTCCCCTACCGGTCCCTCAAAAAGTTCTTTAATTGTCATACACTCCTGTGTATTGCCATTTATAATGAATTTGAGGATGAAGTCTGTATTTGAAAATATCGACCACAAAACATAATAAAATAAGTTTGTCTATATCACAGTAATGTGTTAAGTTTCCATGCTTAGTAAGGAAATTATGTTTATACAACCTTGTCATATTATTACGATGTGGGATTTTAAAGTAAATCCTATAAGGAATGAAGAAGTTGGAGTGAAAATACCAGTTTCTCGAAAAAAAATCTAAGTTCAAGGGGACATAATTCTGGAAATAGTCTTGCTAGAGTATTTAACCTTCTCAAAAATGTCGAGTGATAATAAGAAACATATATATGAAGTTTGAAGTAGATACATTAGGAAATAAAGAAGTTATTTAAAAAAGACAACATTTTTTCCCCTAAAAAATCTAAGTTCAAGGGAGGTAATACTGATATTTTTTGTGCTAGAGTTATAAACCTTGTCACATATGATGTGGTTGATGACCAGAAACTTATATTTAAAGTTTGAAGTAAACACCTTAAGGAATAAAGAACATATAGTGAAAAAGCTGAAAAATTTAAATCAGAAATCTTGAAATTCAGGCTATTTGTTGCCATAGCAACCAGAATTTTCAACATAGGAAGAAAAGAAAAAAGATGTGCATAAATCTCCAGACTGCCATCTACCCATATTTCAAGTTTCATAAAAATATTTTCAGTACTTTTTGAGTTATCACTGGATCCAGTTTATGTGTTAAATTTGCCATATTTTCAGACTATTTGTTGCCATAGCAACCAGAATTTTCAACATAGGAAGAAAAAAAAAAGACGTGCATAATCTCCATACTGCCATCTATCCATATATCAAGTTTCATAAAAATATTTTCAGTACTTTTTGCGTTATCGCGGGATCCAGTTTTGTGGACGGACGGACTGACGGACTGACAGACAGACAGACAGACGGACAGACAGACAGACGGACGGAGGGTAAACCTAAAGTCCCCTCCGGTTAAACCGGTAGGGGACTAACTAGAAATGTGTCCATAGGACACGGGTGCCCCCACCGCGCAACTGTTCTGTCAATCTTTTTACTAAGTCAAGGGAAATAACTCTACAAGTACTGAATAAATCCACAAGCGAAACCCCAGGTGCAAATCTAAATATGCTGAGAAACCTGCCCATAAGGTTTAAGGACTATGTCAAATCCTTTTTGAGTAACTTGCGACACAAGTTGAAAATTGCAAAAATTTTCTAAGTGAAGGGCAATAACTCTAAAAATACTAAATAAATCCAGACAAAAATACCTGGTGCACAACTGCACATGCTGATCAATATTCCTGTAAAGTTACATGACTCTAGGTCATATACTTTTTGAGTTACGTGCGACACATGTTGAAAATTACAAAATTTTAATAAGTCAAGGGCAATAACTCTGAAAATACTAAAAATATCCAGACGAAAATACCCAGGTGCACAACTACACATGCTGATCAACATTCCTGTAAAGTTTCATGACTCTAGGTCAAATACTTTTTGAGTTACGTGCGACACAAGTTGAAAATTGCAAAATTTTACTAAGTCAAGGGTAATAACTCTGAAAATACTAAAAATATCCAGACAAAAATACCCAGGTGCACAACTACACATGCTGATCAACATTCCTGTAAAGTTTCATGACTCTAGGTCAAATACTTTTTGAGTTACCTGCGACACAAGTTGAAAATTGCAAAATTTTACTAAGTCAAGGGCAATAACTCTAAAAATACTAAAAATATCCAGACGAAAATACCCAGGTGCACAACTACACATGCCGATCAACATTCCTGTAAAGTTTCATGACTCTAGGTCAAATACTTTTTGAGTTACGTGCGACACAAGTTGAAAATTGCAAAATTTTAATAAGTCAAGGGCAATAACTCTGAAAATACTAAAAATATCCAGACGAAAATACCCAGGTGCACAACTACACATGCTGATCAACATTCCTGTAAAGTTTCATGACTCTAGGTCAAATACTTTTTGAGTTACATGCGACAAGTTGAAAATTGCAAAATTTTACTAAGTCAAGGGCAATAACTCTGAAAATACTAAAAATATCCAGACGAAAATACCCAGGTGCACAACTACACATGCTGATCAACATTCCTGTAAAGTTTCATGACTCTAGGTCAAATACTTTTTGAGTTACATGCGACACAAGTTGAAAATTGCAAAATTTTACTAAGTCAAGGGCAATAACTCTGAAAATACTAAAAATATCCAGACGAAAATACCCAGGTGCACAACTACACATGCTGATCAACATTCCTGTAAAGTTTCATGACTCTAGGTCAAATACTTTTTGAGTTACATGCGACACAAGTTGAAAATTGCAAAATTTTACTAAGTCAAGGGCAATAACTCTGAAAATACTAAAAATATCCAGACGAAAATACCCAGGTGCACAACTACACATGCTGATCAACATTCCTGTAAAGTTTCATGACTCTAGGTCAAATGCTTTTTGAGTTACATGCGACACAAGTTGAAAATTGCAAAATTTTACTAAGTCAAGGGCAATAACTCTGAAAATACTAAAAATATCCAGACGAAAATACCCAGGTGCACAACTACACATGCTGATCAACATTCCTGTAAAGTTTCATGACTCTAGGTCAAATACTTTTTGAGTTATGTGCGACACAAAAGTGAACGGACGGACGGAAGGACGGCCGGACGGACAAGGGTAAATCTAAATGCCCGCCACTAACGTGGGGGCACAAAAAAAACAGAGGATTGAAGGACAAACAAGCAACAGTTGTATGATACTCTGAAAAATTTTCTTGAGCATAAAATCAATTTAAGTCAGATTTGGAAGATATTGCTATCAACCATTTTTAAAATGTCAAATCTTGAAATGTAAAACAAACTCTAGATTCAAATTTCAAATCTGTGATCATTCAAACTAAACTTTCAGATGTGCTACTTGGAAGACCATTTTACTCATAAAAACACGTAAAATATAATAAAAACAGTGGCTAAATATTATCTCTCTCTATTATAAAAGAACTGTGGATGTACAAGTTTACCTGGTAATTTCTGGTGATTCTCTAGTAATGTTTGACAGAGCAAATGCTGAGGACTGTACTACTGCTGGCTGTGTAGACTGTAAACAGAAACTGTCATTGTCAAATTGTTATACTAAATATCCTAAACTATGCATCTGCTTATCAACACACAAGATATTGTGGTGTGAAAAAGTTTCCTTTCAATTTCTCTGAGATATCAATGTCAAGGACATTATTTTTCATACTTTTTTCTTTAATGTTGAATGGAGAGAAGAACTTTTCAAAGTATATGTCAATTATGCATACATCATACTGGTCATAATTATATTCATTACCACTTTGCGAGTATCTTGTCAATTTCACATGACTAAATATGAATTAGATCTATATATCTAATATTTTAAGTAAATTGTAACTATGCTAGCAAAAGTAAGTAACCATAATTAATTTAGTTGTAAGATGAATGAAGTATTGGCCTTATTTGGTAGAGGTTGTTGATTCAAACCTTACAGTCTGCAAGTGTTTTCTCAGTTTTATCTTTTCTGTATTGTCTAAATCATAGCCGTATGACACAAAACATTTCCACTAAATATACCTATGCATAAGTTTTGTTTATAAATGCCATATAGATATACCGGCCACACACTTTTCAAGTGATAAGATCATGTCTCTTTATATAAAACCAGCTATTTCAAGGAAGGGGACTCAAAATAGTGGTTAGTAACATTCATACCTGTAATAAATAATGTATAAACTAAAAGAAGATCAATACTGTGCTAATATAACATAAACAATTCAACTAGCAGTAACATTTTATTAATCATACCTGCAATAATTTGACAAGTGGAGACACAATACCCTGGTCGTACAACAAATTTCTGCAATCTGGACTGTCCCCTGCCAAGTTCCCTAAAGCCCAAGCACATTGGTCCTGTAAGTATATAGGGGTTACTTTAATATTAAAACATAAAAACAATTAAGTTAAAACATAAGATACTACATAAAAATGCAACATAAAGGTATCCAGGGATAATTAGCAAACATGTGTATTATCTATTATTATCTTTTATCTTTGTATAATGTTGATTTCCTGAAATCTGATCATCACAAATACATCAAGCATATACCTGAAGTGAATGGTTATTGGAACTGAGAAATGTAATAAGATAAGGTGCAGCCATCTTGGCCACAGCCATGGCATGATCTGTTGATCCAGCTGATACATTTGTCAGGCACCATGCTGCTTCCTGTTGTAATTCAACATCACTTCCTGTCAAAAATCCCACAATGCACTGCAAGCCATTCTCAACCCTACAAGAAATAAACGTTATAGAGTAATGAAGTAAAACCTATGTCGTTATTAACAGAAATAATAGCCAGCCTTAAACTATCTAAGTAAGGTGAATATAAGGTCTACAGACATTGTATTCCTAGCAATGAGTCCCTAATAAGACATATGTTATGATAAATTTGATGGCAATATATCTCACAAAGTTTATCACCAAAAGGTTTTTCAAATAGTTTATGGTGAAAGGTGATTTGTATATTTAAATAAGTTATTTTTAGTAAACATTGGGGGTATTTAGCTTTGCTGTGCCGTGCTAACAATGACAACAGGACTCATTGTTTTTCTTGTCAAATATGTTATGATTTTAACATTGGAATATAAATATATAAATACTGGCTTTTGCAGTTCAATCAAAACATTAAATAGTATTTTACATAAAACTAAGTGTCTTACTTGAAGAAAGCATCAATGTATTGAGTTCCCTGAGCACAAGCTTGTCTTAATGTCCTCAAGTGCTTAAGTTTATCTGGGTCACTGTGTTGCAACTTCTTTGTTAGCTCTATCACCTAGGAGATAAAATGATTTGACTGGTATAAACTCTTCATTCCTAAACCATACAGTCAATTTGAATTATCAGAGATAATCAATATAAAAAAATAAAGTATGACAACAATCAGTATGGTGACTGGCTTTATACTACTGTCAAAGCAAAATTATGCTTAAGAATTCAAAGATCTTTTGAAAGCTACTTCCTCACAGTTTTAGCAGCATTTATAACATGTTCAAGTCATCTAAATTTGTCAAGGAATGAAAATATGACTCTACAAACAATAAGTATAGCATTAATACAAATATATGTACAAAGAAAATAGTCAGACCATATTTTTATAATAATCGGTCAGATTGGTATTTTATTTAGCCAGTGCGGTACCACATTAACCAAACACTTCATACACTTGCACATTTATCAGTTTCTGTGAAAAAATATTTGAAATAGAAACAGGTCACTTCACTTTCTATGTAATAAAGATAAAATTGTAATTGCCTTTACTTTACGTATTAATAAACACAGATATTAGTACAATATACAGGCTCAGCAAATAATAAGTACTTGTATATATTTTAACAGTCTTGTGTACAGTACTACAATATTATTGAAGTAAGATAGTAACTTACAATTGTTTCTAAAAGTAATTACCATTTTATCAACAGTCTAATACTGTCTAGAATACTTTAATGTAACTAATAAAATATATACATACTGAATCTTCTGTAAATCCATGATCACCATCAGCATTGTGTGTAGCATCCAATCTCAACCTTTTAGAACTCACAATCTTCTCACGCTTTTCCTTTCTCAATGCTGAAATCATCAAACAATCTCACCTGTACATACATACATTGTATTGAACAATGTTGACTGCCAATTCAAAAATAATAAATAGGGGTAAATTAAAATGTCCAGTGCAGCTTTCAATATATCTATATCATTTATCTAACTCCCTAATGAGTGTGGGAGTGTCATTGAGATCAGCCTAAAATTTACATGATGAGTATTGCCAAAATATCACACATATATAATATTAAGTAAACATTGGCTAAAATATTTTATGTGCAATGACTTTGTTTATAAAGTTAGGGACAAACAAGTTATATTAGTCCTATAAATATGATGTTGCTTTGAGATGTTTATACTACCTGATATATCAGACTAAAATACACTCAATGACAGTCTCTATATGAACCAAGTAAATAACCAAGGTATATTGAGTGAAAAAATACGAGTTGTTAAATGTTTCCCTTATCTCCAAGTAAAATCAATATTTCTAATGCTTAAACAATGCAAATTAAGCCATTTTTAAACTGCTAGTTTGGGGCATTTTATGTCTTTTTTAAAATTTATTATGCCAATGAAAAGCTTGTGATCTTAGCTTTGTCTTAGTATATATTTCAACACATCATTTGACACTAAAAGTATTTAAATTTAGGGTTAAACTAGTCCAACTAATTGTACTGCACGACGAGATAAAGTGCTTTTTTGTGTCTGGGCAATATCTTGCGCGATTCTGACCCAGAAAGAAAATATCTCAGAATCTAGCTTTGGCACATCAATATATTTTGACTACCTAGGGTTAAACCTACCACAAGTCGGATCATTTTACACGAGTATACAGTGAGATACACAACCAGTTCTCTTTACTCGCAATTCTACTGATAAGACTAGCCTGTCGTCTGCTAGTTCAGAAACAGTCATCCGGTGTATTGCATATAAGCCTGATTGGGTATAACATTATTCAACCTCTTTGTCAAGGTGTAAATAATTATTTGTATAATTGCTCTGTATTCACATAATTTTATAGGCCTATAGATCTATATAAAAAAAATTTTTGTCTTTTTCTTTGGGGGGGGGGGGGGGGGGGTAGTGTTTTTCTTTCTTTCTCTTTTTTGTTACTTTTTTATCTATTTTTTTTGCACCATTTTCTTATTTCAGGGCGAACAGTGAATGGAGCGAACAGTTCCCTCTGCAAAATCGAATTAAGGGGGCAGGGGACATATTCGAATGATGGCCCCGGTCAAATTTTTTAATAACTCAGACATGGTGTTTTGAAGGTACTGATAACTTCTGATATTTCTCTGTCATTGTAATTCTTTCTTGTTTGTGTGTAGGAAATGAGAAGTATTTTTGGGTTTTTACCCGAAACTAAGCATTTTGGTAGCTTTATATGTATTTCTGACTCTCCGAATGGAGGTGAAAAAGTTAAAAATCAAGCTTTGACAGTTGGCGCCAAACAAGTAAGAAATTTCAGATAAATTTTGTGAAAAATCTAAACGTATGACAGACACTTTATTGGTCATTTCTGAAAATGCCATGGCTTGCACTGCGTGTTACTGATATTTTTAAAGGAATCGGGCGGATTCTGGAGTATGCTGCACCTTCATGAAGATTGCCCATATAGGTATATTTTAGGTGTGATTTTGGCTGGGTGGGGGTAAATATAAATTGCTGTCAGTCATTTTTTGAAGGAGCAATGCATGCAAACTATTATTTTCTTCAATGTATGTCATATATCATTGAATAATGCTGTGCAACTGGTTATCTGCCTGTGAAACAGATTTTGAAATATTTGGAATTGTGTTTCTGTCACACTGAAATACAAAATTGTTCATTTTTAACTGCCCCCTTAAGGAAAATTTTCAAATTTAAAAAATGTGTTGGAATTGAACCAAATGTGCCCATAAACATTCCTTCTACACTTGTTAGTCAAAATTTGAAGTGACTGGTAGGATTTATCAAGTTGTGTAGAGTAAGTAGACTTTCAAGTCAAGGAGGTAATAAAAATTTGGAATTTTGGCAAAAACTGTACTTCACAGAATGTGCACATTTATCCAGATTAAACAGTTTTATATTGTGCAAATTGACATAATAATGCATAATTGAGCACTTTCAATTGTTACAAATGTATATAATGTCATATAAGTCAACAGTGGTATCTTTACTGCACTTTTAGCTGTATGCCAAAGTAAATGGGGTCTGGTTTGCTGTAAAAATTCATTTTGGGACATTAAATGTGGCTGGCTGTAATATTGTTTTTCTTGCTAGAATCTCCTTCCAAAAGACTTTAAATACTCTGAAAATACTTTATGGTATTTAAATGAAGGTGGGAATACAGAAAAATGACCATCTCACAGGTTCCTGGCACTTGATATTAAGTAAATCATATAACAGGCATGGTCATTGTAATAGTTACTTCCCCTGAAATAGGGTCTTTTTTAAATCTTTGATTAAATACAAAGTAACCGCAATACACACTTTTCGAAGTTAACGTTTAATGCGAAAAACTTCATATTTTAAGAAAACAAGCAATTATCATAGTATTGCAAGCAATCCATAAGTCCCCTACCGGTAAGAGCCCAAGCAACATTCTGAAGGGCCATTGGCCATTCACTTATGTTTCTATTTTAAGTGATCACAGTGAACAGTTTTTATGTACAGACAGACAGACAGACTGAAGGACACTCTAAAGTTATTTTTTAAACATCCCTGTTATCAAAATATAACATTTTTAAAGCAAAATTTTAAAAAAAAAGAGATAACCATGTCATACATGATGTGAGTGTAACAAAGAACAATTAGTAATGAAGGTATGAATATTGAATGTTTATTTTGAATTTGAAGTAAATGAAAGTTAGAAGAACGAATAAGAAAAATAAAAAGTTTAAGGAGGAGATAATTCTGGAAATATGGATGCTAGATTTATAAACCTTGTCATATTATTGTCATATTATTATGATGTGGGAGTTTGAAGAAAATCCTATCATAATTGAAGAAAATTACCAATTTCTCAAAAAAAAGTCAAGTTCAAAAGGGGCATAATTCTGGAAATAGTCTTGCTAGAGTATTGAACACTCACAAATGTTGAGTGATAATAAGAAACATTTATATGAAGTTTGAAGTAGATACGTTCAGAAAAAAAGAAGTTATTAAAAAAAACAATGTTTTTTCATGAAAATTTTAAAGGGAAAGACAAGGTTAGAATAAAAACTTGATTTCAGAAAAAGAATACCATAAATAATAAATCTGCAAATTTTCTGCCGCCAAATAATAGTATTAAACGAATGATAACAAAATTTAAAATCGCTAAATCACCGATTTCTACAAATCAGTAAGCGCGGCCATGTTTGTGTATTGGCCGTATAAAAACAGGTGCGCGTGATGTCATTTCCCCACATCTTTAGATTCATGATAAATCTAGTTGAATCGTAAGGAAATATTAATATAATAAAGTATTGACCAGACAATTTAATTTTCACAGGAGGTGTAGAGGAGATTCTTTTTATGGTTCAAAATACGTAACAATATAAAAAAAAAAAATAATAAAAAATAAAGAAACGTACGGCTAGCCAAAAGTTCTAGCCGTATGTGAGTCACGAACGACTAGCCAGGACGCACTGTATTGTCTAGCCGTACGGCACTTTTCAAAATTATATGGAAGTCGAACGTTATAAAATTGTTGATTTTCATGCTTATCATTTGTTGTTTTATTTGTATGAATTATTAAATCATTTTTGTTAATTTTAAGCACATGGATCGAATAATAAATGATCGGAGTGGAATAAATAAATAAAAAGAACATTGAATGGAAAAAAACGGTGAAATGCAAAAAATAATTATATAATTTTCAAAACAGTAGATAAATATCGAACATAAAAGCACAGTCAATCAATTAATTAGCCTTAATTAAAACCTATCCAGGGACTGACAATAGAATTTTAGAATGCCTTTCACGGAACATGCAAACTTTCCTTGATGGACAAACTTCATTACAGTACGGTCGGTAATTGTCGCAATTATCAAGAGCCTAACAACAATCATTTTCAGTGTTTGTTGGTTTTTTTTCATATTAAAGGTGTCGAAAATTAAACTTAATGAAACAAAAAAGGATTATTATCAAAATTTTGTAAACTATTTCAATTGGTGTAAATGCAAGCAAAGGCTATTTTTTCTCGACATCTTGCGATGACAAAGATCGATATATATATAGCGATCAAGGCGATTAATCTCTAAAAAGTTAACATCCGAAGACAATTAATGCTGTTTCTTGGTTAAAATCCTCGCTTAAAGTCATAAAATAACATATGCATTTTCGACTTCCATAAAATTTTGAAAAGTGCCGTACGGCTAGCCAATACAGGGTGTCCTTGCTAGTCGTACCGGACTCACGTACGGCTAAAACTCTTGGCTAGCCGTACGGGCCCGTACGCTAGCCACTTCCATTATAAAAACCCTACTAAAACGTGTTCTTAATAGTACATATATCGTGGACTAACCAGTTCTCAAACCTCTAAGCATTTAAGAGGTCTTTTAATGTAAATAAAAATATATTTTTATAAAAATTCTTTACATATGTGCACTTTAATCTTTATGTAACGTTTCTGTAAAATTTGACTGAAATCAGGTATATATATTATGTTAATATACGTACCTGCTGAAATTCAACTATTAAAAAAGCTCTATTTCCATCTTGGAAAAGCACAACCCTCTGTTTTAAAACTTACATGGCCTCTTAAAATAAAGAACCTAATCTCAAACCCCTTCAAGTATCTCTAAAATTCTACTGTTTAGTTTAGCCAACGAAGTGATTGTTATATGACTATCACATGACAATAAAGTACCCTACACGATGCAGTTACCTGCTTTAAGATATTTTTGTCTATTATATTCATTTTCACAAATAGTTAATGGTGTATCTATGGGACTTACAAAGGTAATAGCAATTTGTATGAAATTACGCTATGTAATAAAATATGTTATGTAAATATTTGTTCCTATGCACTGTTTTCATTTGACATCAGCAGACATGTCTGTCAGAAACTAAGCTTTTATGCACACAAGTTCAGGACATCATAGTCACTTGTAGTAAAAAAATAACAGCACATGAATGAAAGGTTTGAGAATAGGTTGGGTGTGAGATTAGGTACTTATACGATAATTAAATTTTTGCAGTTTGATTCTGACTTTCAAATTTAAAGGTGTGAACATATGTTATAATTGATGTACGCATTTCAAAAATATAAGCAACTCTTTTGAAAAGTAAATTCTTAACATGTCTGTCAACGTATGATGCTGCGCATCGTAATCGTAGCCTAATATTAACTGCAGGCAAATCATTTTTATTAGCTGCTCAAAAATCTAATTTGCATAATTTATTCACACAATTGCTGGTTCTTACTACTTATGTCTAATACTGCGCATTGTCCATTTTAATTGTTCCTAATTTGCACCAAATGTTCCTGTCAAACTGTGTACTGACGATTTTTATTGCTCCTGTGCCGACAGACCTTTTGATCACGCACAATGTTGCCCTGATTGGTTAATCACCCTTGTCAAATATTCTAATGACGAAATTATGGAATGCCGGTAGGGACATGCCAATTTGCTTATTTGCCAATTGCTGAATTGCTTATTTGCTAATTGCCGATTTGCTTATTTGCCAATGGCTGATAGGCTTGACAACAAATTTGCTTATTTGCCAATTGCTGAATCGCTAATTTGCTTATTTGTTAACCGCTGGTTTACGTATTTGCTTATTTGCATATTGCTATATTGCTTTTTTGCAATAGAAAAAGTTTACACTGTGACGGAAGTATATGGAAATCTGACTACAGACAATCAGTTGAGTCAGATCTGTTAACTTTTACCAACAGTGTTCTTGTAAATTCAGTGTTTTTCCAAGAATACTGTTGGTCAATGAATTTAGTTGCAGTGATGCCTACGCAGATACATGTCTACAACTGATGGCTGACATGTCCTTGAGAACACAGACGCTTGGGGGTCAGATCCCGTACCCCAACGTGATACGTGCCCATGTAAACACTCTATTTAAAATATTTAAGTAAACACGAATTGGACATCGTTAAAACTGGTTTTCAAGCAATTTTTACATAATCCGGTATGAAAAAATACCATATACCACCAAGTCTCAATAAAGTACTTAATGGTTTTATCGTTTAATGTCCAATTCGTATTTAAATAAATATTAAAATAGTTTTGATGTAGTGTTAACAGACGCGTATCACGATAGGGGCAGGATCTGACCCGCCAGCATCTGTGCTTGAGAATTGCCTTATAATGTGTTGCAGCTATAGATCTGTTTGTGCAGCTTACGTCAGAGATTAATGGCATAATAAACACTTGATTAGTCATATATAAGTGAAAATTATTGGTGAAAAGATTGAAAATAAAAGAACTTGAAAACAAAACTATTTCTTATTTTATGGCATATAAAATGTCGTTATTCTCAGCAGATTTGTCACAGAGGGCCTCATTTTAGTGGTATGAACACATAGTATCACGAATGATACATTTGGTGCATGCTTAACACGTGTGTTTGTCTTTGCACTTAAGCAATAGGCTTCGTTTTTAGCTCTGTAAGATTTTGAGATCACTTATGTCTGTGTGTGCATCAACATTTTGCTTTGGTTCAATGTTTTACACTTTTCCATTTCTTCATGTTGAACATTTTACATGCCATCAGGTGACCATGACCATGATCATGACCTAGGGTATAATGGACAAAGACTCTTTGAATATTGTGTATGCATGCTGCCTATTTAATGCTTATGTGAAGTTACAGTTAGATATAAGCAATAGTAACAGAGATATGACAGAAAAACAAAGGCTTCGTAGTACAATACATTGGTGACCTTGACATTGAGTATATAACGGGCACAGCTTTTTCATGTACTTTGTATGCATGCTTGTAAAGCAAAGTTGATGCAAAGTTGTAGTAAGATGCATGAATCAGCAAAAGTAACAGATATATTATGACAGAAAAACAAGTTACCAAGAAAACCAATGCCTTGGTGGGTAGAATAGCATCCCTATTCTCTGAATAGTGGAGCGAAAACTGAAACTCAAGATAATTAAAAAAACAACTACATTTTTAAACTGAATTTATTTGTTTCGAAATTGAATAAAAAGTATCCATCTGTCTTTCTACCTATATTTTAGGTAATGATGGATTGATCATAATTGTCACAAGTTATAAGTAACAAAAACATTATAACATGATATTGGTTCATGAACTTGAAATAAAGTCTACAAAGACTTGTTATGTCATAACAAACAAGAACATCGCGAGTCGGACGTGTCTCCTGACAATATCATACAATTACATTAATGTATATAAGCAAATAAGCAATTAGCAAATAAGCAAATTGGCAAATCAGCAATTAGCAAATAAGCAAATTGGCAAATCAGCAATTAGCAAATAAGCAATTCAGTAGTTAGCAAATAAGCAAAGTGGCATGTCCCTACCGGCATTCCATACGAAATAGACATCTATTTTTTTTTACGCTTCATCAGTGAACTGAATGACCTTAGGGGGAATTAGGTTCCACACCTGTCAAATTATACTGTAGTAAATTACAGCACGTCATAAAATAGCAACATATTTTTTTTCAGTTACCAATAATCATTTTAAATATTAAGTAGATTTTTGTTTTTTTGTTTTATTGGATTAAATTTACGGTAGTAGAAATGCGTATCTGTCGGGGAAAGGAATTTGGTAAGTAGATAACGTGGAAAAAAGCTTTAGGGAACTGGATAAACCCGAGAATATGCGTAATTATAGGGGAATGGGCAACCTGTTGCTGTTGGTACCAGTTTTGACTGGGTGCCTGAATAACCTAACGGACAGTTTTGTTTTCATGCGATATTAGTCTGGCTGCCGATTTTCCTGCGCCATTCTCATTTTTAGCGTCAATGGCGGAAAATCGCGTCCTCAGCATATTGGATTTTACCTGAAAAAAAGATACATGACCGGCGATGTACCCTATTTGGACAGCTTGTCTAGCGAAAATTAAGTACAAAATAAAAGGATATATCGTCAATTTGAAGAAGTTTCTCATAGTACCCAAATTAAATTTATGGTTTATCTTTGAAAATTAAGCAGTCATTGCTTAAATCATGTGGTGGGATCATCAGCAAGCTTGAATATCGGACAAATGATAATTAATGTCGCGGCGTCTTCAATTAATTAATTAACGCAATTCAGTTCCATATGATGTTTTCATAAATAATATATAATGTACGCAATAAAATTAATAAGTTCTTCATCAAGATATATTTCAGTTGTACCAGCGTGTACACCTATACCGGAAGTGGGTGTAACACGTCACAATCTCGGTCTCGTCTGTCTTGCGAGAATGACAGAACGCCAAAATGGCGGCGCCCATGAACTTATTTCTCAAGTAAAAAATAGTGTCTTAAAACACGAATTTCTCTCTTATAGGGTTGATGTCAATAGGAAAACTGTCATGGTTCCTCTTTTTAAATGATGAATATTTATATTAGACAGACATCAATCCATCCATTCCTATTCCTTTAAGTTCCAGGGAGGTAATTCTGATAAATTTTGTGCTAGAGTTGTAAACTTTGTCACATATGATGTGGTTGATGACTAGCAACTTATATTTAAAGTTTGAAGAAAATACCTTAAGAAATAAAGAACTAATAGTGAAAAAACTGAAAAACTAGAAACAGAAATCTTGAAATTCAGTCTATTTGTTGCCATAGCAACCAGAATTTTCAATACAGGAAGATAAGAAAAGAATGTGCATAATTTCCATACTGCCATCTACCAATATGTCAAGTTTCATAAAAATATTTTCAGTAATTTTTGCGTTATCACTGGATCCAGGTAATGTGTAAAATTTGCCATATTTTCAGTCTATTTGTTGCCATAGCAACCAGAATTTTCAGCATAGGAAAAAAAGAAAAAGACGTGCATAATCTCCATACTGCCATCTATCCATATATCAAGTTTCATAAAAATATTTTCAGTACTTTTTGCGGTATCGCGGGATCCAGGTTATGTGTAAAATTAGCCATATTTTCAGTCTATTTGTTGCCATAGCAACCAGAATTTTCAACATAGGAAGAAAAGAAAAAGACGTGCATAATCTCCATACTGCCATCTATCCATATATCAAGTTTCATTAAAATATTTTCAGTACTTTTTGCGTTATCGCGGGATCCAGTTTTGTGGACGGACGGACTGACGGACGGACAGACGGACGGACAGACGGACGGAGGGTAAACCTAAAGTCCCCTCCGGTAAACCGGTAGGGGACTAATAAAAGGAAACGCTTTAATGCGAATCACATAAAAAATCTTAAGGGGGCAGGGGACATATTCGAATGATGGCCCCGGTCAAATTTTTTAATAACTCAGACATGGTGTTTTGAAGGTACTGATAACTTCTGATATTTCTCTGTCATTGTAATTCTTTCTTGTTTGTGTGTAGGAAATGAGAAGTATTTTTGGGTTTTTACCCGAAACTAAGCATTTTGGTAGCTATATATGTATTTCTGACTCTCCGAATGGAGGTGAAAAAGTTAAAAATCAAGCTTTGACAGTTGGCGCCAAACAAGTAAGAAATTTCAGATAAATTTTGTGAAAAATCTAAACGTATGACAGACACTTTATTGGTCATTTCTGAAAATGCCATGGCTTGCACTGCGTGTTATTGATATTTTTAAAGGAATCGGGCGGATTCTGGAGTATGCTGCACCTTCATGAAGATTGCCCATATAGGTATATTTAGGTGTGATTTTGGCTGGGTGGGGGTAAATATAAATTGCTGTCAGTCATTTTTTGAAGGAGCAATGCATGCAAACTATTATTTTCTTCAAATGTATGTCATATATCATTGAATAATGCTGTGCAACTGGTTATCTGCCTGTGAAACAGATTTTGAAATATTTGGAATTGTGTTTCTGGTCACACTGAAATACAAAATTGTTCATTTTTAGGTCCCCTGCCCCCTAAAAATGATGTTCTACTAAATGATTTTTACAAACAACTTCCTGTCCTCTTCTTTCTTTTATTTTGCTGACTGAATCAGTTTTATGTTTGTATTTATCTTTGTGCGGAGACGGATCCATGCTTCTGAAATTAATTTCGCACACTTTTGATGTTTCTACAGAAAAAGTTATTCTGCATAGCCACCGGTAATTTAAGACCAACTAATAGACGGTATTCGGTCTTCCGACTTCGTCGGTCAGCGCCATCGATTAATACATTAACATGTATACATGTATATGTATTTGATATTCAATAGTACAGTAAGCAGTTACATATATCTATTTTGTACAAAGTACATTTACCGACATAATAAAGTTCCGCCTATTTATTTTTTATCGTTATCCATTAATTTGGTCATTTATTTTTAACTTATAATCCCTCTGCAGCCCTGGTTAAATTTGACAAATGGAACAAATAATTCCTGCATAACTACATGTAGTATAGAAAGGCATGCCTATGCCTTGTTAAAGTATGTCAAAACCTGACAAACGTTGTTTTATTGACTAACAGAGGTCTATTTTGAACTAAAATGGTCTTTACGTTTTCTCTATTTCTTTTTAAATTAGACAAATCTGTGACATAATGGTCTCAACCCGGTACGGAATTAGACCGAAACCCATTGTAGTCTAGAAAGTAGTTCTTTAAAATTTTGAAATGGCCCAATTTAAGCCATCTCTAGTTAGATTGGTCATAATTAAAGTGTATTTATTGCATGTGTGTAGTTTTTGTGTGTTATATGATGACTTTAAAAGTTGTTTTTTGTGTATTCTCCAGGAACTCATTTGTTGGTGGAAGGATTAAAGATGTACTACCCACCAGCTGTCAGGAGTTTTTAAAGTGGTGAATTTAAACAGTGTTACAACAGAATGAAGATTTCTGAAAAAAGTAGATGGCTAACCTATTATATTTTGGGCCTCATTGGACTAAGATAGTGTTAATGTTTAAAGTTGAAGACATTATATAATTCATTAAGAACAGTGGAATCCAGAATTAAGCCTCAAATTTGACTGATTTACTATAGAACAAATAGTACGAAAATTCACCGGGCCGAGGCCAATAATAATCCTTCTAGGGACACTTAATTTATGAAAATGGTTATAAAGAGAAATATAAGAAATAAAGCCGGAAGCAGATTTATCTTTTAAAAATATTTATTGATAATTTAATATATACAAGTAAGAATTTTCAGAAACAAAATCGTAAGCATAAATGTTGCTGATGTCGAATCATCAATCATTTGTAATATCATTTAGAGCTTTTCATATATATATGATGCCGACCTGCGAGAGATTGGTTATCGCAGGGTCTTTCAAATAAATATTTGAAAGACCCTGGTTATCGTAACTGATGAATGATATATATAATCTTTTATTCCACTTTTCAGTGACTGATATAACAATTAATTAACATATTTACATGAGAACATGACATAATAACATACGATTACTGATGATATACACGAAAAACATGTCATACACAATGTCATACATTAAATATAGAGTTACATTATATAGAATTTATAACATGCATACACAATGTTAACTTATTAATAAGCACATGATATATTGTCAATGTTCGACATAATGGTATTTACTGAATATTTTTAATGCACTTTTACTAAATATTTTCCCGATTGCATTTATAACTTATCGAAAACACGAAATATAAGTGTCATGTAAAGGAACATTTAGTATGGATTTATTATATTGCATTTAAAACCTTATAGAAGTCTAAGATAAACATCTTCTCATGGAGAATGTTATTAGAATGTTGTAGAGATTACTTTTTATATTCCATCGTTAGGTCGTGAACGTATTTACAGCATAGGTTGGTAAAGCCTTTTTGGAGTTCTGGATTAATACCAAAGACAGCCAATAAATTAGAATCAAAGAGTCCTCGCAAGAATGCTTCCGAGTTAATTCTAAGAAAATAGCTGCAAACTTCAGAGCTAAATTTCTGATTAATTGAATGTGTAAAGCGTGTTCGTTCACGTGTTAATGTATCACATTCAGCTAAGATATGTCTGTTTATATCACTAGTTTCTTGTAGACATTTTGTACAGGAATAACTTGTATAAAACTGTCGATATAGAACTATTTTCGTTGCACTTATAGCATGTTTAATCTCACTGTTTGTATTTGAAAACAGCCATAAATGTAAAGGCGTTACTCATTGATGAACTGCTATAAATCTGTCAAAATCTCTGTCACTGTTAATTCTTTGTTGCCACATCTTGTTTTGTGTATGTGTAATTGCCTTCTTAATAGTATTTTTCCACGAGTATTTGCATGGAAAATGTGCATGTTTCATGTAGACAGAAATGAAATGGAATAATCCGTATTTGTACAATAGTCTGCATATTTCTGGAACAAAGTCGCGTTGATTACATTAACCTTTCATAACAATAAGTTAAGTCTGTAATTAAATTGTTTTCTTGACAGGTAGTGTGTTGGTATAGTACACAGTTTTTGTAGGAAAGTTAGCTTTCTCTGGTCTATGACTGCTTCAATAGTAAACCATCCCATGCAATGTGCTCAGAGCCATGTCCGTTCTAGTAGATAATACGATGCCTTTATAATGAAGAAAAAAACCCAGATTTACTCGTCTGATTGGAGGGTGGGATCGAGGCACTATTTAATTACAGAAACTACAGATATTATTGAAACAAACAAAAATGGCATTTTTATCATAAAAGTTTGATGATGAATAACATATTTGCCATTTTCTTACTTTGTTCAATGGTAAAATAATATATTATTTTCTGTCGTCTGCTACTATTGACTTTGTTTAACAAAAATTTATATTTGACAAATTACAGAGTATCTCTATACCGACCACACTTTGTAAAGGATTTCTCATGTAAGTCAAGGAAAATCTATAGTATAGTCTGACCTTTTATCCGATGGTACGGAACTGGATGGCTCTTAGCTGAAAAATCATCACTCCAATAATTTCCTTCATGTAATTATACTGTATTCTCCACTTATGTTTATGTAAAACATTATTTTAAAAGATTAAAAAGATGTAGATAATAAACTTTAAACCAATTTAATTAATAAATTAGTATGACATTGAAGCAACCAGTTGATACACTACTTTGTCACATGATTTCGCGACATAAATTAGGAATATATCGCAAGGCAATCTCCAGTTTAGCTGTTTAGACCCCTCGGGCCTGTCTAAAACGCGGACGCCTTAAGCGGACAATATAAACATATAGGGAAAACGCTGACAATATAGACAAAGAGGAAAAAAGCGGACGATATAGATATATAGTTTAGACTTATTGGTAATGACATGCTGTTTTTTTTATTGATACAATATAAGCAGAAGTGTGCTGCAAATTAACGGTAATTATATAAGTGTGAACAACACGCTACTGATTAATCGTGTCGGCACTTAGCTAGAGATAACATGATACGCATTTTGCGGACAATATAGATATATAGGGAAAACGCTGACGATACTGGCATGCGAGCAGTTCCCGTACAAAAATCATAGTTACTTAAACATCATTTTTTATTACGCGCACTCACCAAAATTTGAATGTTACACATCAATATTCGGCTCGTCACACAAATCATGGAAATTCCATCATGTTCTAAACATAGAATAACCCTTCCTTATGGGGCCTCATATGGGGTACCGAAATTATCCATTATTTTGTATGAAGAGAAGTAGTTCCCGTACAATAAATCTAACCCATTATAATTATACAATTTTATTATATCGGACCTATTTTTCATTTACAATTGTTGAACAGACCATTATCTTAGAGATAAATAGATGAAATTCAGGAAATAGAGCGTAGACTAAACGCGGATATCTATTACCCGGTACCGTTACCCCAACGCATTCACATGCAATAGCATTCTTGTATGCATGATATTTTACGCATCAAAGGCATAAAATTATTTTATATTGTAATATTGGTCAAAATTCTGATAATTAAACAAGTTTTCATCACATTGCCTACTTATTTGTAAACAGGTGGTATTAGTGGAAAACCCTTTAACAAGCCTCGCGTGTAAGTATTTTTGCGCATGCGCGCAATGACGGAATCCCCCAGAGAAAACAAGGTCACGTTTTGACGACGCACAGGTGAAAGTGATTTAAAATGAGACTTTTTATATGTACTGTCGAACTGACACTTAGATTTTTTTTTGTTTATGTATCTGCTTGATTTGAAATGACTTTTTTAACAATGCAAGTGAAAATCAAGCGTTTAAATGAAAAATACGGGTATTGCTTCTGTACGGGAACTGCTCGCATGCCAGTATAGATATAGAGGAAAAAAGCGGACGATATAGAAATTTAGAGTAGACGTATACTCTTGTGACGGACACGTGTTGCAAATTAACGACAATTAAGTGTCAACAACATGCTACCTGATTGAACCTGTCCGCTCTTTGCCCTATTTTTGCGGACAATAAAATTATATAGAGAAAAAGCGGACGATATAGATATATTGGAAAAAAGCGGGCGCTATAGATATAGTGTAGAATGATGTAGAATGAATCGTAGATAAGATCTGTACAAAGACGTTTACGTAAACAAAAAGAAGTAATAAAAGCAATTGCATACAATCCACAATCTACACTATTATTTTGTTTGATAACATTTGGTACATTAACTGCTATTGATGATTGATTAGATCCATAAAGCTGGGATAATTGAATTTTCAAGCCGTTTGGTATTATTCTGTCATTTGGTCTATCATTGCCTAAACTGTCCATTAAATGAATTTGATTATCTATATTAAACGATGCTACCCAGTGGTCATGATGATTGTGGTGTATTTGGCAGGCCGGTGACTGTGCAGGTTCGAGTGGAAATTTACAACACCATCTTTTTTCTAGTTCATTAAAAGCGGGCACTTTCTCGGTTAGCAACAACCCACCTATTTCGCCCATAGTTTGTTGTCGCAACGATATTTTTTATTCATAACAGTTTTCTATTTTCCCGTTCTATACGTTTATTTCGTCAGCGTTTTCCCTCTATATCTACATCGTCCGCTTTTTCACTATGTGTCTATATTGTCCGCGTTTTCTGTAGCCACTTAATTAATTGTACAAGGGTGAGATGTATGATTACTTGAAATATACAAGTGTCGGTGCGTGATTAAGTCAAATACACAGGTGACACGTGTATACTTTAATTAGTTGATTGGTATTTATAGCAGAACGTTTCTTTTATTTAATTTATGGATAAAATATAAATAAAACTAAAAAATATTATGAATTAAAGAAAGTTAATTGATATAAATTAATTATATACATGGTAGAAGCCAGATATTTTTTTATTCATAACAGTTTTCTATTCTCCCGTTCTATACATTTATTTCGTCAGCGTTTTCCCTCTATATCTATATCTTTCGCTTTTTCACTATATGTCTATATTGTCTGCATTTTCTGTAGCCACTCAGTGATTTTTTTCACTGTATTTTACAGCCGAATAAAGGCTGTTTCCCCTAGCCCAAAATAGGTAAAATTTCCCCTAAAAATGCTTATATTTTCCCCTAAAATGCCTTATATCAGCTAGAAGACAGAAATCTGTCACTATAGATAGCCTCTGCTATGTACCATGCATGCTAAATTGAATTGAAATCAAAATTTTATATAAAATGTGTGGGTATATTACATTTTTAGTTGTATGAATTTGATTTCAGGTTTTCCCCCTTTTCTGTTTTATCGCGCAATATTTTCCCCTTTCGAAAGCCACAGGTTGTTTTGAAAATTGGAAAAAAAATCACTGCCACTTTATTAATTGTACAAGGGTGAGATGTATGATTACTTGAAAAATACAAGTGTCGGTGCGTGATTAAGTCAAATACACAGGTGACACGTGGATACTTTAATTAGTTGATTGGTATTTATAGCAGAAAGTTTTCTTTATTTACTTAATGGATAAATATAAACAAAACTAAAAAATATTATGAATTAAAGAAAGTTAATTTGATATAAATTAATTTATACATGGTAGAAGCCAGATATTTTTTATTCATAACAGTTTTTCTATTTCCCGTTCTATACATTTATTTCGTCAGCGTTTCCCTCTATATCTATATCGTCCGCTTTTCACTATATGTCTATATTGTCCGCATTTTCTGTAGCCACTTTATTAATTGTACAAGGGTGAGATGTATGATTACTTGAAATATACAAGTGTTGATGCGTGATTAAGTCAAATACACAGGTGACACGTGTATACTTTAATTAGTTGATTGGTATTTTTACAGAAAGTTTCTTTTGTTTACTTAATGGATAAAATATAAATAAAACTAAAAAATATTATGAATTAAAGAAAGTTAATTGATATAAATTAATTATATACATGGTAGAAGCCAGATATTTTTTTATTCATAACAGTTTTCTATTCTCCCGTTCTATACATTTATTTCGTCAGCGTTTTCCCTCTATATCTATCAGACCTGGGGATGATTACATTGATCAGTAATTGATTTAATTACAATTACTTTCAGATTTTATTGTAATTGATTACAATTGATTACTCAGACTTGCCTCTGTAATCAATTAAATTACAATTACTTTAAGAAAGTAATTGATTGATAATTGATTACATTCAATGTATAACTATAAAAACAAATCTTTCTTAATGCTATTTAATATATTACTAATATACAATTATATACACAAAGGATTTCCAGCTCATCAACAGTCATCATTTAACACACTTTTAGTTACTGTCACATCAATTTATCATATTTTAGCATTGCACTTTAAGCATCATAAGTTCATGAAATCGTCTGTCAGTCAGACTGCATCTATCAGGACAGAAAAATTACCCCGCAACACAAAAACAAATGCTCTACAGGGGCTGATGATGCAAGAATCCTCAGTCTTCTGGTGTAGGTTTCATAATTAACCTCCTGCAACAGAAATTTTGAAAAGTTGTCAATTGTACAGTATGCTGTATACAGGCTTAAAAACAGGTGTGAAAAAATAAATTTTGTATGGAATTCAAAGAGACAAACAAAGGCTTTACAAAAAAATATCAATTTTTACAAACACTTCCAATGATACAACAGTATCCATTATAATATAGACACATTGTCTAATCACCTTACAAAAAACTTTGCATTATAATTAAAATATGGTAAATGTGCATCTGACATTAAAACTCTAGAATACTACAAAGTAAAAGAAGTTATCTACATTGTTTGAAACTTTTTAAAACATGGTTAAACCAAAATATGTGAAACAAAATTTAACATACCTGTATGTGGGTAATGAAATTTGAATGTGACTTAGTGTTTCCATTTATCTTCCTAGGGCACAATTTGCACTGTGCTGTCACATTTCCAGATGTCTCTTTAGGAAATTCAGACATCATAAATCCAATGATTTGACATTTTGGTTAGAATACCAGCCAAACAATGATTGTATATCTTTCAAACTGTATGGATTAAAACTTATTTCTTCATTGTGAGTGATGTCTTAAAACATCTCACTTGATGTTTTACTACCTTTATGGACAATCATTGTTTATTATGACAATTTCTATTATTTACTTCAAATATGAATATCAATAGAGAAATTCTTTCTATTCAATAAAAATGTTGCTATTGTGTATCAAAATCAATTTACACTCTACAATATGTGATTAAAGATCATTATAAAGGAGTATAAGTTAAACTGTAACATGTGAAATAAATCATTTGAATTTCAATTGAGTTTCATGTAAAATCTGAAAGTAATCAACATCAATCAAATTGTTATCATAATTACAGACTGAATTTAAGCTGTAATTGATTAATTACAATTAATGTAATCAATTTTGAGCAAGGTAATCAATTACATGATGATTACAGTGTAATCATGTAATCAATTAAAAAATCAATGATTACGATTAGTGATTACCCCAGGTCTGATATCTATATCGTCCGCTTTTTCACTATATGTCTATATTGTCCGCATCTTGTGCCCTTATTCAGTTTTCCGCACGTGACTGTTGCATGTTTTGTACTGTTTAATTAAAAGTTATTAAGTCAATTAACACGAACAAATAAAAAACATAAATTTAAGAATTTGAACAAATAAATAAACTAAAGTCTTTTTTAATTATTATAATAATTACACCTTTCAGATATTACTTTATAAAAGCCAATTATTAGCCTTTAATATGAATTTAACTATGCTCAGTCATTTTACACTATATATCTATATCGTCCGCTTTTTTCCTCTTTGTCTATATCGTCAGCGTTTTCCCTATATGTTTATATTGTCCGCTTAAGGCGTCCGCGTTTTAGACTGCGCCTAGAATTACTGAAAGATAACTGAATTCACTTAAAAAACCCCATAAGATATGATGGAATTATACATTTAGATGTGATTAAACAGTTACATCTTAAGTTCATTTCCTAACCCAAATTACAATACAGTAATTTATATTTTCTTAAACTGGGAAGTCAAAGAACAGCTTTGAGCCTTTCTGGTGTGGGTCTGGGCTGTGGCTCACCCGACTATAAACTACACAGCACTAATTTTGTATTATCACTTTTTCTATGGTAATGGCATATTTCCCAGGGGTATGGCTCATTGATTGTTCACAAAATATGTTTGATAAACGAAAACATATATCCAAAGTACAGATTAGTATAAAGTGTAATAGAAATGGATTTAGAATTAATTTCAGACTTTGGATAAATGTTTTTGAAAAATTTAAAAAAAAATAGATTTGCTTTGATTAAGGGTGTAAAGGCATACCTTACTTGCTGTATATCGTACCGTTTTCACTCGGTATGGTTCACTGTACAACAAATCACCCATAGAGTACGGGATGGTATGGCATTTAAGACCATTTTCAAGGGAAGTAATTATTTCAGTATAAATTGCAGAAGATGATCAGTGGGTGTTAAGTTCGAAATATGATTTTTTTTTTATAACAGGTGAAAAAATAATGGGGAAAATGTCTTCTTTGACTGCTACTTCAATGCCCTGAATTTATATTTCCAACATATCGTTATTTTTGTAAGAACTGACCATCGGCTGAAACAGCCTTTTTGGAAACACTTTTTGGCCAGCTTAAATTCGTAAATAAATAATTATACGTTATCTTGACACTTTTGCAAATAAAACCCACATTGTTGAATCTTCAACGGATATATTTAATGTGTTATAAGTGAATAAAGTAAAATAATTTTTGTGTTCAGCTTAATATGCTCATTATGACACATGGTAGGCAAATTGTGTCATCTATAAATGAAGAACATTTTAAATTTTACTATTAAACTTTAGTAATTTATCCAAAATAGCATTTACCTTACATATGACATTTTCAATAAAAATGTGATGTTTCTATTAACTGTGCATCTATATTGAATATATTTTTATTGTAGATATTTTAATTCTCATAGTTTCAGAAACTATTAAAGCTTTTATCCTTTTACTTTAACTATCAAAATGTCAATAGAAAACATGTTGACCACTGTTAAATGTATTGAATAGAATGATTGCACAAATTCTCATATCTTCTATCTAGCTACACAATTTCTCTTTTGAATCAGTAAATTCAAATATTGATCATTTCCCATTTTTCAGGTGCTGGGATGGAATCGGAAAATATAAAAGATGCTAGTTTAAGTACTAGTGCTGGGCTTAAAGATGCTGAATGTGATGTATCTGGGGATAAGCTAAGTTCTGATAATACAGCTAATGGAGATATTGCTCCTACTGATGGTGAAGATATTCCAGCTAATATAGAGATACTAGAAAGTCAAGAAGATGAAGATACAAACAATTCCGGGACATGCAAGACAGGAGAACAGGTTGATGGTGCCGTCAGTAATATTAAGTCTGTTAATGTTGATTCAAGTCCTAAACAGAATGAGCATGATGAATACATGTACACGAAAAGGGACGAATTTACATCAGAAATTTACAAGATACAAATCAATAATCTTCCAAAAAGATTTGGTTTTGCTGTATGTATTACAATCTTTTGGTGTTAAAATTTATTTATTTTAAATATATGGTGTTACTAGCAATTATTAAATATATATGCTTGGAAGGTGCAATGCTCTATAAACATTGTAATAGAGAGTTTTTATGAAATTTATGAATGTTAAAATTTTTATGTGTCCATAATATTTTTGATCCACTCCTGAAAGAGTTGTAACAGAATGTCTCTTTCAATTGACACACATGAATATTATGTAACAAGAATCAAATGTTTCAGAACAAAATATTATGCTGTTATATTAAATAGGGTAGCAATGATTTCGTGCATGTGCCATTTGCTCTTTAGGAAATATACTAACATATTTGTTTTATACAAGAATTTAAAAAATATGTATATGTTTCTTACTTATACTTTAAACAAAAATTTTAGAAACTACAGGTAGCTGATATTTAATATAGTTTTGATAAGTATTTCCATTAAAATTTTGATAGATATTTCCATTAAAATTTTGATAGATATTTCCATTAAAATTTTGATGGATATTTCCATTAAAATTTTGATAGATATTTCCATTAAAATTTTCTTTGACTTGTCATATTCAATAGTTTCAAATTCTGATATTGTTTGAAAGTGAATGCTATTTGATTACATGCAACATTGTATAAATTATATACAAAATGTATAAATTGCACTGATATTTAAGATATGCTAAGTGATCATTTGTTTTCATTGCTTTTATATTTGTAGGAATTGAAGAAAAAGTTTCTTCAGCTTGGCATGTCACCAGTAAAGATGAAAGTTTGGAAAGAAATATGTTTTGTTACTTTTAGGTAAATATCTTCACTTCAGCTCACATGAGAAAAAGCTCAAATATTAGCATTTGTGATGGTCTGATGTCTGTGTGGTACATTGTTCATTGGCAATTACTTATAAGAACATTTCATCCCAGATAATTCACAGAATTTGATTAAAACTCAAAATTAGGATTCTGTGGTGATCTTCTACAACAGTTCTATTAATTGCTGTCATATGATATACATGTATATCCGTTCATTGTTTATTCTTATATATAAATTTCATAAAAGTAGACCTGAATTTGAAATTTTAGAAAAAAATGTTATTACTTTACAAGATAGCAGTTAATCTAAAAGTCGAGTTTGATCCTAAAATTGATCCTTAGTTGGATCCAATTATTACTGCACTTGTATTTTTATTTATCTTTTTTATCCATAATAAGTTTTATTTCTTTGAAAATCAGCTTTTTTGTAGGTACCATATTTTTTAGCCTGTTATGATCAATATTAGTTTCATACATTAATGTAAGTAAAATCAGGATCATTTGATCAGATCCTAATCTTTTCTTTGTGAAATTGGCCCATATGATCTATCTTTTAAAAGGGCTTGGATGAAAAAAATCAAGGAAATTAATTTTGATCAGATATTGAAAAAAGGCATAACTTTGATTAGTATCACTTGTGCAGAGAGTTTGAAAAACTTCAATTTAATATGTTATTTGTATTTTGTTGATGTTTCTATGATAACTTATTTTTCAGATGTGAGGAAGAGAGAAAAGATGCATTACAGAAGATTAATGGATTGAAATGGAGAAGTCAAATTTTAACAGCTACAGTATGTTTTCTCTAGTTTATACTAGTCTTAACATCATTTATAATAAATAAGATTCTAGATCAGTTTTAATCAGGGATATCCATGGTTGAGTTGTTAAGGTCCTTGACTTCAAATTACTTGCCTCTCACTGCTGAGAGTTTGATCTACGCTAGCGTCTTTTAATTCTTTCATGTGAGCAAACTATCCAGGTAGCTTAAGTCGTTCTACTCAGGTGCCTGTTTGTGACTGCACCTATCATGATTGTGATGTTTTCTGTACAACTAGAGCAGTAATGGTTATACAGGACATAAAATCAATTAAAGGATGTAATTACAAAAAGATGTTTTTTTCTTTGTTTTAATACAGATAGCTAAACCAGCTGCAGACCCTCTTATGAGGAAGAGAAAACAAGAGGAGGCTGGCAGACTTCAAGGACGTGATCAAGAGAAGAAATCTAAGTTTTCAGACGACCATCTTACACCAAGTGAAAAACTACAGAACTCTGTTACTCCTCTATGGAAGATGGAATATAAAGATCAACTCAGAGTAAGGTTGATTTGCCCTCACCCTGATGACTTTATTATAGACTTGCCCAGTTTTAGCTTGACTATTTGAAGAATAGGGAGAGCTATTGTACTCGCCACGGCTTCAGCTTCATGCTTTGGTAAAAAACTACTGAGAAGAATGGGTTGAAACTTCAAACACTTTTTTATTATCTAACATGATTGGCATAGGTCCCATAACTCTGAGTTACCTTTTTACAGAGTTATACCCCTTTACTTACTGTCAAGCATTGAGAATAGTCGAGCATGCTATCTTAAGGACAGGTCTTGTTGATTTGCAACAGTCCATTAGTAGTTAAAAGGATTCCCAAGTATTAAAGTGCTAAAAGTGGACTGAAGGTAGTATGGAATCAGATCAGATTGAATGAATGCTCCATATAATACTGGGAACACAGGCAAGGCATTATAGCATCTACGACTGTCAAAGGGTTACTGGGTATTGTATATAGTTCTGTGTTGAACACAATGAATAAGTCATTCCTTTATTTCTATTTTACATTCAAGTAAAAATTTATAAAAATTTGCTTTTGGAAAAATCCAATGTCAAGTCACTTATATTTATTATATTTGGAAAATACAATTTCTGATATAGACTATGTATATTTTTTAATGTTACTTAATCCAGTAATAAGCTATTCTGATGGTTTTCAGCATTTAACCTTTGTCTCTGTATTTCTTAAATAATTTATTCTTATACTTTTGGTATATAGAAGAAAGAAGAAGAGATGAGAGGATTTTTCAAAAAGTTACATCGTCAGCTGGAGAAGAATTGTCCAGACATTAAGCACTGGTTGATTCAAAATAAGAAGAAATATGGAGCAATACCGTGTGAACTTTTGCCAATTATACCATCGGTATAACCTTCTTTAAATGCTTTATATTTTACCTTGATCTTCAAATACCGAGATCGCATTGTTAGCTCAATAAAGATGACGAAATCAATGGCGAAGAACTTAATAATACATAATATCTTTCATTTTAATTCATTTCTACAGTGTATGATGTTGAGTGTATTTATATCATGTATTGTGTATGTTCTGGGATATGTGAAAGACCTTGATCTGAATTGGTGACACAGGGAGTAAGAAATAAATTGAAATGTGTTAGTAGTGAAAATTCATAAAATTTTCAAATTCAGAGCAGAATCTTTTAAACATGGTGTTATGGAGAAGACTTGTCAGGGGCATCAATGGCTGCTGCAGGTTCAAATCCCAATAGGGTATTTGGATACTTTCATGTGAAGAAGCTATCCACCTAGCTTATGGATTGTCAGTTGTTCTTCTCACATGCATGTTTGTGTCAGAAATAATGCACAGAAGGGAACCCGAGGTCTTCCTTCACTAGTAAAGCTGGAAAGTCAGCATGTTTGTGTGACTTAAAACCTACTGAAAAAAAGTATGAAGACTTGTTAGAAAATTATTTTTAACATTAAAGATTACTTACATAGTTTGTGTACATTATGCATCTCTCTATTCAGCCAGTGACTACAGGGTACAGGAACAAGTGTGAGTTTACCGTTGGACCGGGTCTAGATGGACAGGACTGTGTCGGGTTTAGATATGGTACCTATGCAAAGGGCTCTGTGTATGTTGGCTCGCCTGAAGAAGTTAGTTTTCTACCTGATACAATGAAGGCTGTTGTTAAAGTAAGTTTAGTCTTTTGAGTCTTGAGGTGTTTAACTGTTCAATTGATATGAACTCTATTCAGCGTTACCAGTAGTGCCTCACCTATATTATTTTTAGCTAGACATCAAGTGTACTAATATAAGTTACAAAATTTAATTACAAATTTTTCCCTTTTTAAAAGTTTTAATAAAATAGGAGGGAAATCCCTTATAAATTCTGAATCCTAGAGTAGCTTCTGCATTTAGGCAGTTTGAGTTTAAATTTTCTGATTTAATATCACATCATTAAAACAACATAAAAAGTTTTTTTCTTTATTGACTTGTGAATATTTGTAATTATGAAAGTGAGTGTTTTCTTGTTCTGTTTTAATTATTGTACATGCACTTATATTATTCAGAGTTTTCAGCAATATGTAAAGTCATCAGTGTATACAGCATTTAATCCGGAGAATCACTCTGGTAACTACAGACAGTTAGCTGTTAGAACCAGCAGACTCGGACATGTTATGATCATGATTGACTTCCATCCACAAAATCTAACTCCGGTACTTGCCAGTAATTTATTATTTTAATGATATATGTAGGATTTTAAAGGATCTACTTTGTTTCTTTAAAACCTTTTCTCCTTCACATTTTGGAAAAACTAGTCTAGTTACAAACTTTTAGAATATAGAAAAATGATGTTAAATACAAAAGTAAATGACATAAAATCAGGAGAGGTTTTATGTTGAAAATCAATGCCTATTTCAAAATGTAAAATTTAATTTAGCCCATGTAAAATTTAATTTAGCTCATGTAAAATGGAACATCAAATTTAGCCTGTGTACGAGTAAAATGGAAAATTTTCTTTAGCCCATATAAAATGGGCTTAAATATAGGCCATGTAAAATATAAAATCAAATAAAGCCCATGTAACTTTTAAAATGTATCTGCTTGTAATGGTCAATAAGTCGAACATAAATCAAAGAAATCAGAGTTTTGGTTGTATAGTTTTTTGTTTGTGAACATGATGATATAATGTTATTTGTGAACGTGATGATAGAATGTTATTTGTTTATACAGGAAGATATAGAGAAGGAGATGGCCAGTATAAAAGCTTACTTCACATCCGGGGAAGGACAGGACTGTACTGTTACAAGCTGTTTCTTCAGATCACATACTGAAAAGTAAAATCTTTTGATGAACCCATCTTTTGACTTAAAACATATATAGATATATATTCAGTGTAATAGCAGTTGTTTTCTGGAAAATATAATGAAATGTTCTTCTTGTTGCCTGCCATTTGATCAGTTACATATAAGTAATAAATGACTGACTATATACAATCTTTGTTTGAAATTAATAGTTTAAGCAATGGGAAATATTTTGTATGTAGCTATTAAAACAATATCTCTGATTTCTTTATTTAAAACAAAATTTAGAAAGAAATCATCAGAGATAGCAATACGCCCACTCATGTACCAAATAAGATTTAAGAAAGAGGACTTCTTCCAATGGTAAAACTGAAAAGTTGCCTTGTGATTCATACAATGATGATGTAACTAAGAAATATAGTTATTCAGTGAGTTTTCCATTTAAAAGATATGTGTGGTTACAAAACATTTTTATTTGGAAATTTTGTTTTGGTTTTTGATCATTCACTATTTCTTGTAACTATATTTTAGAATGACGGGTGCAGTGTCAGATGCTCCATACAAACTTGTGTTTGGTGAGGAGGTATGTAGGTAGATTTTAATTTGTTTGATTGTTAAAAAATCATAGTATTAACTTAGATTTATATCTATACTTCATTAGCAAATCATTGATGATTAGTAGAAGAACTTGAAGTAATAAAGAAAATCAATCAAGGGGTGTTTCATTGAGGAGGGGCTTGTCCTGCTACTATGAAGATTATAAGAATGTTTTTGTCATATTTTGTAATTCACATGTTCTTGTAATGTTAATAACTAGTTTAATGAAGGTGGAAGAATTCATCCATATACTTAAATATATCTGCATCATCAAAACTGAATTTTGCCATATGATCTTATTGAGGTTGATAGTGTGATTGTGATTTTATATCCTTCATTTAGGTTAAATTACTTATATTGTTTATCCTTACGGTTCTTATTAACTAAATAGAACAGAATAACATGAAATATTCTAATTAAGATTCTTATTTGTAAATTTCAGCACATAACAGAATCTTTACTTGGAATGAAATTCCAGATTTCACCAAGTGCATTTTTCCAAGGTAATTTTCATGTATTACAGGCAATAGACTAAAGTTGTAACATGTATGTTGTGGATATAATCTATAGTGGGTCATTAAACTAACACTTAATGATATCACAGATAATAAGGTGAATAAGAAACCTGTTTTAACATTATACAGTGTCTGTCAGGGCATTATCTGTGTCCAAGGTTATAGTGCTGTCTGAAAAATTCAAGATGGCGGTCATAGTGTTTGAATAGTGGTATTTTTTTTTATTAATTTAGTAGATCTATTATAAATGCCAGTTAAGTGCCTCTGAATATGAAAACATCTAAAACATGAAAAGAAGAAGAACATGACAAACAAATTAAGAAATGGCTTATTATGTCTCCCCCACCTCGGGGGGAGACATATTGTTTTTGCCCTGTCCGTCCGTCAGTCCGTCCGTCCGTCAGTCCGTCCGTCCGTCCATTCTTCGTTTCCGGACGATAACTAGAGTTCCTTTTGACCTACAGCTCTCAAACTTCATAGGATGAATGGTCTTATTGAGCAGATGATCCCTATTGTTTTTGGGGTCAGTAGTTCAAAGGTCAAGGTCACAGTGACCGTTGGTCAATTTCTCGTTTCCGGATGATAACTAGAGTTCCTTTTGACCTACAGCCCTCAAACTTCATAGGATGATTGGTCTTATAGAGCTGATGATCCCTATTGTTTTTGGGGTCAGTAGGTCAAAGGTCAAGGTCACACTGACCGTTGGTCAATTTCTCGTTTCCGGATGATAACTAGAGTTCCTTTAGACCTACAGACCTCAAACTTCATAGGATGATTGGTCTTATTGAGCAGATGATCCCTATTGTTTTTGGGGTCAGTAGTTCAAAGGTCAAGGTCACAGTGACCGTTGGTCAATTTCTCGTTTCCGGATGATAACTAGAGTTCCTTTTGACCTACAGCCCTCAAACTTCATAGGATGATTGGTCTTATAGAGCAGATGATCCCTATTGTTTTTGGGGTCAGTAGGTCAAAGGTCAAGGTCACAGTGACCGTTTGGTCAATTTCTCGTTTCCGGATGATAACTAGAGTTCCTTTTGACCTACAGCCCTCAAACTTCATAGGATGATTGGTCTTATAGAGCTGATGATCCCTATTGTTTTTGGGTCAGTAGGTCAAAGGTCAAGGTCACACTGACCGTTGGTCAATTTCTCGTTTCCGGATGATAACTAGAGTTCCTTTAGACCTACAGACCTCAAACTTCATAGGATGATTGGTCTTATTGAGCAGATGATCCCTATTGTTTTTGGGGTCAGTAGTTCAAAGGTCAAGGTCACAGTGACCGTTGGTCAATTTCTCGTTTCCGGATGATAACTAGAGTTCCTTTTGACCTACAGCCCTCAAACTTCATAGGATGATTGGTCTTATAGAGCAGATGATCCCTATTGTTTTTGGGGTCAGTAGGTCAAAGGTCAAGGTCACAGTGACCGTTGGTCAATTTCTCCATTTCCATTCCTGTTTCCATTCACAGTTATTCTCAGCAGTGGGGGAGACATGCGCTTTTTTACAAAAGCATCCTCTAGTTAGATATTGTATTCAATTGGAAATAAGCTTTTAGCTTAACAGGTCACATAATATACTACTTAATTTTATAATTTTATTTGTGTTGCATTTTTGTGTGTGTTTTTAAGCATGTTGATATACATGTATGTGACAATATAGAATGTGTTTATGTACATTTCCCTAAATAAATCAATGGTTGTTTTTGTGTTGACTCATGAAAACATTGTTTGATAGAAAACAAATTGTAAATATTGTAAAGTTTTTCATTTGCAGATTCTCATTTTGTAAGTGTATGAGATATTTCACAATTTAAATTAACATGAGTAAAAACTACACAACTTCTCACAAGATGATGCATATTTCTTTTATCAGGATCTATACTGGTAACAACAATTATCTATGTAGTAGGTTTTGATAGTGCTTTAATGATCCGCTGTCAATGAAAATCAGATAGGGGATATTTGAAATGGTAACGGTCTTCCTTATTATATTACTGCGCATCTAGCTATATATTAAAGCATAAATCACTTAAAATCAAGATCTATTTCCTAATTAGACATCTAAAAGTGCATTTTGGCAGGTGAAAAGGCAAGATTTTAGCATTTAATCATTCAAGCACCTTGTCCAGTGTATATCTGAATATGGTATTTATTGTGGTGCTCCAGCTCTGAATAAACATGACAAATTGATATTACTTTGTATTCCAAGGTTAGAGATCTACATTGAAGGTCGGTCATACTCGGCAGCTTCAGCCAAGTGATTAGTACCATATGGCAGAGATTATCAGTTCAATGAATTTGCTTGTATTATTTAAATGTAGTAATAATTTGAAATAAATTTCAAAGTGTGAAATAATAAATTAGATTATTCTCAAAAAGAATTTTTAAAAAACCAAATAGTTTTTGAGCATTTCCCTTTAACTTCATACTAATGCTTAGATAAACCATAAAATGGTTCATGAGGTATTCATTAATACTACCAGTATTTGTTTATTTTGCACCTCCTTTTAGATCATCTGAGTGTTTTTATAAATTCACATCTTATTTCAATGCCCCTCTTTAATGCTGACTGTTTTGTTCTAACTTGAGTTTCTCCAGCTTTACTTTTCTCTTACTGCCTACATTTATAGACTGATATTATGGGTTGGAGGTTAATGGGGTCAAGGTCACTGAAGTTGAAATAGATATTTTCTTTTTTTTTCTCAGAATCGACCATTATTAGTTGATAATAAAGAAATTATTGGTTGATTATAAAGAAATTATTACTTGATATTTAAGAAATTATATGTTGAAAATTAAGAAATTATTGATTATAAGTTATTGATAATTAAGAAATTATTACTTGATAATTAAGAAATTGTTAGTTGATAATTAAGAAATTATTAGTCGTTAATTAAGAAATTTTTAGTTAACAATTAAGAAATTTGTTATGTAGACTGCAACAGTCTATAAACAACAACAACAACAAAGAACCCAAAACATGTATTTATAATTTTCATGTATATATGCCTGGCATTGGGCATCAACATTTTGCTTCATAACATTAGCCAAAGTTTATAAACTTAAAGGGGAAAGAAAAGGGGAAAACAAAACTAAAAGAAAATCACACCTCGGAAAGACAAAAGTCTAATGTTTTTTAATGACAAGGCTGGAAATTTGTCATACATATGATTTTAATAGTGTCTTTGTGATTTAAATCTAAGGAAAAAAAATGAAGAATGAAATATGTGATTGATGATTTTTACTGTTCATCAGCAGCTTATTAAAGAGAGAACTAATTTTTACTTTGCTTCATTGCTTCAAGATATTTAATGTGATATTCCTAAATTTTTTGAATTTTATTTATGTATTCAATAAATGTTTTGGTACTTTTTCATAAGGTACACATATAACTTTGAATGCTCTTGTTGTTAAGTCTAATGTTGGTGATGAAGTTGTAAAAGTTACTAAACAAATTATCAATTTATTAAAACAGGTACATGTATGTATATTAAAACCATTTCATACTTGTTATAATTACTTAATTTTGTTTTTTTTATTATTTCTGAGAAAAAAAAAAAATATATATTTAATAACAGTTTCTGTTAATGTAATGTTGCTGTTTTGTTTGTAGTTAATACAGCAGCAGCTGAAGTTTTGTATACAACAGTTTCTGATTGGTGTAATGCGTCACATGACACAACTGTACTTGACGTCTGCTGCGGAACTGGTACTATAGGTCTTACAGTTGCCAAGGTAACTAGCATATAAATTTGGGATTGTATATATACATAACACAAAGCATTGCAGAACTTTTCAGGTTCACAAGATTTTACTCCGTAGCAGACATGTTGAGCTTTAGAACATAAAATCAGTAGGGCGTTTTGTTGAATATGATTTGAAATATGTTTTTATAGGAGAGCTAGTTAAAATATATAGTTCTAAACACCATAAGATCTTTATAACTTCTATATAACCTTTAAAATGCTACTTCGACATAAAACACAATCAAATTTTGAACAGTTAATAAAATTTGCATCAACAAATTGCATAAATTTTTAGTCTACTTTTATTTTAACAACTATGATACTTAGTCTTAAGTTTATATTGATACAAACTTATCAATAAATTGTATAGAATAATCCAAAGTTGAATTGTCTGGTCAACTAAAGCATATTAAAAAAAACCAAGGCTCGTAAATTACTGTGTTTAATTGCTATGTGTTATTCACGTTACCTGATCAACACTACTATCTTCAGTCCATATGTATTTGAATATGATGATAATAAAGGATTTTAACCATTCAGTTTATATAATGTATAAATCTTTGTTTTTATCATTTACAGAAAGTGACAAAAGTAATTGGGATAGAAATGTGTACAGAAGCTGTAGAAGATGCAAAAGTTAATGCCAAGTTAAATGGTTTGTCTATATTAATCTTTAGCAACAGTGAGCTTGACCCCAGGTTGTACAAAAGCAATTCTTTCTGGGTCTTTATATAAGCTTGCTATATACCAAGTTTGATTACAATATCTCATTCCTAACTTCAGATGTTCTGTTTTAATGTTGACTGAAACTATGTATGATTCCTGTATGCAAGGTTTAATTTTTAATTTTTCCTGTTATGTATGCATGTATTTCATGTTAAATACAAAAAGAAAGAAGAAATAGATAGTAAAAGATATAGTGTTTTATTTGAGTACCAGAGTTGGGTTAGGGAGAATGGTGTATTTTTTCATTCTTCTAGACAGTTGACAAATTTAAATATTTGAATTTATGTCTTGAATGTCTTTGGGAGTGACTGAAATTTTTTGAAAGATTGTTAAAGCATCATTTTATATTTATTTCCTGTTGTAATGATAGTGCTTTGTAAATATATCTACAGTAATGTAAAGTTGTGTCTTTAATATATGTCTAATTTGAAGTTTATATATTTTTGTTCTGTTTTGTAGATATATCTAACATAAAGTTTCATTGTGCTAAGGCGGAGGATGTAATGAAGGATATAACAAAGTCTGTGATTGGCTCCTCTAATGTTGTTGCTATTGTTGACCCACCCAGGGGAGGTCTTCGTGAGTATTCTATTATATATATTGGCTGGGTTTAAATCAAACAATAGTTTTTATGGACAGGTTAAAACTGACAAAAAAGCTTAGTTTAATAATTTAGATATACAGGTAAACATGGCATATCGTGGTGTTCATTTTTGATGTCTGACCAAACTGTATGCTTTTGGTTGATTGATTACTTTAGATTTAGAAAACACAAAATGCACAGTATATTCCCAAATTCAAAGCTAAATAAAGGCTGTATAAAGAGATCATGATATTGTTGATGAAAGCATAAGAATTAAATAAACATGGAAAAGAAGGGAAATTTAAAATTAAAAAATAAACAAAAATAGATACAAATGTTTTCTGATTTAAAATCATAAATACTAAAATAAGGTATAAAACTGGAAAGAAATATTAGGTTATATTAGTTACATTTAAGATTGATTAGTTTGTTTTTCTTAGATACATTCATTTTTCAAATAGATTTTGTGAAGAGTAATGCTTTTTGATGTTTATAGATTCAAGTGTAGTGGTTGCCATTAGAAACTGTAGAAGTATCAGCAGCCTAGTGTATGTATCGTGTAATGTAAATGGAGCACAGAACAATATCATAGAGTAAGTATGCCCTGCTTAAACGTAAAGTCATTAGTCTTTTGTCACCAGTATAAAGCCAGGCCAGCCTGCACAATGACATCATTTCTATCTGAGGTAACATATGTACCAGTGAAAACAGCCAATTTGGCCAAGGGTAAACAGGTATATTTAATCTACAGGCTGAAAATATATGTACATGTACAACCAATTTTATCAGCATTTCAACTGATGATATGGATTGCCAATCAGATTTTTGCAGTGTTGGGCTTTCTTTAGGGATTCTGTTTTTCTCTATTTTAATTTTTAAATACACATGTACATAGTAATGATGTGTTGTACTTATATATGATTTACAATAAACATACTGGTATCTTGTCTGAAATCTGTTTGTTTTGCAATCATATAACTGTTTCACTGCATTTGCTGTTTAAACATCTTTTAAAAATCTGGACGTAGAAGATGTTAAAAAGAAATGTTTGTTATCCTTGCTTTATAGTGCTAAGTACTAAACTTTGACACTTAAATTCAAAGGCATGACTTGCATTTGGCAGTTCATAATTCAATGCTTAAATCTACATGTTAACATGAAAGCTTTATAGTAAAAGGAGGTTTTAATGAATGTTATCTGAATGTGTTATTTATTACAGTTTGGTGCGACCAACATCAAAGAGACTTAAGGGACCGAGGTTTTATCCTGTAAAGGCAGTACCAGTAGACTTATTTCCCTACACAGATCATTGTGAACTTGTTATCCTCTTTGAACGTGAACATACAGACTCGGGAACAGATACTGTAGTTTGATCTGGTTATTTTGTTGGCTGTTTGTTTATGTTTATAATAAAGTCATTTGAAGTCTTTACTCGTGTTGATTGTTTTTTGTTACATGCTTTATAATAGAAATGTATTTTCTCAAGTTTCACATCTTTAAATGATCGAAAAAAAATTTGGCATATAATAATTGAACCATCTGTTTTTTTTCCATTTTTTCTCCTTTTACTAATTTCCTCAAACAATACTTTATTACTTTCAGATATGTATTGAATTGCTAAATACACAATAATTTAACAAGACAAAAGCCATGATTGTGGAAAGTAACATAACTACTGTCTCCTTTTCCTCAAGTTATATTCCCTTTATGTACTTTGAAAATTGGTATGGTTAACCTATTTCTGCAATTTGTTGATATAAAATTCTCCTAAAACTAGTGGCTTAGTTCTGTATACACACAAATCCATTATAATGGTAAGGTACCAGGTACCTAACTTGCATCTTTTTTAGCAAGTCACAGCGCTTGCTACTGAACAGTACAAAAGATTATGACAATGTCGAGTCTTATCTCTGTCTTTACCTGTCACTTCTTTCCACCCAAAATGAGGCATAGAATTCATATAACGTCAAATGTATACTTTATATTGAAAGATGTACTGGTTGGGGACCACCAAATCTGGATGACCAACAATTGATTGTTCAATGGTTGTTGGTCAATTTGAGCGAGTTGCTTTTTTGATCAACATAAATCCATGGTTCCTCTAGTCAGTTTAATGATTAAATTGATTTTAACTTTCTAAAACGTTAATAGTTTTATGTCTATTACAAGACTGTTGACATTAATAATTCTGATGACAAGAGTGCATTGCCTGACCACTTCACTAGATGTAATCATTTGCAGAGTAAACTACAGAATACTCTAAATCCCAGTATATGCTGCTGGAATGGTGTATATTATGTTTAAATACATCCAAGTAAATTTCAGTCATTCATATCTGTCCGGACACATAGTATTGCAGTGTGGACAATTTTGATACCCTCTGCATGGGCCTCAAAACAAGCGTCCACATAGTCAGATGTAAACAAGCTAGGTCTTATGTTGGAGAAGAGCCTACATGTAGCTGTACCGGGTATTTAGCTTTTTGGAAAAAATGTTCAAAAAGCATCCAGTTGACCAGTATCTATCTCCAGTATATATATAACATTATTATACATCTTGTTTCTTGGAAGACAGCTAGGTACCTTTATCATATCTTAAAAGATTGTAAGCATAACACATAAAACAGATTAGGCTTGAAATATGTGGTGTTCAACCTAAGAAATATTAGCTATAATTTAGCATCATAATACCTATTGTCATGTTCTAAATTACACTGCCACCGGCAACAACAACAACAAACAAAAATTGAGAAAACAAATTTAAGGTATTCAGGAAAGTGAAAGCGAATTTAACAAAGTTAACTTGTGATTTAACTCCTTCAAATGTTCATTTATCGTCAGCTATAGTGACTTGGCGTGACATATAATATTTGTTCTTATCTAAGGTTACAAACAGTGACAAAGATCAAGCTTTATACACTTTAAACAACAATGTCAATTATGGAGATAAAATCATTAATTTAGTTTTAACTATGTAAAACAGACATTTTTCACTCATCCTTAATTTGGCAATCTCCTGGATTAGAAAAAATACTACAATAAATTTCAATAAAGACATGATTTACAAACTCGTGTTTTTTTCCAATTTGCAGAAATTCTATGTTACTGTTTTCATTCTGCACTTATCATGTTAGAATGTCTTTATGAAAAACTCTGTATTATACCTGTAAATGAGTAATAGTTTGTTACATTTAGTAGTAGTCCTATAAATATGATGTCGCTTTGAGATATTTTTGCTTCTGGGCAAAGCAATGTCATATCGAAATAATTTGCTCAAAAACCCATAGCACGTTCCACCAGAAAATCAGGCTGTATGAAAAAACAAGACAGCGTGTTTACATTAATTTTGACCTATATACGAACAAAACTAAAAAATAAATACCTTTAAACAAAATAATTAAACTGTCACATCCGAAAAATCATGATTAAATCCTCTCATGTAATTAAATACCTTATACAGCCAATAAACAAATGGCCGCCATACAGTGAGTGAAATCTGATTGGCTAATTCAAATGCAAGCGTTTAACTGAGTCAGTAATGGAATAATATTTAACGAAATAATTGCCCATGCACCGTCAGTGTGTTTGAATATATTTTTCCGTGAAAAAATTTGGAATCAATCTGTAAAGCACCTTACTTAGCCAGTATGGCCGATAGACAAAAATAGATTTATGTTTATGTTTTATTGTAAATTGATAAGTAACATTGTTTGAGAGTTATTTGTTTTTCATTGAGATTGAAATTGAAAGCAAAGAACATAAGTTTTTGAATAAAGCTTGAAAAGCTAGACAATAGACATTTTTGAATTTTTGTATGATACAATGTACTATGCGTTTATGAGCAATAACTATTAGACGTCAGACTTGACCGACATAAACTATAACAAGCCTGTAACGTCTGATATATTGGACTAATTTAGTACATGTAGGTGATATTATGTTATGGTGAGACTGATCTGGATAACATTTGCTTCTTTTCCTTCAATGAATAATTTGGTTTAGCAATGATTCTCCTTTTAACTAATTTCATTTCCTTTACTTGTACATTGCATAACATTGCAAGTGGATTTAAACCAAAAGGCAATGAAATAATATTAAAGTTGAAATATCGTTATTGACAAGATAATTTTTTTGGGAAACATGAATGAGATTTTGGCGAGAATGGAAAAAGGTTAACTAACTGACACTATTTTCAATTCTGTTTCAAATATGACTTTTGTGATTTCTTTATTTGAAAATAGATAAATAAATAGATAGAGTAAGGATAAATCTCTATAGATGTCAAAACAAGAAACAAAAATATGCTGATTTAGTGAGGATTCACAAAATGTTTCAACTATACATAAGTAGCAGTAGTAGTAGTAGTAGTATCACCAACTTCATTACTATAAATGAATTAAAAAATACTTAATTTGCAAATTATGTTATTGTTATAGGTATTTTACTATTTTGACAAATGCTGTATTATTTCATTTATTTAAGATAAATGTCCTTCTTGAAAACTGTTGGTGTTGGTCTTTTCTCTAATAGGCTTGGACTGAAAACTTTAAGGTAAGTACAGGCGTGACCCTTCATCTTACTATTTACTAATCATACAGGCGAAATTGAAGACAAATAAGATACGTGCTTAATAGACTTGAGTTTTGTAAAATATATATTTTGTAAAATACATATACATACATGTAGTAACATATACCAGTTGAACTTGACCACATACATGTAAAGTAGATCATGTCAAGTAGATATTATCTTCATTTGAAAACCTTTTGTGGACAGATGTAAGTGGCTGTTAGCTCAGGTGACCTTGTGTATTTTCCTACCATTAGGATTGGTCATTTGTTGTCCTTCACCCTTGTTGTTACAGTTTGATTAGGTGTTTCTTTATCAAACTTTGTTTTGTCTTAATGGTATTATGGCTCATCTGGAGGCATGCATCTTAAAATACTTATCCAACATGATTTCTGAAATAGCAGATCCTACTGAGTTGAACAGGCATCATTTGTATCACTCAATTAACATTCATTTATGCTATCACTCTTCTGAGCATGAGATAAAAGGTAGTAAAAGCTTTTGTTAAAGTGAGCAATAAAAGGGCTATAATTCCATTAGAATTACTAGAATCAAACTGTCTACTTTAAAGAGTTATTTACAAGTGAATGAAGCATTATTACATTGTCTTTTTGACATCCAAATGGTTTAGTTAGCTTTAGAATATTTTTCATATGTATTGTAAATGTATTTTCTATGTCAGATTAAGCATTATTTTCCAGATGTGCAAATATCATACATTATTTCCATTGCATTTCAAGGTGCAAACAAGAAGTATCTATATTAAAGAGATACATATCAAAGAAAAAGTACCAGTGGCCTGAATTTAGAGAAGAGGACTTAGAAGAGGAGTTTATGCGTGGAAGTGGCCCCGGGGGACAATCTGTGGCCAAAACTAATAACTGTGTACAAATTAAACACTTACCTACTGGAATTGTTGTAAAAGTAAGGGTTTTTCTTTTCTTCTTTGACACGAAACTGATGTTAGACAGGATGAGATTTGTTACACATCCGTATATTTTAAAATAGGCTAGCTAAGTTTTTCACATTTCAAAGGATTTTCAACAAAAAAAAACCTATATAAGTTTTGCCTTCTTTCTGATGAACAAGTGACCTACTTGTAAAATGTTTCAAAAGCTTCAGTCCTTTAACTTTGGGCCCCTTGTACACTTTTGTGATTGCAATCAAGATTTTACCTTGGGGTGACTTAATATTATTGCATGAACTACTTCTTTGTTCTACATTTATGACCTTTTCTAGCAATTGATCTCAGCTGAACAGTCTAGGGCCATCATGGCCCTCATGTTTAATTTTGTATCTTAATAACTCAAACCCATGTTGACAATACCAAAGTACAAATATAGATAAATCTTTTATGTATGGTAACATAAAATAGAGAAATTTGTTCTCATGATTCTGTTGTTGCGGTAGAAATATAAGTGTGTTTTTGTCATTTAGAGTCACGAATCAAGGTCACAGTCTGAGAACAGGAAATTTGCTAGAGAGAAACTTGCCTATCAGTTAGACATCTTCTATAACAAGGAAAATAGTTTCCATGCTATAAGTCAGAGGGAGGCAGAGCAGAGTAAAAAGGTTGCTAAAGGAAAGGCAAGGAAAAGGCTGGAATTGAAGAGAGAGTTTAAAGAAAGAAAAGATCAGGAGACAAAAGAAGGGGAAGGATTTGACAACCAGTCAGAGTAAGTGATTTTATTAGCTCGACTATTCGAAGAATATGAGAGCTATTGTAGTCGCCCCGGCGTCGGCGTCGGCGTCGGCGTCAGCGTCAGCGTCGGCGTCTGCGTTGGTTAAAGTTTTTTGTAAAGTCAAATATCTCAATTATTACTTGAGATATTCAATTGAAACTTACAATACTTATTTATAGTGACAAGGTACATCAGATTGACAAGTTGGATAACTCTGCCTACAATATTGACAGAATTATGCCCCTTTTTAACTTAGAAATTTTGGTTAAAGTTTTTTGTAAAGTCAAATATCTCAATTATTGCTTGAGATATTCAATTGAAACTTACAATACTTATTTATAGTAACAAGGTACATCAGATTGATAAGTTGGATAACTCTGCCTACAATATTGACAGAATTATGCCCCTTTTTAACTTAGAAATTTTGGTTAAAGTTTTTTTGTAAAGTCAAATATCTCTATTATTGCTTGAGATATTCAATTGAAACTTACAATACTTATTTATAGTAATAAGGTACATCAGATTGACAAGTTGGATAACTCTGCCTACAATATTGACAAAATTATGCCCCTTAGGAACTTAGAATTTTGGTTAAAGTTTTTTTGTAAAGTCAAATATCTCAATTATTGCTTGAGATATTCAATTGAAATTTAAAATACTTTTTTATAGTAACAATGTACATCAGTTTGCAAAATTGCATAACTCTGCCTGCAATATTTGCAGAATTATTTGCCCCTTTGAAAACTTAGAAATTTGGTTAAAGGTGAAAGGTTTTCGAAGATATTTACTTGAAACTTTACACATGCACTTAGGGTCATAATTGGAAGGTCATAATTGTATGTCACTGACCAAGTTCCATAACTTCTGTCTTGCATTAAGGCTGATTCATTTCCCCTTTTCTACTTAGTATCTTGGTTAATGTTTACATGCAAGTTTTTACATATCTCAATAACTTTTAAAGATATTTATTTAAAACTTCATATATGATTTAGGGTCATAATTGTAGGTCACTGACAAAGATCCATAATTCTATCTTGCTTTTAGGCGGATTTTTTCTCCCCTTTTTTCAACTTAGAAATTTCATGGTAAAGTTTTGCTTGTAAGCTGTTATATCAACAACAACTGAAGGGTTTGTGCCTTTTTTGGGACAATTTTATGCATTCATGATAATAAAGCAGTGATTTACTTGATAAAACATCTTAATAACAAGCCTTTGTACCTTTTCTGTCAAATTTATGTATTCATAGGTAATTAATATTATAAATAATATTATAAATAATACAATAAAAACACCCTTGTGACATTTCCTTCCGAATAGTCAAGCCAATACTGTTATAATTAGACCCTCTCCTTATAAGGCCTATAACATGAATTTATAAAAAAAAATTAGTCCTTTTGTGAACTTAAAAACATTATTAAAGCTCTTTTACTATCAAGCACTTAGAATAGTCGAGCGTGCTGTCCTACTGACAGCTCTTGTTATAATTTAAATCAGTACTGCTGCCCCCGCATTTTAGCAGTTTGCTTTGAAATGCCTCTTGGCTTAATTTTGAATAAGTGTATTTCCACAGAACAATGAATTGAAATCAGCTCAAGCACTTCAGTGTGTAAGTGTTATTAGAATATCTTTGGACTGCCATGTAGAAACTATCAGCACAATTATTCTAACATAATTGAAAAGAAACTATAATTCAATAAAAAGCTGATAATGAAAATTTAATAAAAATTTTGCCATACTGAAATATGACATTGACCTTCGTGGTCAAATTTTGAAATATTAAGTTTCATCATGACTTTGTTTAATAGATTTATGAGGTAGGGCATTGCATTTATTATTTATTTATTTCAGATGAGTACAATTGAAAGTGAAGGATTTAAGGTAACAAAAGATCTGTAAGTGTTGTATGCTTTCTTGCTTTAGCCTTGCTAGTATTATAACCTTAAAATATCTATACATGTATTTACATTGTATCTGATATACCAAAAGATAAAAATATATTTTCCCAGCGATGCATCTGGCATGACAAGTAGCTGCTTAATTCTATGAGATACAGTTTTCTACTTGTCCTGTTGTAAATTCTCTCAAATTCTACTTGTAAATATGAGTGGACGTGTGAAATTTTCAATCCCTGAATGCTTGTAATAATTTTTCATCATGCATTGTTGTATGCTTAACTTGTATTAATATTGTTATGGAAGATTTTACCCACCACCCCCAATGTAATAAGAAAGTACCACTGACCACAGCATGGAGGACTTGGGAAATGGGATTTTTAAAAATAATTTTCTTTGAAGTAGTGTGACTATAATAAGAAATTCATAAGCTTGCCTTGTATAAAACTGTGGTATATTTGTATGGATGGCCATCATCTTGTAGACTTTATCCATCCATTGTTATCACTCTGTCTATCTATTGTCATGAAATTGTTATCACATTGTCTATCGATTGTTATCACATTGTCCATCGATTGTTATGCCCATCAAATGTGAACCGTTGAATTATTCAATAAGAAAGAGTCCATGTAGTGCCTCATTCAAAATTGAGCAGGATAGAATGACAGAAATTTTAGAGTTTTTTTATCACTAAATTTTTCTGCAATGAATTTTTTTTATTTCAAAATGATTCTCATAAAAAGATATCAGTTACTGTTTATCATTAAATTATATTGTTTGATACTGATTTGATGTGTGAGGGACTACAGGGACTCATTCTTAATGAATTATTCAAATGGTTCACATTACTTAATGGTTTGGAAAGGTTTCAGTTTTCAGGCTTTTAAGCTAGATACTAAATGTACTAACATTTCTTTCTATACACAAAGTGACAGGGTGAGCTTTTGTGATCGCTTTTCATCCGGCGTCCGTCCGTTGTCTGTCCGGCGTCCGTTCATAAACTTTTACTTTAAATGACATCTCCTCATAAACCGCTGAGCCAATGGTCACCTTTAAAAATTGTTCAAAGAATTTAATTCCATGCAGAACTCTGGTTGCCATGGCAACCAATAGAAAAAACTTAAAATATCTTCTTTTAAAAAACCCAAATAGGTAGAGCTTAGATATTTGGCATGAAGCAGCTTCTAATGAGTGTCTACCAAGTTTGTTCAAATAAAAGCCCTGGGGTCAAAATTGGCCCCGCCCCGGGGGTCATTGATTTTCCCTATATGCATATAGTAAAAACTTATAAATCTACTTTTAAAGAACCCAAAGAGCTAGAGCTAAGATATTTAGCATGAAACATCTTCTAATAGGTGTCTATCAAGTTTGTTCAAATAAAAGCCCTGGGGTCAAAATTGGCCCCGCCCCAGGGGGTCATTGATTTTCCCTATATGCATATAGTAAAAACTTATAAAATCTTCTTTTAAAGAACCCAAAGAGCTAGAGCTAAGATATTTAGCATGAACCATGTTCTAACGGGTGTCTACCCAATTTGTTCAAATAAGAGCCCTGGGGTCAAAATTTGCCCTGCCCCAGGGGTCATGGATTTTCCATATATGTGTAAAGCAAAAACTTTAAATTAAAAATTCTTTGAAAAAAACCAAATAGCTAGAGTTTAGATACTAAGCATGGAACATCTTCTAGTGAGTGTCTACCAAGTTTTTTCAAATATAAGTCATCAATTGGGTCAAAATTGGCCCTGCCCCGGGGGTCATTGATTTTATTTATGTGTATAGCAAAAACTTATAAAATCTTCTTTGAAAAAACCCAAATAGTTAGAGTTAAGATATTTAGCATGAAACATCTTCCAGTTAGTGTCTTCAAAGTTTGTTCAAATAAAGCCTTAGGGTCAGAATTGGCCCTGCCCAGGGGGACATTGATTTTCCTTATATGTGTATAGCAAAAACTTAAAAATCTTCTTTAAAAAAACCCAGAATAGCTAGATTTTAGATATCAAGCATGAAATATCCTCTAGTGAGTGTCTCCAAAGTTTGTGCAAATAAAAGCCCTGGGGTCAAAACTGGCCCCGCCGTAGGGGTGTCATTGCTTTTAACTATATGTGTATAGTTAAAACTTAAAAAAATCTTTTTTTAAAAAACTCAACGGGCTAGTCCTTAGATGTTTAGCGTGAAATATCTTCTAATGGGTGTCTACCAAGATTGTTCAAATAAAAGCCCTGGGGTTTAAACTGGCCCCGCCCTGGGGGCCTATATACAGGTGAGCGACTTCAGGGCCATCATGGCCCTCTTGTTTTTGTAGATAATATTAATATAGTAAAGTTTGTAAAACAATTGTACATGGGTTGTAGCACCAGTGATATTCAATAAATCATGACAAGAATAATTTTTAGAAGATTTTATCAAAGAATAAGATCTTTGTGATTTTTCAGTGTACCATAAATATACATAATATTATATTAGATGTTTTTTTTTCTGTCTCTAGTTATGGTGGTATGGTGCTTAAAACCAAGGATCAAAGCTTTCAATCTGCTGATGAATATGATACAAAATTAGCAGGTAAATAACAAACTATCTACCTAATATAATTTCTTTAGATTCCCTATACTTCATTGGCATCATTAATAAATGTTAAGATAGTGGCATGGCCAATTGGTTTATACATTTGACAAGTAATTAAAAGATTTCCGGCCAAGTGGATTCAAACACCATCAGGGGCAAGCCGTTCTTTCCTTAAGCAAGTTCCTTTAGCAAGGTCCTTTACACTCATTGGTTTCAGTAACAAATTGGAAAATTTATCAATAAGCTTATACTTCCTTAGTTATCAAACTATAATAAATTATGAGTTAACTTGAGATAAATATTAAAAAATGCAAAATTGACATAAATATGAGTGTCTTTATTGATGTAGTTATATGAAAATCCATAATTCAGTGTAGAAATGAATCAAAGATATTTATAAATTTTAATAAATGATACATTAAGCATTATTTTGTTATGTATAAGGCTAAAATATTTGTCATGTACCCTTAGTTTTATTTAAAAAAAATAATAAAATGTGTGTGTTCTCTTTCAGCTGCGATGCCAAAGTGGGAAGCAGACGGGGTTCGTGGATTCTGGGCAAAGATTTCAATAGAACATGCTCATATTTGCTCAGTATTTGCTAAGGTAGATAATGTATTCATAATGAATTTTAAAAAAAAACCAGCATTTCTCAAAAAATATCAAAGATATTCACTTTACTTGGAGTACTTGTTTATTATATAAAGTGATTATTTCCCCATTTCATTATTGCTATCCAGCACTGAGAAAAGAGGAGTGTGTTGTGTGTCCACAGACATGTCTTGTTAAATAGCAAGGCCAATTTTACTTTACAATTACATACTTTACAATTTAACTTAGTCACCTGCAACAAGGAGAGAAACCTAGCAGTAATGCAGTTGTTATACTCAGGTTTTCTTGCTTGATTGGGACCAACTGTTATTTTTGTTATCATAGATATATAGTTATAATATTTCCTGCACACTTTAGAAATTGTAGATTTGAGCCAAACTTGGATTTCAGCTACATGTAATATGTTTCTGCATATGACACAAGTACTAGTTCATTCAAGGTAGTATACCTAACAGTGATAGAAATGAGCTGAAATACCAATGGCTTAAATCACTGCAAAAAAAAGAGATGATATTTATTATGTTATTATTTATGGATTGGAATAATCAATATAAACAATTCATAACTTTACATATCAATTTAATTATTTCAAGCTTATTTCAGATCTTGATGCAGGCATAGCATGTACCACTTATTTAATGTAATCAATAATAATAATAAACATAAAATAACATTATAAGGAACAAAGTCGAGACTAGAAACAATTTTATGACTAGAAATAAAATGTATTGGAATGTTTGGCCGCATCAAAGTATGTCATGCTAGGATATGACAACTAAATGTCCCTAGCATAACAAAGAAAATTCCAGCAACCGAATAAACCAGTTAAATGCGAAATTTTACATGCGAAAGTTACTGAGCATTTAAGGACAGATGTGCCTGCTTCTGGCATATGCGTGCCAAGATTGCGTAATTACCCTATGCAAGGGTGCCAAGATGCGTAAATGCGATAACTTCTGGCATATGCGTGCCAAGACTGCATAATTGAATATGCAAGGGTGCCAAATGCGTAAATGCGGTAATAAATGGGAGCAACTTTCAAGCAAATACTCAGTTACTTAAAAATGCCAAAGAGACACCTGGGAAATACCGAGCATAGCGCAAGCTTTGAGCAAAACCCAGGACTCGTATAAAAAATTCCAATTTTGAAATTAATGTAATCTAGTAATTCCAGCTTATAGAAGGATATTCTGTCGAAACAAGACCATCTAATAGATGAAATATATACCAGACTACAGACTTAAGCGTAAATAGTTTACGAACTGATTTTATTATGTTATTATTTCAGTACGGTTTAGATTTTCACCATGCTCAATCTGGTTATGTTATGATGGCAAAATGGTTACCTACCACAGAACCTAGCATGATACCAGAATATGCCAACCAGTATCTAGGTAATTTATTCAATTATGTAAATTTATTTTTATTCTACTTTGAATTTGATAATATAAAGAACATTTTCCATGCAAAAAAAAAAATATTCTGTGGCTGAGTGGTTAGTCTTTTACTTCAAACCTCTTGCCCTTCACCAGTGTGGGTTTGAATCACACTAGGAACTTTGGATTCTTTAATCTGAGGAAGCAATTCAGCTAGCTAACAGAATGTAGTTGGTACCACTCGGGTCTGAAATAATTCACAGAGGTGCACCTGAGGTCTGCCTGAAAATAAAGCTGGAAAGTCACCATTCTGAGACTTAAACTCTAAGATCCCAGCTCATAGTCTGCACTTATTATTTTCAGTCAATACTTACTTTAAAATTTCTCCTGAAATGTATCTGAATTGAAAATTGGACATGTCCATTTGAGATATTTAGCAAGGTAAAGGTTAATTTATTCCTGAAACACTTTTCTTGTGTATCATTTAGACCGTATAGGGCATGGTCTGTTTGCCTCTCAACTCAAGGATTAAGGTTTGAACCCTCTTAGGAAAGATTTGAACCGTACCAGGAACAAGACTAGGTTGACACCTGTGCTGGTTAAAATAATGGCTTGAATTCATATAACTATAGGTGTTGGAGGGTTTGTGGTAAATGAGAGAAATCAGTTACTGGTAATAAAGGAAAAATATCACCCTGGAACTGCTCAAGCTAAATGGAAACTACCTGGCGGACATGCTGATAAAGGTACTATGTTTATGACTTTATCAATATTACAGTTAAAACTAGTTAGGTATATCTACAGTATTTATGGTATGAATTGAATTAGTTTTCAAGATGGTATTTATTCTAACCTTCCTGTTTTCTGAAAATGTTAACATATACATTGTTAAAACAAGTATGGCAGAGCAAGATCCTTAACTGGCTGCTAGTAGCAACTGATTTGACATAAAAAAAAAACAACAATTATGTCCGCTTCTTACATAACTATAACATACTTCACCTGTATATGATCTTTATGGATGCCACTATTTATACCCCCGCACAACAAAGTTGTAAGGGGGGTATACTGGAATCAGCTTGTCCGTCCGTCCGGCTGTCCGTCCGTCCGGCCGTCTGTCCGTCCGGCCGTCGGTTTTTTCTTGTCCACCCAATAACTTAAGATTCCTTTGACCCTTAGTATTCATATTTGGCATGGAGGTTAGTCATGATTAGTAGATGACCCCTATTGATTTTGAGGTCACTAGGTCAAAGGTCAAGGTCACAGGGGCCTTGACTTCAAAAAGCTTGTCCGCCCAATAACTTAAGATTCCTTTGACCCTTAGTCTTCATATTTGGCATGGAGGTTAGTCATGATTAGTAGATGACCCCTATTGATTTTGAGGTCACTAGGTCAAAGGTCAAGGTCACAGGGGCCTTGACTTCAAAAAGCTTGTCCGCCCAATAACTTAAGATTCCTTTGACCCTTAGTCTTCATATTTGGCATGGAGTTTAGTCATGATAAGTAGATGACCCCTATTGATTTTGAGGTCACTAGGTCAAAGGTCAAGGTCACAGGGGCCTTGACTTCAAAAAGCTTGTCCGCCCAATAACTTAAGATTCCTTTGACCCTTAGTCTTCATATTTGGCATGGAGGTTAGTCATGATTAGTAGATGACCCCTATTGATTTTGAGGTCACCAGGTCAAAGGTCAAGGTCACAGGGGCCTTGACTTCAAAAAGCTTGTCCGCCCAATAACTTAAGATTCCTTTGACCTACAGTCGTCATATTTGGCATGGAGGTTAGTCATGATAAGTAGATGACCCCTATTGATTTTGAGGTCACCAGGTCAAAGGTCAAGGTCACAGGGACTTTGACTTCTAAAACTTTGTCTGCCCAATAACTTTAGATTCCTTTGACCCACAGTCTTCATATTTGACATGGATGTTGATCATGATTAGTAGATGACCCCTTTTGATTTTGAGGTCACTGGATCAAAGGTCAAGGTCATAGGGACTTTGACTTCAAAAAGTTTGTCCACCCATTAACTTAAGATTCCTTTGACCCACAGTCTTCATATTTGGTATGGATGTTGATCATGACTATAAGGTGACCCCTATTGATTTTGAAGTCACTGGGTCAAAGGTCAAGGTCACAGGGACCTTGACAAAAAAAAGCTTTTCTTCTCAATTGCTAAAGAATGTCCTGTCCGCAATGTATTTATTTTGACATTTTCACATTTGAAGCATGTAGAATACATAACTTAGCAATGCACTGGCTTAGTAACCTCAGATTTGGCAGGGAGGTTGTCCTTGAGCTCTAAATGGCCACTGTTGATTCTGACAAAGTGGTATGCGGGGGTATTCACGCCATGATAGTGGCAGTTCTAGTTTATTATATTTTGCCTAGGTGAAGAGATATTTGAGACAGCAAGACGTGAGGTGGTAGAGGAGACGGGTATAGAAACAGAGTTTATTGGTATTTTATCATTCCGACACCAGCAGAACTACAGATATGGATGTAGTGATTTCTACTTCATCTGTGTAATGCGACCAATCAACAATGAGCAGGAAATTAAAGTGTGCCAACAGGAGATTGCTAATTGTAAATGGGTAGATGTAAGTATATGGATTATTACTGTATTCCTAGAAAAGATTTCGCGCATTTTAAGTTAGCGGTTTTCGCGGTAGGCATGATTCCGCGAATCTTTATAGCCGCGAATATGTCACTTATAACAAATCCGCGAACATTTCTAGCTTCAGCTAAATATAACATAAAAAGTGCAGAATATTTATTATAATCTACTTACACAAAAAAAACATATAAACACAGGTGCTATAGAAATGTGTAAAGAATAATTTATGTATGTTATTGATACTAGTTTGCACGCTGAAAAAGAAAATATCAATTATTAGTAATTATCATGCTTATTGACGTTATTTGCTAGTCACAGCGTTGACAAACGCATTTACAGTTTGCGAACATTGAATGACTTGGATTCTATTTGCTTGGAGTAGGTGTAATCCTTTGTTAAGAATACAAAGGCGATACAGTGCTACATTGATTAACAGCGGTTATGTTGTTATAATGAAAGCAATGTACAGTCAGATAATGTGTAAAAAAATACGTATCGACATTTTGAAGATAAAGTCAGTTAGGATTCAACTGAGAATAAAAGCTAACGGGTCTGACTAAATCTTACTTAATAACATAATGAAAAAAAGGTAAGGAAATATTAAAATGTTCACGAAACAACCGTCCTTGTTCAACTAGTCAATAGATGAAATGTATAAAGTAACGTTGCGCTTTAGGCGCGACTTGTCAAAAAAATAAAATAATTAAAAGCACAGGCAAGGTCATGCATCAAAAACGTAGCCTCCAAAAGCTGTAATTTAGGCCGTAGCGACTTAACATTCGCGGAATTCGCGGTTACTACATATCCGCGAAAGTTTGTCTCCGCGAAAATGCCGCCGTTGTGAAAAACGCGAAATATAGTATCCGCGAACATTTCTAGGAATACAGTACTGAATGATACCTCTATCTGTTGTTAATCATCTTTTATAGGTTTTTACGTTGTTGTTGTTGTTTTTTTTCTAAGCAAGTTGTACCCCTCAATCATTGATGATAGCTTGAAACTGCACATATCTTCAGAGACCTGATAGTGGATAACTTTGACCAATAAGTATACCATGGACTTCATTGAATTATTCCCCTTTGTGAACTTTAAGAATTCCAACAAAGATTTTGATTTACTGTCAAGTTTTCCAGTTACAGATCTGTTTGAATATATTACTGTAGACATAAAAAGTGAATTAGGAATTTAAAGAAAGTCAGTAGAGTTCAATATCATTGGTGTTAAGTATGTAATGATTTTTTGGCTTAAATGTTTGAAGAAAAGGGAGAGCTACCCTGTTGTTTCCATCACAATTGGTTAAGTTTTTGTGCTCAAGTCAGTATATCTAAATCTGCTGGAAACTTCAAACACTTGTTTTCTGTGATTATTTGACATGATGGGCACAGGTCCCATAACTCTGAGTTACCTTTTTATTGAGGTATTCCCCATTTCTTAATGTGAAGCACTGAGAATAGTCAAGTGTGTCCTCTTACGGTCAGCTCTTGTAAGATTTATGAAATCTGTCTGAAGGCATGAAGTATTGTAGAAATATATCTGTTATTTGTTTGCTTGTATATATTACAGATAGATGAATACTTGGATGATCCAGATATAACTGATGCTAACAGATATTTCACACAGTGTTATAAGGACAGTATTGCCAATGGCAACCAACTTATAGGTGCGTCACCTGTGAAATCATTTAACAGAAAGTCTACCCACCAAGTTTACAGTATACATACACCTAAACCATTAGTCAATAAACAATTGTGATATGCTGAACTATTCAATTTTAATTATTGTTTCAAATGTTTAGATTAATTTATCCTAGTTTGTCTCTTTTTCCGTGATATTGATAGTCTTTTACCTTGTAAGTTCATGAAAATAATGTAAAAAATCACAACACATTGTTCTAGTTTCGGCTTTAATACGTCTTCATCAGAACACTGACTTTAATTAAAGTCTGTGATCAGAAATCATGTAAAGAAACAGTGACATGTATTGTATTGTGTTTTAATGTTTTTGTTATAACATTTTTTCTGCTAACTTTGAATGATACTGTTATCTTGCTTTGAACTTACATCTTTGGGATTTTAAGCTAATATATTTCAGTGAGTAACTATTAATATTATAGAGACTTTTTAGTCTATCCTGATGAAATTGGAATGTATTTGTTATACATGGTTCTCCGATGGTTGTTGATTTATTATCAAAATCTCATGTCCTTCATGTGAAGGTCCTCAGGTTCAGATTTCTTCATTTTAGTCATTGGTTTAGGTTTTTTTGCATCATTTCTAACTTGACTGATTTTTATAAGCCCGTTTGAAAAACGGGACGTATTATGGGAACGCCCCTGGCGGGCGGGCGGGCGGCGTCCAATTTTGTCCGGAGCATATCTCCTACATGTATGGAGAGATTTTAATGAAACTTCATAGAAATGTTCACCACTATGAGGAGCAGTGTCGCGCACATGAACCAGGTCTCTAGGTCAAAGGTCAAGGTCACACTTAGAGCTCATTGAAAAATGCTTGTCCGGAGCAAAACTTCCACATGTATAGAGGGATTTCAATATTACTTGGCACAAATGTTCACCATTGTGAGGCGGAGTGTCGTGCGCAAGATTCAGGTCCTTGCGGCCAAGGTCAAGGTCACACATAGAGGTCAAAGTTCAGATAAAAATATGAAGATGTGTATATGGACCATTTAGTCATCATTTATTGATGGATTGTTACACAAATGGTCATTATCAAGACTATGGCTGTGATACATATAATTTAGGTCAATATATACAAGGTCAAGGTCACTAAAGATGATGAAATATCCAGATTTTGTCCGGAGCATATCTCCTACACGCATGGAGAGATTTTAATGAAATTTCATAGAAATGTTCACCATTATGAGAAGCCATGTCACGCACATGAACTAGGTCTCTAGGTCAAAGGTCAAGGTCACACTTAGAGCTCATTGAAAAACGCTTGTCCGGAGCAAAACTTCCACATGCATAGAGGGATTTCAATATAACTTGGCACAAATGTTCACCATTGTGAGGCGGAGTGTCGCGCACAAAATTCAGGTCCCTGCAGCCAAGGTCAAGGTCACACATAGAGGTCAAAGTTTAGATAAAAATATGAAGATGTGTATAGGGACGATTTAATCATCATTTATTGAGGGATTGTAACACAAATTGTCATTATAATGACTACGGCTGTGACACATGTACTTTAGGTCAATATATGCAAGGTCAAGGTCACTAAAGATGGTGAAATATCCAGATTTTGTCTGGAGCATATCTCCTACATGTATGGAAGAATTTTTATAATACTTTATGGAAATGTTCACCACCATGATATGTATTGCTCCATGTATGATCCAGGTCTCCCGGTCAAAGGTCAAGGTCACACTTAGAGCTCATTGAAAAACACTTGTCCGGAGCAAAACTTCTACATTCATAGGGGGATTTCAATATAACTTGGCACAAATGTTCACCATTGTGAGGCTGAGTGTCGCACGCAAAATTCAGATCCCTGCGACCAAAGTCAAGGTTACACATAGAGGTCAAAGTTCAGATAAAAATTTGAAGATGTGTATAGGGACCATTTAGTCATCATTTATTGATGGATTGTAGCACAAATGGTAACTATCATGACTACAGGTGTGACACATTTAATTAAGGTTAATATTTGCAAGGTCAAGGTCACTGGAGATGATTAAATATCCAGATGTTGTCCGGAGCATATTTTCTACATGCATGGAGGAATTTTAATGTTACTTTATAGAATTGTTCACCACCATGAGATGTAGGGCCCTGCACATGAACCAAGTCTCTAGGTCAAAGGTGAAGGTCACAGTTAGAGCTCATAGAAAAACGCTTGTCTGGAGCAAAACTTCTACATGCATAGAGGGATTTCAATATAATTTGGCACAAATGTTCATCATTGTGAGGCTGAGTGCCGTGCATAAAATTCAGGTCCCTACAACCAAGGTCAAGGTCACACTTCCTGTGCATATCTTCCCTACTGATTTGTTTTAAGGTTCATTTATCAACACAGTGCCAAGAATAAAAACTTGCTTGCTAGATAACACTTATCCATAATGCCCCCATCTCCATCTAAAGCTTTCGTAAACGGGCGTATTTTGTGACTATAGCACCCTTGTTATGCCCCCGCCATATAATGGCAGGGGCATATAGTGTTACCCTGTTCCGTCATTCTGTCATTCCGTCATTCCGTCCTTCCGTCCTTCCGTCATCATCAGTTTCCGTTCATTATCTTAATAACCGTTGCACATATTTGAACTCAAATTTGACATATGGATAGTCATGAGAAAAATACAGGTCAAGTTCGAAATTGGTCATGGTTCGATGATTTTTGGCAGAGTTATGCCCCTTTTACATTGAAAATAATATGAAATTTTCAGTTTCCGTTCATTATCTCCCAAACGGTTCAAAACATTCAATTCAAAATTGACATATGGATATGTCATGAGAAAATACAGGTTCAAGTTCGAAATTGGTCATGGTTTGATGATTTTTGGCAGAGTTATGCCCCCTTTTACTTTGAAAATAATATGAAATTTTCAGTTTCCGTTCATTATCTCCGCCCCAACGGTACAACACATTCAACTCAAACTTGACATATTGATATGTCATGAGAAAATACAGGTCAAGTTAAAAATTTGGTCATGGTTCGATGATTTTTGGCAGAGTTATGCCCCTTTTACTTTGAAAATAATATGAAATTTCAGTTTCCGTTCATTATCTCCCCAAATGGTACAAACACATTTCAACCTCAAACTTGACATATGGATACGTCAAAGGAATGCGGCAGGTCAAGTTCAAATTTGGTCATGGTTCAATGATTTTTGGCCAGAGTTATGCCCCTTTCACTTTTGAAAATAATATGAAAATTTTCAGTTTCTGTTCATTATCTCCCCAATCGTACAACACATTTTAGCTCAAACTTGACATATCGATACGTCAAAGAAATGCGCAGGTCAAGTTAAAATTTGGTCATGGTTCGATGATTTTTGGCAGAGTTATGCCCCTTTTTACTTTATAAATAATATGAAATTTTTCAGTTTCTGTTTATTATCTCCCCAACAGTATTAAACATTCAACTCAAATTTGACATATTGATACGTCAAAGGAATGCGCAGGTCAATTTTCAAATTTGGTCATGGTTCAATGATTTTTGGCAGAGTTATGCCCCTTTCACTTTAAAAATAATATGAAATTTTCAGTTTCCGTTTATTATCTCCCCAACAATATTACACATTCATCTCAAATTTGACATATGGATATGTTTTTGGAATGTGCAGACCAAGTTCGAATCTGGTCATGGTTCAATGATTTTTGGCAGAGTAATGCCCCTTCACTTTGAAAATGATATGAAATTTACAGTTTCTGTTCATTATCAACCCAACAGTGTTACATATTCAACTCAAAATTGACATATGGATATGTCAAAGGAATGCGCAGGTCAAGTTGGAATTTGGTCATGGTTCGATGATTTTTTGGGCAGAGTTATGTCCCTTTCACTTTGAAAATAATATAGATACATCTTAGGAATAAGCAGTTTAAGTTTGAATTTGGTTGTGGTTCAATTATTTTAGAACAAACTTATCTTTCCTGAATGTTGGAAAATTTTGAACTTTCAGTTTCAGCACTCTTACTTTTAGCCATTATGTTGGCTACAAATATGCAATATGCTATTTTTAAAAGGTTAAGACTGAATAATTTCAGTGCCTTGAACATTGTATAAAAAATGGTTAAGACTGAATAATTTTAGTGCCTTGAACATTGTATAAAAATGGTTTGTGTTAACATTGAAAAGTTTTAAGGGCTTTGAACTTAGAATGAAAAAAATAATTTGTGCAAACAAATTTGGAACTAAATATTATAACATTTGAAATTTTGGCTGCATGCGGGGGCATCCGTGGCATGATGACACATTTCTAGTTTGGAAATATAATTCTGAAATATCTCTTTGTTGACCCACCAAAATCCCTATGAAAAGCAGAATATTTTTTCTTACAGATCATGTTATTTTTAATTTATATATAATATATGTTAACTAAATACTTTATTCCAATGTCATGGAAAGAAAATTAAAACCTGAAAATGTAATGAAGTACTTAAAGGGACTCCACTGAGGTTTTTTGACATGATGGGATTGAAAATATTTTTTCTGGATAAATGTATCATTTGATGTAAATTTAGACCACTTATCTTTGTACAAAATTTCAGATCATTCGCTCACACTTTTTCCATAGTAATTATTCAAATTGTAAGAAAATGACCTAAAATGAAAAGCGTTTAAAAGCTTTTCACTGAAATCAGGCTAAGAAAAGCATAAAAGTACAATTTTCAATTTACTTCAAAATATATTTTTTAACTATATTTGCATATATTTCTCTTTAAAGTGCCACAGCTCATTAATGTAAGAAATTCAAATGTTATGTTTTTAGGCTTTTAAACCTCAGTGGAGTCCCTTTAACTGTTTTTTTTTCTATCTCAAAGTAATTACATGTACTTGTATATATATAAAAAGTGTTGCTGTTTTTAAAGTTGAATCATTTTAACAAATTATAGAATCTTATCACATGTTTCTAGATTGATGTTAATTATTGGCAAAGTAACCAAAAAAAGCATCTATATTGTTCAGCAGTTTCAGCGTGAAAATGTTTGAATGTCAGTCTAATATTGATTTATTCATTTCAATTATGACTATGATTTTAAGTATCATGTAACAAGAATTATATACAGAAACAGTCAAAGGTAAAGATATTATATGAAAAACTTTTGTTTGTTCTTTTTTTTACCTCCCTTGATCACAAAGAACTAAATGATGAGCTTTTGTAGGGACAATCCATCTGCCGTTCATCATTGCTTTTTATTCGCATAATGTGGTTTTTAGTTCCCTACCGGTTTACCGGAGGGGACTTTGGGTTTACCCTCCGTCCGTCTGTCCGTCCCCTAACGGTTTACCGGAGGGGACTTTAGGTTTACCCTCTGCCGTCCGTCTGTCCGTCTCTCAACCCGTCCACAAAACTGGATCCCGCGATAACGCAAAAAGTGCTGAAAATATTTTTATGAAACTTGATATATGGATAGATGACAGTATGGAGATTAAGCACGTCTTTTTCTTTTCTTCCTATGTGAAAATTCTGGTTGCCATGGCAACAAATAGACTAAATGAAATAATATTTGAAGGTACTGTACATTGGCTGTATTGTTTCCTGGGACATACCAAAAAAATCCGTTCGTACCTATTGTATATAAAATACAGTTTTTGTATATAAATTCAATTTTAAGTAAAGTAGGGTAATCTTTGAACCTATATTGTCTGCCTTAAGGAATAAAAGTGATTCATGCATTATCTCAATATATCCATGTTTCAATAAATATACATAACTGTTTGTACATTTGTCAATTCCTTGCTGTCGGCAAATCAACTTTGTAAATATCTACAGTTAAATAAATTCTTACTTAATGTACATTGTTAAAACTGGAAAACTATTTAATGCATTAGGGAATTGCGTATATCTTTGTGTTTGGCATATTAATATAAAAATAAATATATAAGTTCGTGCATCTGAACTGTTCCTTCCGGCAGTATATTCATCAATAATTTTGCAGTGTCAGCAGATGATGTGCGTTACTGTTTATTCCATCAATATAACATCCACAACTTACTGTACGAGTCTATAACAGCAGTAAATTACTTATTGTCTAGAATTCCAGTTGTCGCGTGTTGTTAAAATATGTTTATAAATGTATCTAAAACATTTTAACATTTTTTGTCCAGAAAAATTTTTCATACGATTTTATGTAATGACACTGTTACTAATGATTACTTTAATGTTTGCAACAAAGTCCGTCAAAAAACCTACTTAACTTGTTTATTTTTATTGCAATTCTCTGTAACAAACATAAGTAATTTTAATCTGAACAAATATTATAATACACGTGAACGTCATTAACAACATCTCTCAAAATATTATGATAGGAGTTTACATGTGTATAAAAGCATTGCACGATAGATCAAAGGTAATCCGGTCTTAACTATTACATTCTATTTAAAACTCTTTTCGTAAATTTGAAAGTTTGTTTTACTAATTTGATGATATTATCTTTTAACGTCTGATATTCCGCAATTACTACTACATTTGCAGTCGCATATATAACTGGTGGAGTTTTGAGGGATACCTTAAAATTGTTTCAATTAAACGAACAAACATACATTGCTTACACGTAGCGTTTTCTTCTTTATTTTATAAACAATGAAAGGACGTTTTAACACTATAATTTATATTTACATCATAAATGTGTTTCTTTGTTCAACCTCGTTTGTACGATGTGCCACGATAAATGACACAGAATCACTTCTGGCTGATTTACAGGCAAATTACAATAAGAATGTAAGACCGACGTATGATCAATCACAAGCTATTCAAGTTAACATTGTGATGTATTTAAAATCTATACAAGAATTTGACGAGGTGCAGGAGAAATTTTCATTTGTTGGAGCAATGGGTGTGGTATGGCACGACTACAAGATGAAGTGGGATCCTTATCAGTACGGAGGACTGTGGGTAACTACGCTTAGTTATAACGATATTTGGGTCCCAGAACTAGTTCTGTCCAGCCCATCTGGGAAAGGAGTATCGGTTGGGAAAAGTACGGACGTTCTCCGCATTACTAACTATGGAACGGTTTATTGGTACCCGTCAGATTTATTTCAAAGTACGTGTTCCGTTAACGTAAGATACTATCCGTTTGATATTCAGAAGTGCACAACTTCATTTGCTTCCCTTGGATATAAGAAATATGAGGTAAATCTTACCCATGGCCAAGAAACTGTAGATTTTTCGGCCTACTCAGAAAATGGATTGTGGAGAGTTGACGGTTCCGAAACGAAAACACAACTTTTAGGAGATGGTGAAGAAATGGAAATCAGTTTCACTGTTCACCTTAGTAGGAAAGCGGCATACGTTGTAGTCAATCTACTAATGCCAACTGTTGTGTTAAGTTTAATGAACGCTTGGGTTTTCATTCTGGTTCCCGAGTCCGGCGAGAGAATTGGATACACTATCACAACGCTTCTAGCAATTGCCGTCTATATGACTATAGTGAGTGATACACTTCCCAAAACCTCGGAACCAGTGCCCTTAATTTCTTACAAATTAATGGCGGATTTGGTAACAAGCGCACTTACTGTGTTTGTTACAATTTTGAACGCACGCATGCATTTAAGAAGCGATACTGAGATAGTTCCAAACTGGTTGCAGCGTTTGTACAACTCTCTAAGATGCGTCAGTTGCTGTAAAACCGAAAGGATTGTTCCAGAAGACGAAAGTGCTGGTCAATTTAAAACGGAAGATAATATGAAGGGTCTACGCACAGACAAAAACGGTATTAAAAATCCAGATCAAGAAGCCTTCGTCATGGAACAATCGCACAATGATAAAACAGTGACATGGAAATCGATAAGTAACATGATTGACTGGATTTCATTGATTGGATTTTCTGTCTTTTCATTATTGAGCTTTTTTATATTTATTGGAATAACAGCATCTTCAAAATAGTCATTAGAACTTCCAAGATAAACTCTCCTAAATTTTATTTGGTTTATGAAAGCGATTTTACTTAAAAAGTTGATTTTTTTCTCAAATTGTTATTAATATTTACAGCCGATTTAATTCCTCTTCCAGACTTGATTTATAGCTGGGTCGTATTTAATATTATGTAAAGTCGAGATCATTTGTGAGCAATGAAATCACAAAAAATTCTCGGCAATGGCAGACCTGGTTTCATTGAGCCTGTTCATAAATGATAATGTAATGTATAAAAGTAAAAAGTAATTATGAAGAAATTTGGTATTTCTTTTGAAATTGTTCATTTATATACATTAAAGCTCGTCTATGAGTAATATTTACAGAAGTTTATTCACATGAATATGTTGAATATGCACGCTCGTATATATAGTGCTGAGTTTCTCAAATTTATATTTGATTTTTTTTGAAAATACTAAGGGTTTGTTAAAAGGCATCTAAAGAATAAAAATTCGCTATCAAATATCGTATAAAAGAAACGCACAGACACCAGCATACAGGCTGCAATCTTTCTCACTTTGACTCATATTGTTGAAGTAACTTATTAACTTACCAGCCTAGATCAAACAACAGTTTCGATCGAGGCGCTTGGTTGGAACAAAAAAAAAAACAACAAAAAAAAAACAACAGATAAATATGTTGTAAATAAGTTCCTGTTGTAATAGTTTGTTAAAGTGTGTATGTGATGCAATTTATCGAAGATATTCATTCGGTAGCAAATTTTGCGAAACTATCAATTGTACTGGTGGGAGAGAACAATAACATTTATAATGAAAACCCAGTTTTAGTCTACCTTGTTAGCAGTATGATATATTATTAACAGCAAAATAGAATATAATTCCATTTGTTTAATCACCATATCAATTTAATAAGATTCTAATATAGACGTATTTTTTAATCTGTTTTATAATTTTTTAATACATATCCGAGATTTTTTTCAAATATCTATGTTGATGAGCTTTTCTCCTCTCATATAGCATTATATAGTTATAACATTATATAATCATTCAGTAGCTTTCAGGCACATTGTTCCCCAGAAATGCTTTTACTTTTATTTGTCACTTTGGTTTTCTGTTACTTGTTTCCAATAACACGCTTATTGACAATCTTTTGCTTCCGTTGCTTTTTGGCAATTAGTACAGATATAGTGATATAGTATTTCGAATGGAAGTCAAAATACCACTTTCTTTATATTTTTATTTTAAAATGTTAGGGAATAAGCATCTAATATTCTCTAAAAACATTTAATTTAAAGTCTTTGCCCTTCACAAAGAAGGGAAAAAAATCGTTTCTGAAGCATAAATTGGGACTTTTCCTAGCTATTTTTGGAAAATGTACCTTGCCCAGTTCGGGAAAATTTGCGTTATAAAATTGCTTAACTGGGAAAATGTTTGGTGCATATTGAAACCTCCTTCATGCTCTTTTGGCAATGTTCTTCTTAGTAATTCTTAATTCCAACTTATGCAAATATCATTCAAAGGACATTCGGGGGAGCATATAGTCGTCGGGTTGTCCGTCCGTCCGTTAGTCCGTTCGTACGTACGTCCCGAAATTCGTGTCCGACCCATAACTTTGTTATTTGAAGTCGGATTTTAAAACTATTTCACAGAAATGATCACCATATTGAGACGACGTGTCGCGCGCTACATTTGGGTCGCTACCTTGAAGGTCAAGGTCACAGCATGACCTTGCAGCAAAATCGTGTCCGGCCCATAACTTCATTTTTTGAAGTCGGATTTTAAAACTATTTCACAGAAATGATCACCATATTGAGACGACGTGTCGCGAGCAACATTTGGGTCGCTTCTTTGAAGGTCAAGGTCACAGCATGACCATGCAGAAAAATCGTGTCCGGTCCATAACTTCGTTATTTGAAGTCGGATTTTAAAACTATTTCACAGAAATGATCACCATATTGAGACAACATGTCGTGCGCAACATTTGGGTCGCTACCTTGAAGGTCAAGGCCGCAGCATGACTTTGCAGCAAAATTGTGTCAGGCCCAGAACTTCGTTACTTTAAGTCAGATTTAACAACTATTTCACAGAGATGATCACCATATTGAATTGACGTGTCGCATGCAACATTTGGGTCGCTACCTTGAAGGTCAAGGTCACAGCATGACCTTGCATCAAAATCGTGTCCGGTCCATAACTTCGTTATTCAAAGTCGGATTTTACAACTTTTTCACAGAAATGATCATTATATTGAGACAATGTGTCGTGCACAACATTTGGGTTGTTTTTACACTTTGAACTTGGTATGTGACATAACTCTGACACTACAAGAGGTATACCTTTCTGTGTCTAAAACCTATTCGGGGAGCATCACCCGGTTCAACCGTCTCTTGTTTGACCCTGAAATGTGTGGAAACATCTGTCTGATACCATACTTGAAATAAACTCCAGCAAATTTGTCAGTTTTGATATAGAAAATTTCAGTTTGATTGAGATTTGTTTTGTTTATTGGGAAATAGTAAGCATATTTGCCATTGGGAATGGATCTGGTAATCTGACCCGTGGTGACTGTGGGAAAAGGCATGATAATGTGCCTTGAATTCAATGTATATAGGATCCTAAAAGAAATGATTAATTGATAAATTATTTTTTTGTGTTTCGCTACATTTCAAAATATTTCAACTACATGTATATATAGTGCCGTTTATGCAGTGCTTTTTAATGTATTTGTCATATATTGTAATAAATTAAGTGAATATCTTGACTGAAAATCGTCAAAGAAATATAGAGATAATATTATTGGCACATGTATGAGTTAGCATACATTTTGAAATACAATAAATTGTTAGTCTAGATATCGGATCATATTCAAGAATCAAATTTTAAATCTAACTTACATATATTAATCAATTACATATATAATGTTATAACTCTTTGATTAATTATTTTTAACAATTATCCTTATTATTTTTTTCAGATAATAAATATATCTTAGCAAAGTTTGAATGTTAATTGTGTATGCATTCATTAACAATGTAATTATTTGAAAAATGTCATACCTCTTTGACTGTATATTTATACAAATCTAATTCCAAACAGTTAACACACACTTTATAACTTTTCTTCTGATTTTATCTGTATAATATTTATTACACTGTTATTAAAATATCTCAAAGTTTTGAAAAAAAGTCTAGTTTGGTGTTCTATATACGTATATCAAACTTCATGTTAGAAAAGTTTGTGCACGACAATTTGTCGAAAAAGACTTCACTTTATATGACAATTTATATACTAGTATATCTATATTCCATTCTACAAAATTAATAGAAAAAAAATTCACGTTTTATTTCATGTGAAACACCGGCATATCCTTGCCAGTAATGAAATATCAAGTTGCAATGATAACAAGAAAAGAGGACTATACACTAACTCCTAACTGTTGCTTTATTTTCAGCCCTTAGTTTCATTGAATTATCTTTTTGAAAAAAAAAACACACAATATGTTGTCCTGTAAAAGATAATGTGAATATCTCACAAGTTATCATATTTTCTTTTACGAACAACAATTATGGAGTTATAACAGCATATTCACATTATTTATAACATAGATGCTGAATTATACTCCAAGATCAGCCAACGTGAAAATTGAATAAAAAAAAATAACTCTGTCCAACAAGATGGTCCCATCACTCAGACGTCTCTGCTTCATACAGTAACTTTATACAATATTGGACACCCTGACTTATCTACAAGAGAACATGAATACCACAATGAATGTCCGAACTATCGTCTTTTTAAAATGTAATGGTGTCGTTTGTCTTTGTCATTACTCTCTGTGCTGCGGATGTCCTACTTGAACATCTTACCCCGCTATCTAATTTAATGCATATCCATTTCAGTCAAAGTATCGATGTACTAGTCTTTTGAAATGTAGTGGAAAATGCCTCTTCCGACGTTGAATAAACTCGCCTGTCTGATCATCAAATACAATAAATGATTGATCATAACCGAATACAACAAGAAGGAAAACATCAACACTTACATAGATTATAAAAGAAATAAAAACATATTATGATTATAATGATAATAAACAAAACAATCAATATATTTAACATTTAATTTTAACATTCGTTTTAACATTTTAACTGTATAAAATATTTCTTGACTTTAGGTCAGCAGTCTGATGTTAGTAAAATTTATATTTAAACAAAACTTTTATATGTGATACATTGTACATTCATTTTCCCTACATCAAAGAAAATGAGGTTAACAACAAATGAGTTGAAACAAGTCGTCTAAGAAACGCCATTATTACCAAGATAAAGAAGCAAATGGTAAAGTTAACAATGTTTAAATTGTCAAATTTCGATATGACATATTTCTGTTGACTGTTTTTGTTTTAACTTTAATGTCCACGACTTTACAACCCGAAATTGTTCTCGAAGCATCATAAATGACTAAATTTGTTGAGATTTCGGGGGCTTCGCCCCTTGAACGCAAACTTAGACAGTGCACGTATTTGGCTTTCGGACCCTACTCTGAAAAATCTGAAGAGTGATTTCTTGGGATCATAAATACAAAAAAATAAAAAAATAATAATAATAAATTATTTTTTTAAATCAAAGCACAGAAGGCGCTGAATTTGTTTGGGTCTCAGAATGTCAGAAAGGTGAAGGTGGTGAGATTATAAACCAATTTGTTTTTGTATGGTGCCACCAATGCTTTCCAGCGTTTTATTTGTAGTAAATTGGCTATAAGACTAATTGCAACACTGATATTCAATTCAATGTTTATTTGACTTCAAAAATTGAAAAAAAAGAGCTGCCTTGTAACTCTTATTATTTCGACTTTAACACAGATGTAAATAATCATGGAGCTTACTATAAGCATGTATATCTATAA